AAGAAAGCACAAGAATATTCACAGAGATTCAGCAGGCTTATGAGGTACTCATCGATCCGCAAGAGCGAGCTTGGTATGACAAACACAGAGAGCAAATTATCCGTGGAGGAGATGACTATGTAGATAACAGCATAAACTTGATGAAATATTTCAGTGCCTCGGTGTTTTGCGGGTACGGGGACGATGAGCAAGGATTTTATGCAGTTTATGCAAACGTTTTTAGAATTATAGCTGAAGAAGATACTGAGTTTGCCACTGACAGCAATCTAGAAGTTCCAGAGTTTGGAACATCTTCGAGTGATTATGAGGAAGTCGTCCAGCCTTTTTATGCATATTGGCAGAGCTATGCGACGCTGAAATCTTACGTTTGGGTGGAGAAATACGACATCAGAGATGCCCCTAACCGACGAGTCCAGCGACTGATGGAGAAAGATAACAAGAAATTAAGAGATGCGGCCAAGAAGGAAAGAAATGAAGAAGTACGCGCTTTAGTAAAGTTTGTTCGCAAACGGGACAGACGTGTCAAGGCATACCTAGAACTTTTGAAAGAAAAAGATGAAGAAAGAAAGAGACTAACGGAGAAAAAGCGACAGGAAGCCTTGCTAGAGCGAGAGAAGATGTTTGAAGAGTACAAAGAAAAAAGCTGGGCTTCGCTGTCTGGGCTCGAGGAGGACTTGGCCCAAATGAATTTGCATTTGGACAGTGAATTTGGTAAGGATGATGACGTCAATGACAGCCAATCGGATGACGAGGAAGAGGAGCAGTATTATTGCGTGGCTTGTGATAAAGCTTTCAAAACAGAGAAGGCTCTTGGAAATCACGAGAAGTCGCGTAAACATAAAGATAAGGTTGCTGCTATCAAGCGAGAAATGGCAGATGAACAAGTAGAGGATCTCGGCTTTGAGTTGGTGGACGACATAGAGCCATACGAAGCTGAGTATCTGAAGAAGAGGCATTCTTGTGTTGAAGAGAATAGTGGGGATTTTGTGAGCGTTGGAGAGCTAAATCTAATGGATTCCATTGAACTATCCACGATGAGAATCAAAGGAAACAATCGTTATAAAGTGAAAGTACTGCATGAAAGAGGTAGAGCTCTGTCAGGGATTGGGGAGGCGGACTTGGAGGCCAGCTTGGACGAAAGAACTGACAAAGATAAGGGAGATGCTGACAGACAAGTGGGTGATGATGACGAGTTTATCTCGGGAGAGGTAGATGACAAGGAAGAGAGCGAAAAGGGTGGAAATGCTGATGGGGGAGATAGCGCCGAGGTTAACGATTGTGGACAAAATAAAGAAAACTTCCACGACAAACAATCTGAGCAGGTTGCTAATGACGATAATGAGAAAAGAAAATCATCACCAACAAATCAAAAGCCTGTTTCGGAGAACTCCAAGTCTGCGACGAACGCATTCAAGTGTAATGTTTGTCAAGCGGGATTTCCAACACGAAATAAGATGTTCCAACACATCAAGGAGCGCGGACATGCACTTAAAGTGGACGCAAAACACGAAGGTGATAAACCACAGAAACAGGAGAAGAAGAAAGGGAAAAAGAAACGTTGAACGCAGATCATTTTTTTAACACAAATGCAAAGAATGCCACCGTTTTAGAACATTATAATGACGTTTTATTAGTTCTGAGTGGTGGTCGTTTCTCCTTTTAAGGATCTTTCGGGTTCGCTGCATCCGGCGGTACAACAGCAATATATAATTAAACTACTTAAGACGACATGTATCGTCCCAAATCAACCCTAGAAAGCCGATCTGTTTTATTGGCGTTCTTTCCTGCATGTATTCTAACAGTTTAATCCGCCATAATTCCCAACGATAACTCTATAGTAATCAGAAGATGTTTATATACAGTCTACGGGCTGCCAATGAACTGAAGACAAAGCAACAGGCCTTGTCAATCCAACGCACTTTGCTTGCTTCAGGTATACGCAAACTGTAGCGCCGCAAATATCCGGACACACATCAAATAACCAAATTAATTATATTGTCTCTTGGACTAATTGCGAAATTCCATTGTTTCTGAATGTTTTATGAAGATTAAGAAAGTATGCATATTTTATTTAATAAATTATTTATGTACGATTGTCGCTGCCTCTTTTCTTAACTCAACCTTGCAATATCGTGACTGCGTGACTTACGCTCGAGCGCCTTCACCCACGATTATGACGCTACATCCGGCTGATCGTAGGATAGAAAACGTAATTTGTGGTGCCAGTATTTTTGTTCCGTGGCTTGTTGCATGCACTGCCGTCACTATGGTAAAATAAACATTTGTTGTTGTTCTGATAATCTACAGTTATCAAATTAAATTTAACCAGAATTGTAGCCAAAGAAATCTCATGGCGTTTTTGTTAGCTGGCTGTATGTAACTAACCGATAATTAACTGACCTTTGCTTCGATGATAATTCGCTCGGAGAAGAGATTGACGTTCGATTTACTAAGAAAACAAAAGGGCATTAATGGAATTTGGTAAATAAACGTTTTGTTCTGAATAACTTCAACCTTTCCCTCTTTAATATCCAACTGTTAGGGCAAGATTTTGTCACCCTAACTTTTAACTCTGAACGAAATCTAGCCGCGTTGTAGCCGGTCCACGCATCTTCAAGGCAAACGAAATCCTATGGTGCTGCTACAATTCAAATGGAACCTCTCTATTGAAAGTTTTGAATCGTAAAGGTTTATTAGCTTAGCATTTTTATTTATTTTTTTTTGTCAAAAATTTCTGTGGATACCATAAGGAGCGGAAGGGAATAGCAAACAAGAGAGAATGAGCCCTCTTTATACAATGAAACCTCGATATATAAACGAACCTCTATATAACGAAATCCTCGGTATAACGAACGATTTTCTTGATCCCAGTACTAGTAAAGACAGTAAAATATATGAAAAAGAAGCTCGATATTACGAAACCTCTTTATAGCGAACAGATTTTGCTAGTCCCGTGAGCTTTCTTATATCGCGGTTTCACTGTATCAATTCTTTGGGGCTTGGCCTCGCGTCTCCTTTCGCGTGCGGCTGTCGCGTGATTTTTCGCGCGCAACTCCCCCGGTCCAAATGGAGAGCTTGTGTCTACGCTATGCCGGATAGCTCTGACGCCAGCACGACAGGCATATATCGTGATCAGATAGGGCGTTTGTTCGCACTTGAGAACGATGATTTCGGCCTTACGATTCGACAACGGCGACGTCCATGAAAACGTCGCTGAACTGAATAGACCTTGCATCCTTTTTAAACTTTTTCGCGATTATTCCAATTCGCCCTATTACTTAAAAGAAGGGAATTTTGGTTGGAGCTGAAGAGAGGGGACCGCGCCCTAATTCAGACAGAGATGGTTGAATTTATCGACTTGCCGTTCTCGTTCTCAAGTAAACTTAAAATATGGTCATTTCACGTCGTAGTTGTGTAGCCGGACAGCAAAGAAATGTGCAAAAAAGCGTGATGCACGTGCAGAGTTGTTGTTTTGCTCATAAACCTATTGCTTTTTGGACGTTCTCCTTGCAATCGCCGTGGTAGTTTGGTAAGGTCCGTATTAACGGAGCGAAACGGTGGCGGACGGCGGCGGCCTATTTCAGTTTGACTTGCTCCAAATCTTCTCTCAGTCCTTTAGAATTCAACTCAAAAACAAAAAATCGCTAACATTTGACGAATTAAACGAGATGGAATAAGCGCGATCAAGTTTGAGGAAGAGCAAATTCACTTTTAAAGTCACGTTTTGTAGGGGTTAGCGATCACTGGTCACCACGTGACTCAATCTGAACACTATGTTTGCTGTATGTACTGCGCGACTCAAAGTTTGAGTAAAATTTCTGGAGACACTAAATGACACTGCTCGTATAAATGAGCTCCGCCAAAATTGTACGCGAATAAGTTGATGTTTTTCTAAATAATACAGACCTGTTCCCGCTAATTGACCTCCTGTGGTTCGACTCGTATGAGCAATCACTATCCAGTAGTGGCAATTTGGGTGGTCGCTTGCGAGACTTTCGACTGTAGTTCGAAAGAAGCCTGTAAAAAAAGTTTCTTTTGCAGTTTAATTTCGATGTCAAATCAAAGGGTATGCGTATTTGCCGCTCCCCTCCTCCTTCAGCCAATTTTGCAGCAATTGGACCTAGTTTATCACGCGACAACCACTTGAAAAAACAACAGCAACAACACATTGTGTACATCTTATTTAGCCCACAAAGTGCCGAAAATGTGCCCCTTTACTCTAGTAACTCAATAGCCTATGTTAGCCTGCCTTAAGTTACTGGCGGCGTTTTGTTGCGGAGGAGCTAACCTGCAAAACGGGCAGTTTATGAGCAAAGCGAGGCGAATGCTGTATTTCGCGCGAAGCGTGAGACGAGGTTAGGAGAAGAAATAAAAGGGGCAAAGCAAGGGAGCGCTAATAGGCAGCGAAACGAAGCGTCCCTACCCTGGGTACCACAGGTTTTTCTCGCGTGCGGCGAGAATTTTCGGTGTTGGCCGAAGGCCGAGGCCACGCGCGGCGAAGCGCTGCTCACGGTTACCGGTCGTTTCGATACAAGTTTGTTCAGTCGAGTTGAAAGAAAAAAAGAATACCCACCCAAAATGTTTTTATTGTTCCAACTGCATACGAATGAAGTGAAAGAAAGTTTTGTGCAATTTCACTGCTTGTGTTCGTCTCGAAACGACCGGTTTCCTTGCTCACATGATATTCCCTTCTCGGGAAAGTGCGGTCACTTACTGGTTCACACTTTCGACAGAATGACATAACATAACGACACAACATTTAAATGTTGCTTATGTCGCTAATGTGAACATCAACACTGACGACATTACCGTCAGTAAAAAAAGAAAAAAAATTAGAGGGCCGAGAAGACTCTCCTGGGTTTGTTCCCTTTATATTGCTTCTTTTACAGAGACGACGATGCCAACAAAACAGGGGCACCCAACGAGGATATAATTCAAAACCACTAACATAGCATTGTTGAACGTATTTTAGTATTTAAACGGTAGGTATAGGCATATTTTTATCCCCTAAAAACTTTTCATCTGTTCGGATTTCCTAGCTGAAAGTCTAGTGATCCGAAAATTATAGGGATCAAAACTTACCTTTTCGAAAATTTCAGCTAGGAAAAGGCTCCCGAAAATTCTAGGTGGCCTTTTTCAGGGTAAATATCCGTTTAAAATGGGTAATTATACCATTTTGTAGATGTTCGAAAATCCTAGGAGAGGCAGGTAAGCAAGAAATTTTACAACAAATGTTCCAAAAATTCTAGTTCTCAAATCGTCTTCTGAACAGATATTTCCCGAAAATGGCCGTTGGGTGCCCCCGACAAAAGCTTCAAAACATTCTGTAGACCGTCAGACGTTTTTTGTTGTTGTTGTTGTTTTTGGATTATTCTTTATTTTGTGGTCTTTAAGAACGAGAAAAACATAACAGCAGAAAAGATCAGTTTTTCCCTTTATGTCGTTTTGCTGTTATAATAGCGACTTTAAGATCCAACAACGTGACACCAACAAGAACGTCACTTAAAAAGTGGATTTGCGTTCGGTTAGTCTTTATAGCGATTATTACTACCCACTTACTTTGTCGAATGTAGGCGAGCCCTTCTGAAGCTGAATTTCAAGAGACCATATCCAAGCTCAGAAAGAGAAGTAATATTTCGTCGTTGCTTGTTTACGCCCTCGATAAAACGCGAAATTAGGTATTTTCACGTCGTAGTCGTGCAAAAACGGGAAAGAAATAGACAAAAAAGTGTGATGCACGTGCGAAGTTGTTGTTTTGGTTATAATACCCATTGTTTTTTTGACGTTCTCGTTGCCGTCCGCGTCGTTGGATCTTAAAGTCCCTAATGTCTTTAAGTCAACATGTTCACACTACAAACATAACGACAGAACCATCTTCTTATGCCGCTACGTTTCTGTCGTAATGTCGTTTGTCCCCAGTGCGAACCAGCGAAAGGGCATTTAACAAGGTAAACTTAAAACTGGGGATTGAAATTCTGAAAATTCCACGTAGCGAATGGAATGGAACTTCAGTGTACACATATTGATTAAAGTAGACCAAATCCATACGTAGTGCTAAACATCCCGGTCGCATTGATAAGGACCTTTCCTTTTTGATTTCCTTTTAACAATAAGTGTGTGTCTGATATTAGTCCAGAAGGGGGACTCGCTTGTATGAGCCGCATAGGTATGTACCGCCCCAAAGGGTAAGGTTTTTTGCGCCGTTCTAGTCTGAAAACAGGTATAGACCAGGGGCGGATCTAGGGGGAGGGTGCAGGGGGTGCGCACGCCCCCCCCTGAGATGACCAGCGGTTTTCTAATACAACTGGTATTCTGCCAAAAAAAAACTATGTGGTTTATGGTGTTGAAGTAGAGCAAGAGACGAGTGCACCTCCTCCTAAAAAAAATCCTGGATCCGCCCCTGTAGACTTTACCCATTTTGGTCTGGCATCGGGTATGGTTTTCGAGCGAACTACAGGAGTTTATAAACGAATTTATCATTTCAATTCCAAACGAGAAAAACAGAAAGAGAAATCCGCGAATTTGAAATGGATTTTAAGAAATCATTTTTGTTGGTGTTCTGATCTAGGTAAGGAGGACATAATTTCGTAGAGGCCAGGTCTGAAAACGGGTGTAAAAAATGACATTTCTTGGTCTAAAATAGGGTCAGGATTTGGAGAAGCGGGAGACATACTCCCACCAAGAATTCCCAGGAGTACCCCCCCCCCCCGGGATATTAGAAGATGGGACTACGTGGAAGAAATCTTGCCCCAAACGCTATAGCCAATTTGCATTTAATTTTTGGAATTACGTTAATAAACTTGGTCAAGAATTTTGTTGAACCAGCAACAAACTGCATCAATGCTTGATTGAGTTAATTCGTTTATTCTACTTATAACATTATTACAGCTAGTTCCACTTCACTCTTCTAAGGACAAAAATTTCTCCCAAAGTAAACATGACTACCAACCTATGCAGCTATTCAAAGGCTATATACTTATGAGGTATAAGTAAATTTATACAAAACATACTTTCTTAATTCTTTCAACATGTTAAGAGGAGATACAAATAAAGTGCAAAATTCATACAGTTGAAGTTCTCAAAGAGCCAAGTCTCACAAAATAAGGGCTTTCTTGAAAAAAAAAAAACCCTGCATGAAAACATCAGTGGGAGAATTTCACTCTTCCATATACAAAAATCATTCCTGCAAGTGGCTACCTCATTGGGCAGAAGCTTTTTCTCCTACTTAAAAGGGCTTCAACTGTATGAAAGTGGAGGGTTTCAGTTCTCGTCAGCATGCAACTTGTTCTTATGACAGTCCCATTTCCTCCAGTGTTCGCTGTAGCTCACCCTCCTGTCAAACAAACAAAACCATATGAAGCACAACAATGTTCTCTGCTTTTTAAAACTTGATTTAAAAATCAAGACTGATTCTCAGGTCTCCCATTCCTCCTGGCCCACACAGAAAGACAAGTGTCTTGGGATATGACAAGGTAAGAGGAAAGCACCAACTTGAAGAACCTGAGAAAACAGCCAACACTTTGTGATGCCACCACTGGTTTTTCCCACAAAATGATGATTGAGAAATGAGCGCAGAAATTCCATACTGATGAGGTGTTACTACCAAGAACTGGGTAGTCTTTCTGATGGTTAAATCAAAGACTCGTGGCATGACTAATCATAAGCACTACCCAGATCTGGGTAGTGCCGCATCATCATTATGGGATTTCTGTGCACATTCCTCTTACGTAATTTCATGGGGAAACCAGTGGTAGCATCGCAATATAGGCAGATTTCTAAGGTCTCGTGTAGCTTCCCCCTTCCCTCTTTATCCTTGAACTAATCATGTTGCCTGTAAGCAGTTTCTCTAACAGCCAGCTCACTTATGCCCTGGCATGTATATCTCACTTCTTCTTTTCAAAGTGAGCAAAGAGGAAATGTAAATTAACATTAAATCATTTCGTTTCCCTGACGTTCCACAAATAGCAGTCTCTAATAGTCTGTTAGAAGCTACCACATGTTCTCAGCCATAAGAGAACTGGCTAGAGCTATTTTGACTTTCAAAACAGACAAATGTGAGTACTAATTACAAATCAGGAGTGCATCCAACAAGGCACAGTCATGGTGAGAGCTTCGAAGTGGGGAAAAATATAGTTATTAGTTCTCAGTAAAAAAAAGTGCCTGAAGAAAAATTATGTGGGGCAGCAAAATTGCTGTCAAATACAGAGGACGGTTCACAAAAGGAAACAATTAAGCCTGTGCCCTTTGGACGCAATTAAGATTCAGGTCTGTAATTAGTAAATTAAGAGCTAAATTTGTAGCACATGTTCATCTGAATTCGTAAGGTAAACTTGCATATTAGTCACAAAAGCAATAAAACTCTTTAAGATGTTACCACGTGAAGCGCGAGCAGCGGAACACTATGGATAAGAAAATCTGTTTATCTATGCATCCAAGAAATTTTGGTTCTGATAAAATCATCTGTATGTAATACGTCCAACGTCTGTCTGTACGTACCTCCACCCCTTCATGTAAGCTGGGGTGAAATGTTGCATTTCAAGCACCCTGCGTGTTTCAGTGGTAACTCGCATGGCCACCCAGACTTTACGGGTATTTCCACTGCCGTGTAATTTTTTGTACAATTTAAGTGCGTAAATGAAATAGAGACAATGTATGAAAGGCAACGCATAAACGTGAAAATTGAGTGAGGTTCAACTTTTACGTTTATGCGTGACCTTCCATACATTGTCTCTACTTTATTTACACACATAAAATATGTGTGCATATGCACGAAAAAATTAAGCGACAGTACAAATCAACCGTAAGAGAGAAAAAAACAACAACAAAGCCAGGTCTTTCTTTTAACTAACTTTTAATGTCTAAATTAATGTGGAAAACAGAGAAAGAGCTAAAACGAGAAATAAAAAAACAACTTCAGAACAATTTTGTTGGAAGAAAAACATGAAAATTTTATAGTGGTGGTGAGAAAATGAGAAATGCTAGCGGCCACCAAGGTGAAAATAAGTGACAGTGAAAAACAAAAGGTAACAGGAACACATGAAACATTTCCTCCATAAAATGTATAACTAGGAAGTTTCTGGAAGTTTCACATTGTAGTTGTGCAACACACCGCCAAAGAAATGTACAAAAAAAGTGTACTGCACATGCAAAGCCGTTTCTTGCTAATTAGACCTATAAATTGTTGTTGTTTTTTACCATTCTTGTTATCTTCACCGTTGCTTTAGCATTACACAATTTTATATTTTGTTGAGTAAACCATAAATATTAAAGAGAGCTTAGCTTTAGCCCTGGCTAAATCTATATATTACTCTGAGGTTTTTTTTTAACAACATTAATGTAAATATACATTTTTTTTTCATTTATTTATAAATTTACTGATATTGACTTTATTTTTTGTATTTTTTCTATTTCCCACTGTTTTAGTTTATTTACATTCATCAAGGAGTCGTTCATTCCTGGTTAATTTAATAGTTTTATAGTATTTGATGAAAAACTCATATCTTGTTCTAGGTCAGGAGAGTTGTACAATAAACCTTTGTTCGAATAGAAAACAGACAATCAGAAAACAGCAACATAAAATGTTGATGGCATTTAAGTGATGTAGTGACCTAAGAGGTTACGCATCAACTGCACCAAACGGTGGCGAATCCAGACCTTCAGATAAGGGCGCGGCCTGGTCATGCATACAGACCCCGAGATAAGGGGGGCGGGATGGCCTCAAAAAAATTTCTTGTTGGCCCTTTGGGCCTCAGTTTGGTCTAAAAATAGGGGGGGCCTGGGGGCTCTCCCCTCGATCCGCCACTGCCAAATAAACCTAGAGTCAATTTAATAAAACCTTGCTATAATATTACAAGTCTAATTTACAAGTGTAGCTATTGTTTTTAGACACTAAAACAACAGGCACACTTGTAAATTACACTTGTCAAAGATTTAGAATATTGACCCCTGGGTTTATGCATAATTTACTTGACAACAAATGTCATGTTCGACTTTATTGCTGTTTCTTGTTTGTCTATGTATTATCAAACCCATGCAAATAAGAATACAGAGTTAGTCCAAAGCAACAAGGTTTTCTCCTTGGTCTGCAGAAATGAAGATAGTGGAGCAAGATGTTGAAGAAGGATTTCTAACAAGAAGTAGATCAGGCCAAGCCCATTTCTTCCAGCGTTCGCTGGAGCTCAGCTTCCTGCAGAAGAAAAATGAGATGGAGAGGTACAAACAGTGATAATTTATGGTTGAAAAAGTCATGTCAGACAAGACCCATTTCCTCCAACGTGCTGCGGAGTTCAGCTTCCTGTGAAAAGTATGAGATGAAGGTACAGAGGAGGCTAAGAGCGTAGGCGAAATGCTGGACAAGAGAAGAGGATTTTCGTCAAGACGTAGATGCACATTAACCCTTCTGTGAATGCAAGATATTAACATCCTCATCATACAGAAATCATATAAGGCCTAACAATTTGGTAGAATTTAGGCAAAAATAGAGGCAAACCCCACTGTGTGTGTGAGTGGAAAGTAAATTGTTCAGGATTATTTTCCAAATGTCATGTCTGAAATGTACATTTTAAGCAATGACTTCTTAAAATATTGTTTCATAGATTAGGATGTATCTGAATTATTAATATTATTAGAAACATTTAAACTCATTATGTGAAAGTAACAAAAACATAATTTCAATTAGAAATAATTTTTCTGGGGAAAAATTCTGTAAGAGAGTGGAAATTTAAATGATAGAATGTTATTTTTTATTATTGCTTAATGCTGACATTACATGCACATTCTATATCACTTGGTAATGCTGAGAATTTGTGCCAAGCAAGCAACAAATAGCAATGGTGACAGGCAAATAAGTGTTTTCATCAAACAATAATACTTGCAGAAACAGAGAGGCAAGAGAACAAAACAAAATTATGTAGTATAGCAGCCGTGAAATAGATTGAAACAATTTTTTTCACAGTAAATTCCAGGCCATCGTTTATATGGTGTACGATTATTAACGGTGTATGATTGTCAAATAGACACTTGAGTGGACGGTTAATTGATTGTAATTTATTAAATGTACAGTTTATATGACTTACTGGTATCTTGAAGCATTTAATGAACATTTACTACATAAAATTAATCTTCAAAATTTATCTGTTAAGGCATTAGTTAATCCTGTTTTTATTGATAACACATATTTCTTCCAGATGTTACAGTTATTTTTAAGCATAGGAAACAGTGGTTACACAAGGAGATATTTATTGCCATGCATTTTACTTCATAAATATCATGGGTGACAACTTAGTCTTTAATTTTGGCCTGAAATTTCAGCATTAATTTATAATTTCACATGTGAAATTACAAAGTTGCCATGACAACCTTCCATATGTCTCAGTGCCAAGATGGCGACGAAGATTTAAAATGTTTTGAATGAAGATGTCAGGGCATTAAAAGACACTTAAGAACACCTGAACACATGAAAGAGCACATCAAGAGGGATTCTAATAGATTTTTGTCGAACAAATTCTGAAAATTCTGAACTTAGCCAAATTTAAGCTCTAAACTTTTAAGAGCGTGGAGTTCTCCATCTCAATCAATAAGACCAGCATAATCTTGTCAAAAACAGTCCACCATTGCGAACGCAATTCCTCACCCATGATATTAATAGGTAATCAAATGGTATACTCATGAAATTAGAGAATAGTTTCACTTGCAATTTGTCCAAATCCTTATAATTTCCCTCGTCTAAAGGCTGGGGAAATTATTAGAATTTGGACAAAATGAGTGTGAAATTATTCCCTAAATCACCTGTCACCATTTGATTACACATACTAATCTTCAGAATGCAACAATAATTTTTTTATTAAATATACAAAGAGGACAGGAAGGGTTAAACAAAAAGGTTTCATAATTCATAATTTCAGCAAGGTCTGTAAAATGGGCTTGAATAACTTAAATTAACTCCCACTTTCCCTAACTGCTAAATTTTCTTCATGAGACCAAAGGAAGTAATATCTTGATTGTCACACAAATTCTCTCCATTACTACCAAAGGAGATACACATATATGGAAGTGGTACAGAGAAAATTTAGGATGTTATTGGAGGTTTAAGATTGATTACCGTACGAAGAAAGGAAGTGATATCATTAAAAATATCATGTCTTGATTCTCACACAATTCTCTCCATTACCACCAAAGGAGATACACGTATATAGAAGTGGTACAGAGAAAATTTAGGATGTTATTGCAGGTTTAAGATTTATTACCATACGAAGAAAGGAGGTGATATCATTAAAAACATCATGACTTGATTGTCACACAAATTCTCTCCATATCTACCAAAGGAGATACATGTTTATGGAAGTGGTACAGAGAAAATTTAGGATGTTATTGGAGGTTTAAGATTGATTACCTTACAAAGAAAGGAAGTGATATCATTACAAATATCATGTCTTGATTGTCACACAAATTCTCTCCATTTACACTACCAAAGGAGATACATGTATATGGAGGTGGTAGAGAGAAAATTTAAGTAGTTATTGGAGGTTTAAGATTAATTACCTTTGAAAGAAAGGCAGCATCAGAGATATCCCCAAATGCCAAAAACTAAAAAGACTTTTTCAATGTGGCACAAATGAGTAAACCTGGCAAGAAGAGCCTTCTTTTGTCTTCTTGTTGAATGAGGTGGAGTAAAGGACTCTCCGCCTGAATTGTGTCAAGCTTTTGAAGTCACAGCAGCCCAATCTTCTGGACTAGTCAATCTCGTTTTCTCTTGTCAAACTGATTTTTTTTTCTAGTGGGACCATCTGTTTATTGTTAAAACCGATGATTCTAACTGAACCTGCGAAAGCAACTGCCTGGCTTTTAGGCGAGGGTCAAAACTGTATTCTAGCAAAATGCGGAACAGGTTCAACAAAGATCTTACTCGATTCATGCAGAGTCTTTCTTCAGTACGCCAAAATCAAGCAAGTGCAAGAAAGGCTCTGCTGGTGGAGTGAATTGGGTGGCAAACAACAAAAAATCACTTCATCCACATACACATAGTTTACCTCTTGTAGAAGATCTTGAGCTGAGATTGCCTTTAAAACATTTTTCTTGCTTGTTTCTTGAATTTCTCCACCAAGTATTAGCTCATCCAGCATAAAGTACGCTTTCTCAAAATTAAAGATGATGTCTAGTTCACACACCTTTTAACAAAAGAACCATTAACTCAAATTATTTAAAGGACAAATTAAGTTATACTAAAAATCAATACAGTGCAGATTTACAACCAAGAGAAATTGTACATACACTTCCAAAGTACTTGTCAAGAAGCTCCACATATCTGTGAATTATTTCCAGTGTAAGAAGCTCATTGTCATCCTTTTCTATTGCCACACAGAAATATAAACTTGCATATCTAAGGATAAATTTTGTAAAAAAAATAATGTTATAAGTACATTACATACTTTTTATGTTTCTGCAAGACGGGTTGTGGTGGGGTACGTGCAGAGGCACTACACCAGTGCTGTTTGAAAAATAAATATCATGCTTCCAACAACAATGTAAGTTAAAATGTGCTCTAAGGAAATGCCTCCAGATTGGAGTGTTAAAGTGACACTGTCAGCTGCATGAATCATGGCCTAAGGTTCAAGGTCGAGACAGCTTGATTTTCCAAACGTATGAAACCTTTTCCATCAATTTTCCAAATGTACATTGCTTGCCAATGTTATTGTTATTTTGGTAAATGAAGGCGATTTCTCGCACCTGGCGCCTACGCGTTTCTCGCCTCTTCTGTTCATGTTCCTTTGGATACTGTTTTTAACCAAATATGATAAAAGAATGTTACAGGATGAGTTAGAGTTTGCTCAAAAAGAGGTTTTCTGTAAAAGACCGAGGATCAAATGAAACACTAGGCAAGATTGAAGTGGATTTCTACATGTATATGTTGTGGTTCAATTTTATCCTTGGTTTAAATTTGATTTCCCTTTGTTTTGGGTTATGGTAATGTATGATAATGAGTTTAAAACAATGTGAAATAAAAATTAAACCAAGGATAAAAGTAAACCACAACATATACAACTCGTACATGTGATTTCAGGTTGAGGTAAACACTTTTCAAACTGGCAAAAGTAGTGTCCAGGTCAGTGCAATCCCTTTTCTGACTGTGTCCCTTTAATTGGTATAAAACAACTTGTATACAGCACATTACTGCTTTTAATATAAGCAACTCCCCACCCTCACAAACAAACTGATAAGCCCTTGTTAGTCTTGATAGCTGCAAGACTCTGAAAATGCAAGTGCTTCTATTTCCAGAACAGTTGGTCCATGAATTATATTGCTTGAAAGCATTGATTACTTTGTTACAAGTGAATGCTTCAGTGGAAACTTCCATGGTAAGGCTATAAACTGGTCGAGTAATGAAAAACTTTCATTGTATGCAAATGAACCTTGTGATTAGCATAGGGTTTATTTTCGGTGAAGACTGAAATGACGCGCCATGTTCATCATGTTTTTGTCTCTGGCAAATGATGTAATTTTGCTTGAATTGAGGCCCTTGATTTTTGTGTATTTCTACACGAGTACTCAATCATCGTTGAATATGAAAGAAAAAGTAAATATCCTGAAGAATACTCGACCATCGATAATTAGGAAGTTGAAGTGAAGTACCACGCAGTCCTCAGAAATGGCAGGTCAGCCAGGAATTTCATCAATCAAAATCATGTGGGCAAAGCAGAAATGAAAATTTTGTAGAGATCATTGCACCCTCGCAGGCTACTCCCAAACTTGGCCATTTTCCAATCCTCATATCATGATCAATGTACATTTTTAATAAGTGTGCTGAATGTTTTTCACAAATTAATCTTCTTAAAACGCTTAGCATCGAAATTTAGCCGTAATTTATTGCAAAATTAAATCTAATCCATGAGTTATGGGCCTTTGAAATATTTTTGCTCACTAAATTCGCCATACGCGACTATCGCCAGCTGTCGACCCTGGCAGCTGTCCGACAGCGTGTAACATTTCCGCGATCATTTTCACGCTTTTGTGGGCAAAAACATCCCGATAACCCGACAAGATCTCATGCAATCATACCTTTTATACACAACTTTTAGGTCCTTATATTCCAGAAAACTACACATCTTTGGTTTTCGAGCGAGAACGGTGGTAATGAGGTCGCGAGTTATCTTCTTCTTTTCCTTTTGGCTCGAAGCAGTGTACCATTTCTGCAGCCGGAGTTTGCCTTGACGGCTAAACAGCAGCATAAACTGAAACTAAAATCGAACAGAAAAAATTTAAATCGTCGTTGAGCGTACTGATGGGACCCAAAGATAAAAGATTCCTAAATTCTTCGAGGGAAATTATATTGTCAAGCTCACCATATTGATTGTTCGGGAGTACTGTGGGCTTGACTGTGGCCAGCGGTAGTAACCGAACTCGCGGAAACTTGTATGTACACCTAATTGCAATAAGGTTGTCATAGAAAAAGGCAAAAAGTTAAATAGGAATTAATTAGCATGTAATTATCATAGCTTGCAACATTCACAACACACACGCTTATAGCTGAATATTAATCACATAATATGAGAGAAATCATTTGCATCAGTTTCTTGGTGTCATTCATGCATTTCGAGGCTGATTCAAACGTGCTCGAATTACAAAGCACATCAGGATAACTACTAAAGAAAAATGGCTCCATTTTTTTTTCAATAAATATAGCCTGGGGTAAATTCCAGGAACTCGCGTGTTTTAGATTAGTGCTAAATAGAAAAGCCAGTCTGCGTATGGTCTGCAGTGCAAAACACCATCTGATCACAATTTTGAAGCAACAAATCAGGGGCGTAGGCAGGACTTTTCATCGCGGAGAGGGTGAGGGTCGAGGGGGTCCTCCGCCAGTTCCTCACCTGAGCTACAAACCAAGCTTCGTTTGTCAGGACATAATAGATTGGCGACTGAAAGTGCGACAACTGAGACTTAATATTGCTCGCGTCAATTTACCTTTTTCTTTTTCGAATTGTGCGACTTCTGTTGATGGAGAATGTTGGCTCTAAAATGACTATGGCGCCTGTCTATCTTACAGCGCGGAATTACAGAATTATCTCTTGTTATTGTGAATGAATTCCTAAATAATTGTTGAATACTGAATTAAAATACGCAAATGTGAATCAAATGGCTAATTTATTCCTATTTGTCTTTTTGCTTTTTGCTTTTTTCTATGACAACGTTTTTGCAATTAGGTGTATGCACAACTGATGTTGTAATCGAAAACTGCCGCTTACACCACAGGCAGACCACCCTCTGTTCGTGCGGCTGTTGGTTACCGCGCCAAAATACAGATTTAAACCAAAATGTTCAAGCAAAGTTCTAGCGAAAAGTTAACTTAGTCATAAAGAAGGAGACTCCTATTCCTTCTTTAGTTCTAAACCCCCAGTCAAATAATCATCTCGCAAAATTACGCTTTAATATAAAACTTGACAGATGACCGAAGTTAACATTTTGCTTGACCTTCGCTTGAACATTTTGGCGAAATTTTTTTTTATTTATTTTTTTGGAATGACAATAAAAAAGATGGTGCAAAAAAGGGTTCCCTACTCAATTCTTTACGCCAGGCTTCACAAAGGGCATAACGCTCATATAACACATATAATGTAGGTGGTTACAGGAAGCACTTTCTTTGGATTTACAAGTGCATTGTGTAGAGTCTGTAGAAGTGTAGGGTGTGGCTAATGAAATAAATTATGTTGAGCATAACAATAGTTGATAAATGAAACTGGCTAAAGTTTGTTTGTTTGGTGTTGGTGGGTGTGTATAAAACGCTGCAAAGACAACGTTTTTTTACAACGTTTTATTTTTTAAATTAATTTAATATAAAAAAGTGACAATTTAGACCCATGACACTGACTGATTTAAGGTCTGCTCAAAACACGTAATGGTAAATATACAGTTTTTTCTAGAATAACAACAGAAAGACATTGTTGTAAGGAAGACTTATAAAAAATGTTCAGATTGCCTGTGTGATAAGGTATAGTGCTCTGATTCTGTATGAAAAAAAATAACATTACACAGTTGCTATACATTTAAATGTCACCCATCGTTAGTTTCATCATAATAATTGTATTTTATTGTGGCTGTCATTTTGATTTTACTACAGAAGCAACTTTTTAGAAAAGTCGAGCAACTTGGGCAACTTTTAAAGAATTTCAGGCCAACTTTTAGGGAAAACGTTTTATTGCACATAATGTAATACATCCCTGTTAGATGCAATGGTATGTGTTAGTCATGACTAGCATATCATACCAGTCAGTAGTATTTTTGAAGTATTGTAAATAGGTCAGATGAGCTAATTAAATGCAAAATGGGCTCAATATACTGTTCGCTGTTATATAACCTTTGAAAGGGTCTTTTTCAGAGAAAACTCAACTGCAGAATGTCATATATGAAACATAACGTTGTTCGAATGCAAAGCATTTTGATCAGAGGAAAAATCATGATTTTGAGGAAAAGATGGTTGCACTCACTTTATTTTTTATCTGTCCTTGTCCATGTTTCCACTTAAAGGTAAATACAATTTCGCTAAATAAGACGAGAAACGCTTCGGACATTTGACCTCTGTGAGGTTAAGTTAACAAGGTATTAATAGAAACTATCTTTAATGTGAACTTTAAAGACCTTTAAATTCAACTGCATGATGATAAATACTAAGCCTGCAAGCCAGCTCTCCATTCGGGTGAGAGAAGAGGGCCATGTGAGCGTGGTACGCGTCTCCCCTCATGTGCCACTCGCATGTGTACTTTTCACGATATTCCGAAATGGAGAGCTTGCTCGCAGGCTCGATCATGAAATGCTACAAACTGATGTGATGCGGACAACCATTGTCACTGTGGCACAGTGCAAGCCTAAAAATAAATTCTAAAAATTTCAAATGTATAAAATTAGTAAGTCTTTCAGGTGTATAGAGTGCTTCTCTGTGGATCAAGACCATGTGATTCCCTAAGCATGAGGCCAAAGCTGAGCTAATATGAGCGATTATTGATACTCATTTAACATAGATAAATAATTATTACTGCAACCTACTTTTCTCTACATAATTCCAGTTAATTTCTCTTCATCCTCCTTGACCAGAGCAAAAAAGATTTGTGAAGAGAAAATTGAAATCCTGTTCATTTTTCATTTTAATGTACACTCTAGTAGTAGTACACCCCACATCGCCTAAACTGAAGTTAAACTGAAAACCATTTATTTACTTAGAGTTTGGTGTTTTGTGTCCCACTTGGAAGCTCGTGAATACTGTCTTGTGTCCCACTTGGCAGCTCATGAATACTGTCATGTGTCCCTCTTGGCAGCTCATGATTACTGTCTTGTGTCCCACTCGGCAGCTTGTGAATGCTGACTAGTGTAATGTAAGAATGCCTTGTTTAATCCTGATCTCGTTGTAGTCTCTTCTTTTTCGCAATTGACATCACGATCTTCAAGAGTAATATCAACTGTCCCGCTGTCCCTTACTGTATTAACAGTCGATGGCATCTCAATTCGGCCTGTTTGCAGTTGTTGCCTCAGTATGTTCATCCCAGCTAGTCCGCCTATCTCTTTCTGTAAATTATTAAGAGGCAATAGTAAGGCCAGGCAGCAGGACAATGACCACTTTGGATTCTTGTGCCATTCTTTTTTATATAAAATATATAAAAAAAATATATAAATATATGCCAGATATTACACTGAAACAGGTAACAAACTCATTCAAATTAAAACTGTCTTCACCTTCATAGATTCAATTTTACGTGTATTAGTAACCTTTGAGCACGAACTATGTCAAGGTAATAACTGCTGTACTCAGTAAGGGACAGGCCAAATGAGTGTAAACTGTGGATATTTGCAGTATTGTGACCTTATTATCTTTTCTGATTCGAATAATTTGTCTCAAAAACAAGTAGTCAGTCTTATACTCAGCTGCAATAATTTGGATTCTGCACTTTTAAGGAACCATCACCATCTAAACACACGTGCTCGTACAAAAGGAGTCCAAGACTAAATCACTGTCAATAACGTACACTACTTGTAAATCAATAATTTTTGTAAAAAGCTGTTTATTTTATTTTCTTATTCCCTAAGAGAATATTTTTTTGGATGTAGGGCTGCATTAATAATATCCCACAAGGGGGGGGGGTCGGGGATTTTTTTTTTAGGGGGGGGGGGTTAAAATTTGTTGAAGGAAAAAAGGGGGATGTTAAAAATTTCTGAATACAGGAAGGGGAGGTACCAATTTTTTTCGACGCCATTGAAAGATTATGTATTTGTAACATAATTGATAAACCATTACTAGTTCAATGAAGGTGTTTTGATTATCCTTTACTTTTGCAGTAACCAACTCTATCTACAATAATATTGTACATTATCATTACCATCTTAAGTTTTATCCTGCTTTTATTAATAATGTCACCGATTGTTTTCATTCCATTATCATCATCATCATCATCATCACTATCACCATTATTGTCATCAAAATTGAGCCACTTTTCTCACTTTCAAAGCTCTTAAAGTTATGATTAAGTCCTCAGCTTCTATGTTTGCAAGATTTAAATCAACTTTCGAAGCTTAGAAGGAGTGAAAATGTTCAATAATATTTGGTTTGTTGGCTCTACGGTTATACTGCAATCAGAATGATATACTTGACTACTAGTCGAGCACCGCTCTATAATCAAAAGTGATTACATGGTTGGCAGCAAATCTTTAGAAAGCTTCTTTGATTTACATCAAGGATGGAATTTCTTACATGTAGGATAGAAATTTCTTACGACTGGTGATGTCATTAAAGGATATCAAATGAATGATAGAAAGCTTTCCTTTTATTATGTCTCAATCGGTTCTGGTTGAGAACATGCTTGAGTCAAAATACTACATAGTTTTCATTACAGAACCTGAAGCTTTTGATGGAGTAGGCAAAGTGGCACTTATCTCAAATTATATTTTTCTTTTTTAAAAACTCATTCTCATAGTCATGCTTTCAGGTGATGTCACTGCATTGATCCAGGAACTCTCCCAGGAACTTTTGTGACTCAAGGAGATGGCTGAAGTCCAGATTAGCAGTCAAGCTGCATTGTTATGAAATGTCCCAGGGTTTCAAAGAAAATGTGAAAACCTAATAGCAGTGTTTCCAATGAACTGCATTTATCATAAGTTTATCCGATTAAACAGTTTTCTGACCCTTCCTACCTTTTCTTTTAAACTTCTTTGACTTTCTGGCAAAGTTTGTGGCAGGATTAAACACAAAGCCTGTTTTCCTACGGTCTAAGTCCCTTACAGCTGAGATACGTTGAATTCTATTTCCAAACAACTGTTCTCGCAAAAACAATTTTGCTGATTCTTGAATTTTCTTGGGCTTCTCTGTTTCTTTGGGTAACACAAGAACTTTAACTGGTGGTGCCTCGTCATACATTTCCGTTTCTTCTTCTTGTTCATCATCACTGTCAAATGTAACATGATTTCCTGCAGCAACAGTTGACTGTACCACATCCTTCTTTGCTTGTGATTCTTGCTCCTTGGCAATATGTTGGAGCACTTCTGTAGGCAGTCTAGCGTACTCCCTCGCTCTTTTTCTCTCTTTCTGTTCTAGAAGCTTTTCATTTCTCTCGATTCTCGCCAGTTTTTCTTTTTGTTTACTCTCTTGAAGCCTCTCCTTCTCTTTTTTCAGTTCTTGAATCGCACTTTCTCTGCTAGCCTTCCATGAAACGTCTTCTGGAGCATCATCGTTATCATCATCCCCATCACCTGTTACACTGCTCCTTCCAGCCGGCTTCTTATCTATCACCGCAATGACGCGGTCTGAATCGTCCTTGATGTCTTTGTCTTCAAGGTCTAAATCACCACGTGCTTTCATATCAGCTATTTCGTCCGCCTTATCATGAACACTGACATCCAAGACCAGCGGCTCAGTGTCATTTTCCATCTGTCCTTCTTCCAATGAGCTCGACTTAGCTGTACGCTTTGTATTTTTGGTTTTCGTCCTCATCTTCTACGACCGTAATGCAATAAAGTTCAAAGGCGTCTCCAACACAAGTGACTAATTAAGGCTCCTCGTTTCAGCGGTACGCTTTTAAGATCATGCGTGCTTTTGATATCCGGGACCTTTTATTGGGTTTCCGCTCAGAGTTCTTTTTTAGCATCGCTGGCGCTCGAAGGTTGTTGTGCGGTTTTCGCCGTTTCCACAACAACTCTGACAGGATTTATAGAATTTTTAGTAGTCACTAAATTTAATCTTTAAGATACTGAGAAGACTGTTTAGGGAAAAAATCAACTCATTTTGTGTCCTTAAAGCAAATTCTTGCGTTTTATAAGCCATATAGCTTTAAGTTAACTTTGTTCTGTTCACGTTCAAAATGGAGGAAATTGCTAATGAGATGAACTTCGATGAAGGCATTGCCATGCCAGTAGCAAATCTGGAGAATAAACAGCTGGAAAGTGAGGTAAGGTTTGCTCAGGGAAACAAAATAGATACGTAAAATACACGTTTGTATTTTCAAAGTAACAGAAATGTGCTATTTAACATATTTTACTGCATGTTCATAAATTTAGAATTTTAAATTATAAACTGAAACTTATACATGTAACTGGCAAGATTTCTGCACAATCTTATAAATAACTTCTGCAGGGATTTTTTCATGGCACTCTCTGTATACTCGTTCTTTCTTTGTGAGGAATATTTTGGAAGTACATTTTTCAATTGAGTGCAGTTGTGTTAATGATATATGAAATAAATGAGTGCAGTTGTGTAGAAATCTTTCCTAGATGTTTTCTCCCCATAGCACGAGTAGATTGCAGGGCTATTGCCATATAGGTTTATATACCCTGTATTGCTCAATCAGTTCTAGCGAGCCCATTCCCCCCTTTGAAGTTTGCTGCATGTAGCATTGCGATACACTATATATTCATACTGTCTTGCCAAGATCACACATATCTTGGCACGATTACTGAGGAAAGGGATTGTGAGATCTTGCCGAGATCAAGCCTTTCACTTAACTTTTTGGTGGAAATGAATTCGTATTTCTTGTTAATGGTTACTTAACAAGTAATCTAGAATTGTAAGTTGTGCATGTGAAATTGCTCTGTATGCATTTGATCAATCTTGATCCTCAGGTGTAACATGCATGCGAAATGTATATGAGTTGGCAGATGTATGGAACTGAGGAATTTGTCCAGATTTTTTGAGTCTCAAAGTGAGGTTTTCCAACAAACTATGGGCTTGTAAAAAATTACCAGTTTGAACATGTTATCACTTTTATGAAAATCCGTCTTCTCAACTCAAAAATTTTATGAGTGGCTTGTTTAAGGTTAACAATCTGACGGATATGCATCCCTAAAGACACAGATTTTACAGATGTTTGTAACTGGTAACAAGTTTTTGCTACTCACCAATTTTTTTTCAAAACACTGTAGTTGGAATCTCTTATAAATAACAAGGTAATCTTAGAATTTTTGGCTGACAGTCTTTTGTCATCCAAAATGATACTTTGTCTTTAGGTAAAGTCTAACCAAAATTTTTCTCTCCAAGATAACTGACACTCAGAAGAATATAACGTCATATAAAGAACAACAGGATGAACACTCCGATAGAATCTATGCTATGAGTGAACATCTGAGAAATGTACAGCAAGAACTACAACATACACAGGTAAACAAAGCTCATTGCACTTGCCAAGCTAACGAATCAGGGGCACCCAATTAGAATATAGTTCAAAACCACTTAAACATAGCATTGTTAAATGTATTTTAGTATAGAAACGGTAGGTATGGGCATATTTTTATCCCCTAAAAATTTTTTATCTGTTCGGATTTCCTAGCTGAAACTCTAGTGATCCGAAAGTTATAGGGATCAAAACCTACCTTTTCGAAAATTCCAGCCAGAAAAAAGGCTCTCGGAAATTCTAGGTGACCTTTTTGGGGTAAAAATCCATTAAAAATGGGCAATATGACATTTTTTAGATGTTCGAAAATCCTAGGAGAGGCAGGCAAGCAAGAAATTTTACACAAAATGTTCCGAAAATTCTAGATCTCAAATCGTCTTCCGAACAGATCTTTTCCGAAAATTCACGTTGGGTGCCCCTTACAAAATTAATGATAAAAGTAACAAATTATCATTTGACTTTTAGCAATAGCCAAAAACAGTAAAACTGGTGATGAGTTTTTTCCAGTATATTTGTTTACTTATTTTTATGCACAGGATTTGCTGAATGCGAGAAAGAGAGAAATAGAGACTGAAAACCACATGAAGCAAATTGGTATGTACATGTATGATGTGATATGTTTTTTCAAACACAAGGGAGCTGCTTAATCATATTCTGTTCTGATTATGGTAACCCTGGTCCAATTTTGTTTCCTATTTAGCTCAACGAGAAGAGGGAAGGCTCAATAATGAAATTAGAAGAGTGAATAATGAAATAAATGATTTAACTGAGAAACGTAACATCCAAGAGGTGAGAAATTTATTTTGATGCATAACTTGTTCTTGTTACTGACCAAACATCCATAACAAATTCAAGTAATAGAAAGCAGTAGGTTTCAAGAGGGTATCCATCTTTCATGGCTTGATGTGTTAAGCTCTCCATATATTTTAGAGTGGTTGTTTCCTACAATATTAGACGAGGATAACTACAAGGATGAGATTGCCTCAATACTAAGCAATGCTCGTGCATGAATCAGTACCATTTTGGTGGGAAAATGTGATAGCTATCATCATTCAAAAGGTTGAGTTTGATCGTCCGGGTGAACGTAGTCCTGAATAGGACTGTTGTTGTTGATAGTGACTGATGTTTGAACAACCTGTGCATTCAATTATTATGGTTAATAGCAAGATTGTTGTTGTGGCGGAATTTTTATCCTTTTGTGATCGGGAGAGGGCTTAACCTCCTTCAATAAAAATACCTGTGCTAAATTTTCTGACGAAAAAAGTATAATAAAGTTTTCTGGGATTCTATTTTTTGGGAAAATGTGAAGAAACTCCATTAACTACAATTTTGAACCTACAAATTTCTTCTTCATGTTTTGGCCAGCCTGTTGGAGCAGACCAAGATTTTATAAGTTGACATAGTACAACTAGTCTTAAAGTGGCTGCACTTAAACTATTTCTTCTCCTTATTAGAACAACATTTTTAGGAACACACAACGTCTGGAGGATTTAAAGGGCCAGATGAACTGGGATCAGAAAGCCTTGGAAGCCTGGCTGGAGGAATCAGCCAGGAAAGATGAAGATGCACTGACTCTTCAAAAGTATACTCGTGCTGATGAAGGCAAAGTAAAGGTTAGTTTAATCCAAGTAAATGTAAGTGAAATTTAATTTAGAAAACAAATAAGAGCATGCAAAATTACTGCTGTCAAAAAGGTTTGATTTAAGAGCCTATATATCCATAATATATGTGTAGGATTTTGCCCACAGATGTAGACATGTGTAAACTTAGTTTTTAGTGCTTTAGGCCTGTCAAACTCTTCATGGACTGAAACCTTTAGTTAGTTCCTTCAATTAAGTATGCTATAAGGTCAATATTTGAATCAATTAAGTCTGGCATATTTAATTTGGGTTGAACCAATTATTAAGTTCAAGTGGCCTACACTGGAATTTTTGCTGTGGAACTACTGAATTTCAAAATAAAATGATGAACTTTTCATGTGCCAAATCCCATGTAAAAAAATCACTAATATTCATTTTGCATGTACACCACCACCATGAACTGAGTTTGACTACTTATAACTTCAGTGTCTGAATCAACTGCTGAATGTTTCATTTGGGTTAGGACCCAAACAGGTATAGACTAATATTTGAGCATGGCTACATGAAAAGTTTAATGTTTGAATAAGGCCTTATTTATCTTTTGTTGATTACAGGAACTAACCTTAAGAATGGAAAGAATGACAGATGATGCTGCAAAGAAGAGGAGAGAACTGGAACATGAGCTTACTCTTACCATGACAGCTCAGGTACAGGGTCATAAATAGAGTAGACGCAACTTTTGCCTAATAACTAGTGATTTTGTTACAAATACAGTCGTGGAAGCTCTCGTGAGTGGACACCCTCGGGACAACAAAAAGGTGTCCGTAACTGACTGCTTACGGGAATGTAAAAATACAGAGTTTGTATGGGGGTTGAGAAAAATGGGAATTTGTGAAGGTGGCCGTTTGTTGAGCTGTTTGCTTACGAGAGTGTCTGTTAGAAAAGCTTCTACTGTAGTTATGGTGAGTCCTGGGACTCATCTTGTGAAAAATCTGAATGTTTGCGTTTTTAGATTGAGTTAGACAAGACGGCTGAGGAGTTCCGCAAAGCACATGGTGAGCGACAAGAATTGTTACGGCAGTGGGAGAATACTATTGAACAGATGCAAAAGAGAGATAGAGAAATGGACCAACTGGCTGTGGTATGTTTATGATATGGCACTGATCCCAAAAATTGACTTTTGTGGGCAATTCTTCCTGCCTGTTAGTGGCAACCCTGCCAAGCTGAGACAGCAGTTGCAATGTGATTGGCGTTTTTTGTTTTTAAATGGCTTTAGTACTTTTAGAGGACGGTCTCTCTAAAGAGGATAACGAGTAAGTGCGCGAGCTAAATGACAAGTTTAAAACGACAAAAAAAATAATGTTGTATGTTCGACAACAAAGAACGGAATTAAGTGCAAATACTGGTCATTTCTGAGAGCATCTTTTAGCCACGAACCATGAATTTCGTAGTTGAGGCATTTCTTTGTAACTTCTTGCGTTTTAGGCAATTTACCGTAGATTCAAGCAAGACTAAAACAGAAATAACTAAAATAGATTCATATTTTTTTCTCGTTCTTCATTCTACATTTTGGTCTCTACATTCATCACATTGTTGCATAAACTTGTCATTTTGCTCGTCCATTCAGTAAGTTTTTTCCTCAATAAACTGATTGTCGCCTAAAAGTAGCAAAAGCCATTTACTAACATTTCACAGAGAAATCTTGACTTAAGAGGGCTCTATTTAATAAACAGTTATTCAACCATAATGATTACATAAAGAGTACACTATTTTTTCCTTTTTAGAAACTTGCTGAAGTGAAACTTGAAGTGAGAGACAGAGAGGAGCAAGTTCAAGAAAAACAGGTGATTTACAATTTGTTTTCTGAGTCAGTTAATAGTCATCCTCCTTGTTTTGCTGTATCACCAGAAACATGGAGATGTACATGTGAGGGTATTTACAGTTATTAGTATGGGAATTCAGAGCCCTTGACTGACTTATTTTATATTTTTTAAAAGTATTATTTTAAACTTTTCTAAAATTGTATTTTATATTATCATTTTCTTGAAATGTTAGAAATTTTTGGAGAGTGAGCTCGCCAACAATCAAGAAAAAGAAAAGAAAGTTGGTGTGGCTGAGAGGCAGGCTGCCAAGCTACGACTTGAGTACCAGGACTCTGAACAGATCCGCATTCAGTTCCAAGATGAGGTAAAATTTAGCTGTTAAGAAGATTTACAAGGATGTTCTATGATCTGTTGGCTAACTTACCTTTCGTACATGATAAATGTTGTGGAAGTCAAACACAAATTAATTTTTGAGTCACAAATTCAACTTTTCTATGTCAGCCTGAGAATGCAGAAACAGAATCAGTCTAATTTTTGTCTCAAAAAGTGACATTCAAGGTTGTGCCTAAAGGAAATATTAGGGAGATAAAAGCAACAGGGCGGCAGAAAGAAGAGGACGGCAAAATGTTTGTGTGGGAAAGACAATTTTTTAAAGCAATCAAACACTAATTTTTTGTTGCTTCAGAGAGAGAGGCAAAATTCATGGTAAAATTTTGTTTTATTTTTTTATTTCCCTTTTCAGCTTGATACCCTGAAATACACTGTGGACAGAACTGCAAAGGATTTAGATAGTACCCGACAAAAATACAATTTACTGAAGAAGGAGGTTGCCAACAGGACAGAAAAGTAAGCTACAGCTTCGTTATTCATAAAAATTGGAACTCAACAAAATTTTGTACTTTTAGTTTATAAAATGCTGAAAACCAAATTGTGCCGTGTGAAATTAAAGCACTGCTTAAGAGGTTTCATTTGAATGGTGACACCATAGGATTTCATCCACAGACCCAAAAGTTAGAACTACATACTAAATATATAGTACCATGTGAAAGTACTGCTGAAGAGGTTTCATTTGAATGGTAACATCATAGGATTTCATCCACAGACTCAAAAGTTAGAACTACATACTAAATAAATAGTACCATGTGAATTAGTACTGCTATAGAGGTTTCATGTGAAGGGTCACACCGTAGGATTTCATGCACAGACTCAAAAGTTAGAACTACATACTAAATAAATAGTACTATGTGAAAGCACTGCTGAAGAGGTTTCATTTGAACGGTCACACCATGGGATTTCATCCATAGACTCAAAAGTTACAACCATCGTAAAACATGTCAGTTATTCACTCTGGGAGTAATGTTATGTTGCATCTTTTTAATAAAATTCCCTCGCCTTTCTTTACACCCAGTTTAATTGTATTTAATTTCATGTTGGTGTTATCATTTATTAGGCTTGAGAGAGTTCAAAAAGAACGAGATGATCTGCATCAACAGCTGAAAATTGTGACAGATGAAACTCTTACTGCTGAGGAAAAAGCACAGATGATGGACATGTTACTAAAGGAAGAAGAGGCTAGAATTTACGATGTGGAGAAACAACTGAGCAGACTGCGGGAAACACAGGTTGGCATAGTATTTCGTAGTGTTAACTCTTTCAGTCTCCAGAGCAATCAACACTAATATTCCCCTAACAATATCAAAACATAACCAAGAGAAAAAGAAAAATGAGAAATAGGAAAACGATCATCTAAAGGAAAGTGCTTTGATCTTTGGATCAGTATAAAAATTCTGGGAAGCTAAAGCTGCCCACCCCCCACCCCCCCCCCCCCCAGTGGGGGAGCGGGGCACTCCCTCATGTAAGCCGTATGGGTATCTGCCGCCCCAAAGGGTATAGTTTTTCTGCCATTTCGGTCTGAAAATGGGTATAGACTTTGCTCACTTTAGTCTGGAATCTGGTATGGTTTTCGAGTGTATGAACCTATTTATGGTTTTTTATTCCAAATGAATAAGAAAGAAAGGGAAATATGTGAATTTGAAGTGAATTTTAAGAAATCTTTTTTGTTGGCATTTCAATCTAAGTAATGATGGCATAATTTCCTTGAGGCCAGGTCTGAAAACGGGTGTGAAAAATGACACTTTTTGGTCTGAAATAGGGTCAGGATTTGGCAAACCGGGCGGCACACCCCAACCAAGAATTCCCAGGAGTAACCCCCTCTCCCCCGGGAGCGGCCCACTTACTCTTCTTCTAGTGCTATATTAACCTTTACTTTTCATTTAGAGGAAAATGCTGGTATTGATCCAGATTATTTGTATTTAATCCTAAAAATCTTCCTGTAATAAAATTACTGGTTCCTTTTTTTCGCTTCTCTAGTTCAGAAAAACAGAGGAACTTCACCAATGCAAAGTTTTGGAGTCCAATACTGCTGCAGAAATTCAGGTAGGTTAAATCAGAAAGGTTTTATTTTCCTTTGTGGTTCACCATTTGTAAGCAAGTGGCATCACATCGTAGATAATAATTAGTAGTATTTGTGTCATAAAAAACTAAAACAACTAGTTAAAAATTAAAACCCCTTTGCAAGCCAATTTTTCTTTGCTATAAAGGAAAAATGAATACCAGGAGATAAAAACAACTCTAATATAATTTTTGCTTCCAATGATGAGATTAAATCAACTGTAGCCTGTAGCAAGTGTTTCCAACTAAGTTATTACACAAAAGTTGGAGCAAGAGTCAAAAAAATGGAGGAAGGGGGAAAGGAGGGGAAACCATTCCCTCCCCCTCCCCCTTCATTCCTCTTTTCTGCTCGTGGCCCATCTTTCTGACGAACTCATGTGGACACGCTTGTTGTGCAGGCTAAATCAACTATGTTATCTAATCTGATCTTGTCTCATCACTTTCGATAATGTTTGATACTTTTGTTTTTCTTTTTTGGGGGTGTTACCAGGGAGCTCGTGCAGCTAGTAGGAATTTAAGCAGCAAACTTCACAAACTCGACCAGGAATCACTTAAACAGCAAGAGATCATTTACATGCAGGTTTGTTTTTGAGAAAAACACCCCGCACATAATGAAACCTCAACAACTTAAACTTGGTTAGAATTATTGATAGGAAAGGTTGTTATGATCAAAGTAAGTATTGAAATGCAAAGGTGGTTATGCAAAACTGTCCCACAATTTGATTTTCCGTGAGTGACAAAGTTGCAGTGCTAAATTACTCGGAAGTACTCGTATTTTTTCTTCCGAGCCGCCTGTGTCTCTGACTACAAAAAACGAATTCTTTCTCATGTGGTCACCAGGCTTGAGATTCACCATCACAGTAATTTCTATCAAGCTGCAAGTATTCTAGGTTCAAGTTTACAAGGACATTTTAAGACATAGTTATCCCTCAGGTATTGTCTTTTGACAGTGACCTATTGTTTTGAGACAGTACTTGAGATATGATTAAGACTGAGGTGGTCTCACGAATCCAGACTTCGATTCAGGACTCCAAGCAAAAAAGAAACCTTACAGAAATTCTACTCTTTTGTACACCGGTAGTCCCGTTTTTGATTTGCTCTTTTAAGCAATAATTTTGGTCAAGGATTAAGTACTGTACAATAATCAATAAAATAATTATTTTGGGATGGTCTTAGGATTTTCAGCTGCAGCAGTTGGAGCGTAGAATAAGCCGTATGCAGGGAGAGCGAAGCAATGAAGAGAAGCTGCAGCTTGAAGCTAGGATCAAGGTAAAGCTTAAAACCAACTAAGATGGTGCAACAACGTTAAAAATATGTATCACTTTATGATCAACATATTGGCCTCCGAACTACAACGGAAAGACGTCTAGCATTTATTCTTCAGCGTAGTAGTAAACATGAATCGGTGGTTTTTACTCGAATTTTTCTTAACGTTGAAATTATGAAAGTACACTTTCTGATCCACACATTAGCCCCCAAACTACATACACAGCACTAAAAAATACACAGCAATACTTGTTTCATTATAGTTGCCAAAGCGATTGAAGTTGGTTCTGTTTGATTTTTGCAGGAGCTGATGTCGCAAATGGAGGAACATAACTCAACTCACACGCTACTCAGCGCTCAAATGAAAAACTTAAATGTAAGTTTGTTGTTAAATCTAAATTTCTACGGCCTTAAGGCAGGGGCGGATCCAGGATTTTTTTAGGAGGGGGTGCACTTGTCTCTTGCTCTACTTCAACACCAATAAACCACATTGTTCTTTTTTTTTGTAGAATACCAGTTGTATTAGAAAACTGCAGGTCATCTCAGAGGGGGTGGGGGGGCGGACCCCCTGCACCCTCCCCCTAGATCCGCCCCAGTAAGGTGTATTTTAACTGACACGAAGGTGCAAAAAACGTTTCAAGGTTTTCTTTTCTGTGCCTGACTTTTTCTAATTTACGATGCTTTCCTTTCCTAGGATGATCTTCGTCGTGCAAACAGAGATTTAAGTAAAGGAAAAGATGAAATGAAGAACCTCACAAGCAAAATTGGTAAGTACCTCTCTGAACTGGCAACCCAACTTTTAAAAGTGTTGTGTGAAGTGATGATCTATAAGACCAGAATTTCTGCTTGTGCAGTTTGAACTTTTTTCAAAATTGTCGTTTTGCTAATTTTTCTTTTCAGTCAGGTAAATATATTGCAAATTTCGTCTATCTTGGAAAATAATATCTTATTTCTTTGATTCTTTTTCTACACTTGCGGTGCCTTTAGTCAATCACTACAGGTGTCGCTAAACGTTTTTTCCCTTTTTTTGCAGAGGAGCTGAATCTTCACAATGACAGTTCAGAGAGAGAAAGAAAGAAAGTTGTTGCCTTAAAACAGGTTTGTTTCTATTTCGTAAATCCTCAATAATTTTAGTGGCTGTTAAAAGGCATAGCTTAAGTATGCAAGTCTGTAACAAAGCGTATAGGTCCATAAACGACTCGTATAGCTGTTTATCGGCTGCAAAAGATACCTCGACAAATCACCTCGAAGGGCAGTGATCGTAGGGTGTCAACCAGGTCAATCTTGAAACGGAGATTCCACATTCCAGTGCGAAAGCGGACGATCTTGTTTTGTTTTGTTTTGCTCTTTGTTATATTTGTTGTTGTGGTTGTTGTTCCGTTACACTGTTGTGGTAATTCTTTTTGTTTTCAAAGACGGGAACAGCCATGAATGCTCAAAAGAGATACGCAATTTTTTATGGGGAAAAGTAAATTCTTAAAGTCTACGCATAAATATATAGTTTTAGTCAGGCAAGCGAAGCGTCGGTCGTTATCTTTATAATAGAAGCAATAAACTTTAACGTAATAAACTTAAAGCCACGACAAAGAAATCCGCAAATTTATTCTGAACTTTAGGAACCTTCTACTTAATTTAAGAAGAGGTTTGGTGATTTGAGAAAGAAAAATCCCTGAACACACAGACAAAAACGACAAAAATATACCCCTACTCCCCTAGTCTGTACGGGCGTCTGGCGGGTGGTGTACGCTGACGATGGATTTCCAGTTTCTATAGCAATGAAGGCTCCGCTGCACGCGCCTCGCGCGCGTCGAAGCTCCGCTATTAATTGCTCCCGATAGATGAATGATCTGTCCGAGTCCTTTAATTCGTCTTCAATATTTTTTTGTAGAACCTGATGGTGGATGAGAACATTCTAAAGCTGGAAATCAAACGACTCAGAGAGACTCTCAGTAATAAAGCAGATAATGTGCTTAACCTTGAGAAGAGAAAACTTCAGCTAGAAACGGTAAGTGTTGATAGGTTACACGTCTTTCCTTTGCAACTAAACTGCTTTTGACTCTGAAAGAAATCCTATAGCCTATTAAGGACTATTTATTAGTATTAGTATTATCATCATCATCATCATCATCATCATCATCATCATGAAAAAATTACAGGCAACTATACCGAATAAAGGTGACGATTCGCAAAGACGATTTTTAGCGCAACACAGCTTCGCGATGTTGGAACAATATTGTAACTACTCGAAACAATGTCGCAACAATGTTGCAACGCTGTGTCGCGCTAAAAATCGTCGTTGAGAATCGTCTCGTGTAAGAGCACCTTAACAGTGAACACAAGAATTGAACACAAGTGCCCACTTAGCAAGAATCCACACATCTACACGCCCACCCCACACCTACACCCACGCGTTTATGATATTATTTATCATGCTTTGCAAGGAAGTTGTAACTTTTGAGTCTTGATCAATGAAATCGAAATCGATGTATTTAGCACGAAAGTACTAATTGAGGACAACATTTTAAGTCTGCTACTGGAGACGGGACCGCCATTTTACGTAGTCATCCGAGCCACGAGAAGCTCTGGCCGTTTGCAGGGCTAAGGCAGAGTACTGGTCTGAGTATTGGTCTGGCCCCGGGAATCGAACCCCGGGAGCTCCCGCTCTACAGGCAAGCGCTCTTCCGACTTAATGAGATTTTTTTTTTTTTTGACGAAAGCTTATAGGCGCATTGATCGCGGCCACCATCTCCTCTATTTTAACTTATCCACCTCTCCCTTGGAATCATTTTTTGACTCGCCCCAACTCTCTGTCAGTTTCAACGTTCAAGATGGCGGGAGAACGTTTTTCATAGTATCATCTTTTACACTGCAAAACACGCCTGATTTGCAGGCTACCTACTGAGCCAATCCGATACTTGGATATGATGTTTGTCTGATTATTCCCTCTGTCATTATAGGCAATGCAGAAGCGACGTCACGAAATAGACATTCATAAAGACATGTTAAGAGCACAGATCAAGTCTTCTGAGGAAGAAAGACAGACAGTCAGGTACAGTAGTGGAGGGAGGACTGGGGAGGAAACGTGACAACCTGTGTTATTAGCGGGGGTATTCGGGTGTTTAAGGAAAGGCGTTTTTGAGTGACGTGGGACAACTGGAAGTGAACCGTTTTTGTGATGGGTTTTGATATGCAAATGTGTCACTCGTTCACTTTGAGGTGACTGAGATCGGCTCTTCGGCTCCTATCCGAACTCGCTGCCCAATATGAAAACGACATAGTTTGTTGTTGCCGAAGGGCGCCTGAGTTGTGCATGCACTCACGCATCCTCGTGAGAGAATCAAACATCTTTGCTTAAGCTCGCTATTTACCAGGTTCTATGACTTATCTTATGAGAGAAGCCCCGGGGAACGAAGTTACAACAGCGAAAACCTAGGGCAAAAACCTATCGTGGGAGCATGGAAGGTTGCAGAAAACGGAGTAAATGTGTAGTAGAGGGGGAAAGGTGCTTTGAAAAGCATGCAAGTTCATCAGTAGGAAATGGAAGTTAGTGGAAACTTCTTTCTCCCATGCCCTTACCTCTAGTACCTACAAGGGCCAAAACAGTCATTTTTGTCATTAATCAGAATCGTCACCAAATGCTCGAGTATGGGACAAGCACTCGGTGGTAAAACGCAAGATGTTGACTTATCTTTTGGGTCTGCTGGATTCAGATTCTACTTGCGCATTTACACCTTCCTTACTTTTCTTTTGACGATAATATGGTTTCATTTTTCATCTTGCAGCTCAGAACTTCACGAACGGATATCCAAGATCGACAAATTAAGAAAGAGGTATGTAGTTTGTCACCCACCATAGATATAGAAAATTCAGGGAATCAACACAAGCACAACTGAAAACACGGGACGTGTAGCTAAAAGAAAAAAGTTCCCAGAACTTAACTCATCTGAAAGTGCAAAACCGAAGCAGTTATGGAGTGACATTTCGTGTTTACTTACACCAGGTACGAAATTCTGATGATCTCCATGGCACCTCCTGAGGGGGAGGAGGAGAGGTCTCAAGCTTATTACGTCATCAAGGCAGCCCAGGAAAAGGAGGAGCTACAGCGAGAAGGTGACGAACTGGACGCCAAGATAAGGAAAGCTGAAAAGGAGATCAGGTTAGATTGACTGGATTCAGATTCCCATGGCGAGGTCACGGGTTCAAACCCCGTTGAAATCCTGAATTTTTTTTCAGGCTTCTTTACGCAGTTGCATAAATTGCTTTCACTGCGACGATCATTTCTTCATTTTCATTTCATTTCCGCAGTTCATATATGATTTATTTCATATATCGTTAACACTTTTCTCGAAGTTAAGTCGGTCGTGATCATCATCATTATCATCATCCTCATCATCATAATCATCTAAAATAAATTTCCATTATTTATCCTCGCCACTGTTTATAGCACTAATGCTAGTGGGGCCGCGCAAATGCTTGCAACAAATAATGTAAATTGAACTTAACAGGGTTAAGAATCCCAACTGGGCGTAGGCAAACAAGCTGGCCATTTACAAGCGTGGACGAGGATTTGAACTCGGGACTACTGAGAGCAAATCCAGCTCAGTAGAGGTCAGAGCGGGACTTGAACTCGGGACCTCCGAATTGCAAGTCCTGCGCTCAAACCACTCGGCCACGCTGCCCCCGATATATATGTCATTATCCTCATCATCATCATCATCACCATCGTCATCAACAATAATATTTCTTGAAAACTCATTTTTCTCTTCATTCACTGCTTCCTTAGATATTTAAAGTATCGTACTTCTTTAAAATCAACCTTCTCTTAACCGACAGCTCTGATAATCTGATACTGAACGAACTAATTTATTGTATTTTCTTCTTCTTTTTATAGGGCGTTAGAGAACACATTGCGTTTGATGAATGGACGTAACGAGACTTATAGGAAAAGCTTCAACAAGGTAGACGAGATGAGTGAGGAGTTTGACGAGAAGCAGCGCTTGGAAGATCAGATGCGTGCTGTAATGGACAAATACAAATACAAACGACGGCAAATTCGCGAGCTTCAAGAGGATCTGGGCTCCATGCAGAACACGCTGGACAGTTTGACCGCGGACGAACAAGCTTTGGTTGAGGTTATCACTGAAAAACAAGCCAAGACGACAAATTTACAAAAGGAGCTAGACGATCAAAAAACTAAGAAGGACAGGGCCTCTCGCGAGGCCGCTAAAATTGCTCGCACTGTAAGAAGCGCGAAAAAGAGCCCAGGAGAACTTCATGAAGAGAAGGATATGGACTTAAGAGAGCTACGAGAGTTTAACACTCGCACCATGAAACAAATGGGTGAAGTGCTACACAATTACCCGGATCTCGCTCCCAGTGTACAGATTTATTTTAGCCAGGCCGGGTTACCTATGCCGCCGTCCCCTGGACCCGGGGTCTCTCGGCCTACATCATCGCGCAGTTCACGGAGCTCAGGAACGATCTCGTCTGCCCGGTAAGATTGGAAAAACATATTTATCCCTTAAAATATCGAGCTGAGTACATGTAATTGTACTCCAAACCTTTTGTGTTTTAAAGAATTCAGTTCTGACATCGCAGGATTTTACACACAGTACTTAACAAAATTGCATTGAAGTAAGTCTGTTCATTGATGGAGTTAGTTGGAGTAAGTAAGTCGCCTAAAGTGATTATTGAATTTGAAGGGAATCTGTATCGACATCGCATCTTTAACTCCTGTATGAAGAGAGTTGGGAGCTCACAATTTACACAAACCACCCGAGCGGAAATCTTCTACATAAACATAAAACAATATAATTTGACGTGGTGGGAGGGGGGAACGATCCATTACAAGGTATATGTGGTAGTTAATTTTTTATTTCAGTTAATTTTTATTTATCCATTGTTTTGAGGTATGGTAATGCATGCTAATGAATTTAATACAAAGGAAAAACAAAAAATAACTGACATAAAAAATTAACTGCAACATATATATTGAAATCAGTTGAATAGACGAAAAAATGCAGAAAAATTGCTTCCCCTCAAATCACAGCCCATATTAGCCTGCGTAGAAGGCGCTTGGAAGTAGTAGGCACAAGAAAAAACGGGCGCGCGAGAGGGAGACACGCGAGTGGAGAGGTAGCACCCCTCGTATGTCTCCCTCGCGCGCGCCCGTTCTCTCTTTCGCCCACTACTTCCAAGCGCGTGCTACGCAGGCTAAGCCCATATTTTCTGAAGCTTCCCAATAAACTGAATGGCGCGACTCATTTGATTTTCCAACCGGAATTTCCGGTTTTCCAATGCAAATTGATAGTACCCCAGATGCCTTTGCACTTGAGTTGAATGTTCTTCCAGCAACTGATTTGTTGAATAATCGTCTTGTAGATCTGATATATCCACCGGAAGTCGGCGTGGTGTTGGTACAGTAGATATTGGAGCCTTGGCTCTCACCGGAGCCGCGAGTCCAACAGGGGCCGGGAGCCCTAAACCAGGTATGTCATCTTAACATAATGCGCATGTCCAAAAGGATAAAAAGCCAGGCTTACCGGTTCTTTTCTTCGGTTTCGGCGGTCAAAAGCTTTTGAATGCATCCCGAAAAACTGTCTACATAAACTTCCAGTTTAAAAAGGCGTCTAAGCACTACAATTTCACTCATATAGCAATATTGAATTGGGTAATAAAGAGTATGATATATTTCGTTTTGTCTTTTTATGAGACTATATTACAATAGTTCCTCCTTTTATTCGACGAGTAATTCCTTATTTTCCTCAAAGATAGTCATCAGCAGCGCAAAGGTACATAAGGGCGACGCACTGTCTGTCCAACCCGCCCTGTTTAGACAGAAAAAGGCGAGGGCGCAAAAAAATTTCCTCCCGCGACGCGGGGCGGGGCGTCAGTGGAAAGGAAGGAAGAAGGAAGACTAGAACACTCTCACGTGCTTATTTCGCTAGCTCTTTAATCCATGAGGAAAAAGGCTAAACTCCGTTATTTCTCCAACACACGTTGCCTTCTATTTATCTTTTACTAGGGTGATAGCACGTGAAAAGTTTGGTACAATTTTTAACATGTTTCATTTGTTCCCAGGTGTCTCTCCAACGGGAAGTGCGCGGGGGAAGAAGTCAAGCTCCAGGCCGGGCTCCGCAGCTGGGTCGAAGGCCTCTTCTCGAGCGAGCAGCGCGGTCAGTCGTCGAAGCACCGATCGGCGTTAAATCACGTCTTTTTAGTGCTGTCTTTTTCAGTTCAAAATTCTCTGACACCCATTGTCAGCCTAAGAAAATGTTGTACATATACTTGTAAATACTTGTTGACTTTATAACTTTGCAAAATTCATAGTTGGTTGTCTTTTATTTATCTGCAACAGAATTAAAGAGTGGATCTGAAGGTTTTGTACATTTGTCTTCCTGAGTGTCCTGTGTTCCGAACAGTGGCACGGAATTGAAAGGGGAGGGGAAAGAAGGAAATTAGGCGCGTGAGGAGCACGCGAGCAGATGAGAGACGCGCAAGTTACTGGAGCCACGAAGCTCATAGTCCAAACATCTTTTTTAATTGGCCTTCGAAAACACACCTCCTTTTTTTAAGGCCAAGGACATTATTTGCGTCAATTCATATATTGTTTCATTTTGAGAGCTTCGTAGCGTTCCTCAAGTAAGGGCCGTTTTGCCAAAGTCTTAAACAAATGCCCATTATATTCACACCAACTAAACATGTATAATTACACCGCTAGGTTTTAAAAAATGGAAACAAACACGAAAATTTGGAACACAGGTTTTTACACAGGATTCAACGATTTGGAATTTGCAATAATCTCCAATCAACTTAGGTCAGTAAGCAGCGTTTATGAAGGGAACAATTTTGAACCGTGTTTAACTAAACAGCTTTTAATTAAACACGTATTTTAGTCGGAAACCTCGCTAATGCATGTCTGCCAAAGGCTATCCTGTAAGCAGCGGTATAAACCACTTCGAACACCGCAAACCTTGGTAAACCATACCTAAATAAGATTATGAAATTACAACTTGTTTTCAAACTTTTGTTTAGACAATTTTGTCGATCCTTTCACTTTCAAAAGGAATTTAAGGGACGGGCATGGTCCTCATCAGAGGTCCTTTCACTTCTCATGTAACGGCTTCAGCTACAACCGTAGACTTCCACTCTCAGGACGACCTTATTTTGCCAAGCCCTTGGAACAATCCGTAAGTACATTGCTCGGATGGGGCGCTGCAGCTGGTTTGTTAACACAGTATTCCTGTCTGTGTTACCAACGAATTCCTAGAACATTATAAACGTGAAAAAGGCGGTGTTTAATTTGGATTAGAATAGTGTAATGGTGCTTATCAACATTTTAGATAAACAAGTTAAATTTAAGTGTGTCCTGGTGGCACTTATACCCCAGTCCCTATGCACCCGTGCTTCTAGAGGAGCAAGCCTCATCCATTGATCACACGCTGGTATAAGGATCGGGCTAGAAACTTCATCGGCTTCTCTGTTTGCCCCCTTGAGAAGATCAACTTCCCAGACCCTACCGACCGCAACTCGAAACACGTAAACGAGAAGAACCAATTGACTCTGTGGGTGAAATAATAAGAAGCTTGGACTTGAAAAGTGAACTCCCGCTGCTTCAAATTATATCGCGCTAATTCCATCTCATTCTATTCGTCAAATTTTGGTAAATTTTTTGGAGTTGAATTTTCAAGGACTGTCTCGAATTTCAGGAAAAAAAAAAAAAGAAAGTCGTTGTCTCGAGTTCACGTCCTCCAAAAAACCTGAAGTTATAGGCATTTTCACATCCTAGCCGTGCACTAAAGGCAAAAAAATGTACAAAAAAGCGTGTTGTTATTTGGCCAATCTATACCGTTTGCTTTTTTGCTGTTCTCGTTGCCGTCGCCGTGGTCTTTGCTTAAGCTCCCTATTGAGTTCTACAAACAGGGCAAACTATTAAAGCCTCAGAAAAATAATATGCATAAATTGCTGTCTCGTATCAAGTATGCATACATATCACGCTATCTCACCTTTCGTGATCCGGGATATGATGCAGCCTCGTAAAACGACCACGAAAAACCATCAAGGCTTTACTGGAGATAGTAACGATAAATCCACCAATCGTGATGAGGGTTTCCCTGAGTAGCCACGCCTGTAATAAGCTTTGAGTAGGGGTGGAAACTAATCTGGAGGAATTCTTCACTAGAGTAAGAGTACCCTTCGTTAGCCCAGGATGTGTTCGCGTACAGCCTCGCATCACGAGGCGCGAAAGGACTGAAGCTTGATGAAGCGTTGAAGTTTAGATCAGAAAGCTCATGGTTACTCAGACCCAGAGAGGAAGGATTGCAAACTAAAAAGATAATGACGAGAATTACGATTGCTTTAAGAGCACGTTCCTGTATGCTCCACATTTGCTGCAAAAAAGTCATTTCGTCGATTAGTAGCCTGTGTGCAGACGTCTCCCAAAGGAAATAAGAGACGTCTGCGCGCAGGCTAGTCGATAATCTACAATTTAGCTAGAACACAGAATAGTTGTTTTACAGGAAGTACTACTTTATGAACACTCTGGACCGTTATATCACACTGATCATAAGCTTCAGCTAATTTCTGCTTCAGAGGACTGAAGGGTCTATAATCTCCCCAGATCAAAGACAGAAGAAGAGACAATCAAAGTGGATTAAGGGGATTAAAACAGGGGCTTTAATATCTTTTATCTGCTTTCATTTTTAAGAATGGGACTACAAATAAGGGTCTCAGTTAATTTGTGTAAGTATAGAATGTCATCATCGTCGTTATCACCACCACCATCACCATCATCATCATTATCGATATTACATTTATCATTGTTTTAGTCGTTTTCAATATCACCGCCATTTTCATTTTAGTTATCATTACTGATGGTCAATTCGAAAAAGGAGGGCTGCGTTTGGTCACCCTGGAAAGGTTAGCGGGAATTTTTTACATTTTCATTCAAAAGGAAGAAGCGCCTTTGGCTAAGCTTCAAGTTATCGTGACTTTTAAAGAGTCAACGCAGAACCACTGTTACTCTCACCCATGCTTCTACGACTCAGAAAACTGAGAACGAGGCAAACGTGTCCTTATAGTGTAATCCCTTTTACTACTCGTGGGAGCATTACTAATGGTTAATTTAAAAATGCTGCATGTTTGCATTTCATTTACTCACTGTCGCATTTTTCTCCGCTGTATTCAGTGGGACAAGAACATTCAAACCCAGGCGCGCGGTCAAGAATCTTACACGTCCCATTATTTTGGCAAGGAAAGGCTTCACAAAAGTCGTGCGGTAGTTTCAGCCTTTTAAAGTATACCGCGCCGGGCATGATCTGGAAGTTTTTGGAATCCGTCAAACTGGTTGCGTTGTTCAGCTCGCAGGTCTTGCTGGGAATGAAGAAATTGAAGCTGTAGCAATACGGATCAGCGTCACATCTTGAGGCGCAAGATTCAAATCGTATCTCGGATATTCGTTCGTGGATATGACTAAAGAGGGCGTAGTCGACAATCGACTCCACCGGACGGCAACGAGAACGTCAAAAAACAATAGGCTTTATATTGTTTTAAGCACAACAACAACTTTGCAAGTGCATCACGCTCTTTTGTACATTTCTTTGCCCGTTTTTGCACGACTACGACGTGAAAATGCATAAATTCGCGTTTTATGGAGTACGTAAAGAAGCAACGACAAAATTTTATTTCTCTTGCTGAACTTGGATATGGTCTCTAGGAATTCAACCCCAGGAGGGTTCACCTACATTTTACAAAGTAGGTGGGTGAGAATAATTGCGATAAAGACTGTAAGAAGACAGATTCACTTTTTAAGCGACGTTCTCATTGCCGTCGCGTCGTTGAATGTTAAAGTCCTAAATATCTGGCTTGTATTCACCGCTTATTAAGAAAAAAAACAATGCCGGATTTTAACTTCAAAGGCTTTGATTCGAATGTGTAGCATTTATTTTAAGGATGGATTTCGCCGTAAATAACACCTAAATTGATCTCTTTTATGAAATGAAGTAATGAATTTCTATACTTAGTTTCTTTCCAAGTGAGACGTCCTTGCTTATCTAATGGACTTAACTTTGTATTACAGTCATCTGCCATTACTAAATTAGGAGTATCAGTCAACGATATAATTTTTTTGCTAAAAGAATCGAGGAACTCAATTTGTTCACGATTATCTCTGGGCATAAACATTGACCACATTTAAACTGGCCTCACACTGGGTTTTTAGACCAAAATTATAATCTCCTATTGGTATCGAGCTCCACTACATCTGCATGAAGTGTAAAATTTGACCACCCCATTCCGTCGCCCTCTAGAGTTCGAAAAAGTTTCTTGAAGAAAATAAACGTTAGCTTTTTGGTTTTTCAAGTACAGCTGTATGCGGATATTGATCTTCTTTTTTCTCGATTTCTTAAACCTCTCACGTTAAGCGACAAAAACTTTAAAAACATATATAGTATAAGTTTCAATATTTTATTCTTATCTTTAAAACGAAACTTAGTTTTATCAGAGTTAACTTTTCACCATTTCAAATATGATTTCAAAACAATGTCTTTAAAATCGCAGAAAACCCTGCAAAGATGAGTGTTTAATCAGCCGTGCGCGTGTTGCAATTTGTTTTACCAAGATTCATAATTAAGCAGTTCATCGTAATTAACGGTTCCGATCTTAATTAAACTTAGATGGGGAAAACGAAGCTGCTCAAATACTTGCTTTTTCGAAACGTGCAGTAACTCATGTTTGTCAATAAAGTTGATAGCCTTCACTGTAGTCGTGTCATTTCTGTTAATTAAAAATTATTCAGAGCAGTATTGATGGGTAGTGAACAACGAAACGTGCAGTAACTCGTGTTTAGACGTCTATAAAGTTTATAGCCTTCATTGCAGTCGTGTCATTTCTCTTTCATAGCGCTGAGTTGAGGATCAAGAGAACAAGCTTACACGATGGCTCGCCTTTTGTTGCTTTTCGTTGCAGGGATGATTTTTACAGCTCATGTATCCGGCATGTATGAGGTAAGTGAACTTTTTTTACCTTTTAAAAAAGATAGTGTTTACCGTCCGAAATCGCTTTCTACGGCCAGTACATACAAAAACGGAAAATGGTATTTAGCTATAATTTGCTTCTGGAATTCATCCTTTGTTTGGAAAAATTGTTGTTGATATCATTATATATACTATAATTCCATAGAGTACAAACCCACTAACTTTTACTGTAGCGCGTTATAATTAGAAAATATAGTTGAAAACCTCTACAAATAAGGGACGATATATAATATATAGATTTAGCCACGGCTAAAAGCGAAGCTTCCATGGAAAAGTTAAGTGATTTTGGAGTGAAACAAATCTTGTATCGAGTTGATATAGCCTTATATGTACACCCAAAAAGGTGTACGGTCAAATGTAAGAGCAATAATGGCTCTTGATCACAGTAGATAAGGCGTGGAAAACAAATCAGGTCGAATTTTTTGCGATCGACAAGTTTACAAATTCTTGCCAATAAATCTATTTTTACTATCCTGAAGCCTCTACATTTGGCACTGAAGCACTCATGTCCAAAAATAATAACAGCTTATCAAGTCGTAAAATTGAGACTCAAGTGGTACAGGATTGACCCAAATGATAAATGGCTGAAACTGTAGAAAGGGGGCCGGGCTAACGTTTAGGGCCTGTTAACATAGAGGAGGGGGACCCCAGGTAGGTGAGGTGACCTGCTTAGGTGGGGTAACCCTCCTGCCCATATAATCTCTCATTTTAATTTGATCACGTTTACATGATAGGTGGGGTGACCCTTTCAGGTGGGTATCCCGGTCTGCCACACCGGTTAACCCTCTCAGCTGAGGTCAAATATTGCCATGTCAACCTTTCAAGGTTGAGGAATTCATGATCGTAAGATTTCGTAACCACGGGGTATTCGCCTAATTGGATCAAACAAAGTACATTCATTTTCATAAATGATGCATCATTGGTTGGCTAAAACAGGCCTTGTTGAAATAAGGATGTGTTGAAATAAGGATGTGTTGACACCGGGGATCGAACTCGGGACCTCGCGCACCGAAGGCTGCGCACTAACCAACTGTGCCAGCCTTGCTCCTCCTTTTCCCCCGGAGGACGAGGCTGACATGTTTTAATCATTATCTCAAGGACAGGGTTACCAACGAAGCAAATTATAATCTAATCTTAGTTTTACAATTACAAAGTAGGCGCGTTGTCAGTTACGGTTCATGAGGTCGTTCATGTGGCATGTCAAACTTTAACGATTCTATCGTTAGGAAGTGATACATTTGGATTTTATGTTATTGTATGACATATTTGAAAGCTGGCTTTTTTATCTGTTTAAATTGATATGTAATGATATTATCACTGGCAAGTCTTAGCAGTGACACTGATAGCCGCACAGTGAACATGGTCACATTTACCGTGTTGAGACTGGGAACTAGTCAGCATTATGTACATGTAAAACTATTTTGAATAGTGTAACAACAACTAAAAATTACCAAATTAAAAACTTTAAAATTTGAAACAAATGTTTTTTAGCCAAATCAAATAAGAAGAGTACTCACCATAGGGGACCCAATTTGCTATCATAGGTGAAAGTTAACCCCCTCCCCCTTTTATCTGTAATTAGGACCATTTGTAACGGGCACCCCCTCCAGTATTAATCGGCAGGTGCTAAGGAAGCTCTGTGCCAAATTTGACACTTTTGTCACGTCTGTAACGATCCGGCCTATATTTTGCACTAAGAGACCTGACTATTAAGGTCCCTACTCACGTCACAACTGCAACCTTGTTTCCAGGGTTCTCTCCTCCACGACCTGTGACGAGTAGGAGAGAACCCTGGAAACTAGTATGCATAAATATTGCTGTCTCGTATCAAGTTGGCATACAGATCACGCTATCTCACCTTTCGTGATCCGGGATATGATGCAACCTCGTAAAACGACCACGTAAAACCATCTAGGCTGTACTGGAGATAGTAACGATAAATCCACCAATCATAATGAGGGTTTCCCTGAGTAGCCACGCTTGTAATAAGCTTTGAGTAGGGGTGAAAACTAATCTGTAGGAATTCTTCGCTAGAGTACCCTTCGTTAGCCCAGGATGTGTTCGCGTACAGCCTCGCATCACGAGACGCGAAAGGACTGAAGCTGGATGAGGCGTTGAAGTTGAGATCAGAAAGCTCATGTTTACTCAGACCCAGAGAGGAACGATTGCAAACTAAAAAGATAATGACGAAAATTACGATTCCTTTAAGAGTGCGATCCTGTATGCTCAACATTTGCTGAAAAAAATCGTTTTGTCGACTACTAGCCTGTGCGCAGATGTCTGTGACATCAGACTTCGCGCGGACAACGGGGCAAGAGAGAACGCCTAGGGACTAGGCTGCACCCGGACGAGTCAAAGGCTCTTGAATTGAAATCCAATCCCCAAGTTAACCATCGTACTCATCTAAAAGACTCCTGCGTGTCTTAAATTTGGTGAGACATCGAACCGTGCTGTAGAAAATTTGCTACAAAGAAAACTCTGAGTCTGGGCAGCGAACGATGCGAACTTCCCCGTGTTTTTATTTGACTTGTTCGTGGCGCAATGCACTCTGGTTAAATGCAATGCATTGTGGTAAAAAGTGTGGTTAAATGCAATGCATTGTGGTAAAAAGTGATGAATTCGAGAATTCGTCGCCCCTTATATATTTCCCTTAAATCCTGATTATGTTGCTGCTCGCTCCCTTCGGTCGCTCCTCAGCAATGACTGGACTTTAATTTGTTTGATCGGTAAACTTACGTTTTTTAACACAAGACAACAACAAATACTTTCATTTCCATTTATTTACGAAAAAGTAGATGATAAATCAACGGAATAAGTGCTAAAGTGGAGATTTTAATGCCGTAGTTGTTTTAAATAAAAGGTTCAGAGTTTAATTTGTGATTCCCTAGAGCATGATTGATATTGTCCTCAATCAAGCATGGTTCATCTGTAAGCTGAATCCTCTCTTTTTTAACAAGTTTATTGTAGGTTTGAGTGAAATACCAATCACGATCGCACGAGTCAGAGTTTTTTAATTTTTTTGATTGAAGTTCTGAATTGGCAAGAGTTGTTGGCCAAGATTGAGAAGCAGACAAAATTCAGCCAATGAAATTGCACAAACTATAGCTGTGTTGTAGAGAACTTAACATGTTTTCATAAGATCCGACAGTGTCACGTGAATAATTGTGATGGTGCTTTGCAGCTAATGGCCGCATTGACCTCTGCTCTCTCCACCATAGAATGACGATTCCGGGGATAAAGTCAGAGAAGCATGTGCTCAGCGTAAAGAATGTGCTAAATTTATGGAGAAATATGAGGCTTGCTTGGGGAGAGTGACCAGCAAGATAAACACAGAGGAGAATTGTGCACAGGATTTGTTGGATTTCATAGGGTGCCGTGATAGATGTGTAAGTACTATTAGCATTTTTTACTTCTTGCTGAGGTTTGCAATGCATAGATCCTGAAAATCTTCATACTCCTCTGTGGAAGTGATTAGAAGTTCCCGTGTTGGAAGGGATTCTCTAAGACCAAAAAATTTTTAAATTTGGGAAGCTTACTTGGAATTTCTCGAGGGGTAGTGTCGCACAAGAAATTTGCGTCAACTAATCAGAAACACCTACCTGGATCTGGGTAGTGACACGTCATTAGTACGGAATTTCTACAGTCATTCCTCAGACGTCATTTCGCCTTGGAAACTAGTGGTGTTGTCATGAAATGTTTGAAATACTGCTTGAGAGGCATACTCGTTTGACATGAAGCTGTGATTTTGCTATTTACGAGTGACATACGTTCCATAGCATTTAATGACGTGTAAATGACATTGTTGACAAAATGAACTAGACAGCCGTGACGCAACCTCTTTAACTGAAAAGTTGAAATTTTAGGGGAAAAAATTGAGCTGGGTGTTTGCAAGGAAACTGGTCATTTTGATACAAAGTTGTTTTGATACATACTAAAGCAGTGAAATTGCACAGTCTAGTTTGCACGTAAACAAGACAAACATTTTGGGTGAATATTATTTGTTCTTTAAGCCATGTGGAACAATTTACACCTTGACTGAATAAACTTGTATTGAAACAACTTTGTAATCGAAATGACCGGTAACCGTTTGCAATACTAAATTTCATGTGACATCTGGAAATATCCATAACATGAATTTTTAGGCCTGGTTACTTGCTTGTTAAAGCAACAAACATAATATTTTGTTGCATCAAACATCTTTAAGTATTTTATCATTTTGGTCTCACAGGGTTCATTTGACTTACATTGTAAGTCTTAATTTTTATTGTTTTTTTTTTCAGGTTTCGCGTAGTTTGTTTTCAGAAGTAAAGGGATGAATATTCATGCAAGTACCTTCAATGTTTGTAAGGATGAGGATGTTCCAGCTTGATTGCAAAGATGTTAAAAGTGTCTGTTGGGAACACTGGCTGTTTAGTCCTTTTTCATCTTTTTCCTGAATTACCATTTTATGTTAAAAACTGAAATATATATATAATAAATAAAACTGTAATAAATAAATAAAAACTGTCTGCATAAACTTCCAGTTTAAAAAGGCGGCCCAAGCACTACAATTTCAGTCATGTAGCAATATTGAATTGGGTAATAAAGAGTATGATATATTTCGTTTCTTCTTTGTATGAGACTTTATTACTATAGTTGCTCACTTTATACGACGAGTAATTCCTTATTTTCCTTAAAGATAGTCATCATCAGCGTAAAGGCGCATAAGGGCGACGCGCTGTCTGTCCAACCCGCCCTGTTTAGATAGAAAAAGGCGAGGGCGCAAAAAAATTTCCTCCCGCGACGCGAGACGGAGCGTCAGTGGAAAGGAAGAAAGAAGGAAGACTAGAACACTCTCACGTGTTTACTTCGCTAGCTCTTTAATCCATGAGGAAAAAGGCTAGACTCCGTTGTTTCTCCAACACACGTTGCCTTCGATTCATCTTTTACTAGGGTGATAGCACGTGAAAAGTTTGGTACAATTTTTAACTTGTTTCACTTGTTTCCAGGTGTTTCTCCAACGGGAAGTGCGCGGGGAAAGAAGTCAAGCTCCACGCCAGGCTCCGCAGCTGGGTCTAAGGCCTCTTCTCGAGCGAGCAGCGCGGCCAGTCGTCGAAGAACCGATCGGTGTTAAATCACGTCTTTTTAGTGCTGTCTTTTTCACTTAAGAATTATCTGACACCCATTGTCAGCCTAAGAAAATTATGTACATGTACTTGTAAATACTTATTGACTTTATAACTTTGCAAAATTCATAGTTGGTTGTCTTTGATTGATCTGCAACAGAATTAAAGAGTGGATCTGAAGTTTTTGTGCATTTGTCTTGCTGAGTGTCCTGTGTTCCGAACAGTGGCACGGGTTTGAAAAGGGAGGGGAAAGGAGGAAATTAGGCGCGCGAGGGGCTTGCGAGCAGATGAGAGACGCGCAAGTTACTGGAGCCACGAAGCTCATAGTCCACACAAGTTTTTTAATTGGCCTTCGCAAACACTCCTCCTCTCTGATAGGGCTAAAGACATTATTTGTGTCAATTCGTATATTGTTTCATTTTGAGAGCTTTGAAGCGTTCCTCAAGTAAGGGCCGTTTTGCCAAGGTATTAAACAACTGCCCATTCACACCAACTAAACATGTTTAATTCAACCACTAGGTTTTAAAAAATGGAAAGCAAACACAAAGACGAACACAGGTTTTTACACAGGATTCAAATTTGTAATTTGCACTAAATTGCTAATCAACAGTAAGCAGAGTTTATGAAGGGAAAAATTTTAAGCCGTGTTTAACTAAACAGCTTTCAAACATGTTTAAATTGTGAATGGGGCTTGAGTTACCCGTCGGAAACCTCGCTAATGCATGTCCTGTGATCAGCGGTATAAACCAAAACTAACACGGTAAACCTGGTTAAACCATGGCTAAAAAAGATAATGAAATTACAACTTGTTTTCAAACTTCTATTTAGACAATTTTGTCGATCCTTTCAATTTCAAAAGGAATTTAAGGGACGGGCATGGTCCTTATCAGACGTCCTTTCACTTCTTGTATGTCGGCTTTAGCTACAACCGTAGACTTCCACTCTCAGGGCGACCTTATTTTGCCAAGCCCTTGGTACAATCCGTAAGTACATTGCTCGGATCGGGCGCTGGAGTTGGTTTGTTACCACTGTATTCCTGTCCGTGTTACCGACGAATTCCTAGAACATCATAAACGTTGAAAAAGTGGTGTTTAATTTGGACTAGAACAGTGTAATGGTGCTTATAAACATTTTAGACAAACAAGTTAAATTTAAATGTGTCCTGATGGCACTTATACCCCCGTCGGATCAATTTAAGTTTCTGGGAAACTGCCCACCTAACCCTCCCCTATGTCAACATTAACACTTACTTCTCACTTAGGGCAAAATGTTGGGTAAGGGGAGGGGTAAGTGGGCAGTTTCCCAAAAACCTATATTGATCCCCCCGGGATAAATATAGGTTCCCCATGCATCCGTGCTTCTAGAGGAGCAAGCCTCATCCTTGATCTCACACCGGTATAAGGATCGGGCTAGAGACTTCATCGACTTCTCTGTTTGCCCTCTAAAGAAGAGCAACTTCCCATGCCTTCTCGATCACAAGTCGAAACACGCACATAACCGTGAAGAACCAATTGAACCAATTGAACCAATTGAAATAATAGGAAGCTTGGACTTGAAAAGTGAACTCGCGCAGGTCCAAACTATATCGTGCTTGTTCCATCTCGTTCTATTCGTCAAATTTTGGTAAATGTTTTGGAGTTGAATTTTCAAGGACTGTCTCGAATTTCAGGAAAAGAAAAAGAAAGTCGTTCTCTTGTGTTCACATTCTCCAAAAAACGTGAAATTAGGCATTTTCACATCGTAGTCGTGCACTAACGGCAGAAAAATGTACAAAAAAGGCGTGTTGTTATTTGCCAATCTATACCGTTTGCTTTTTTGCCGTTCTCGCTGTCGTCACCGTGCTCGTTGCTTAAGCTCTCTACTGAGTTCTACAAACAGGGAAAACTATTAAAGCCTCAGAAAAAATATAAAAATAGCGGTTGAAAAAATATTCTCTTTAAAAAAGATCGACGAAAGTTAGCTTGTAAGAGGGACCACCATTTTATTTTTTTCAGCTCAAGGGTATCAACAAGAGACCGAGTTTAATACTACGGAGCTTAAGCAACAACGACCACGACGGCAGTGAAAACATCACTAAAAAAATGAATTTGCGTCCTTTCAAACTTTATCGCGTCTATTTGGAAGCGCTCAATTCGTCAAATGTAGCCGACTATTCCTGGAAATGAATTGTTAATGGCTTTATCCACGTTCAAATAGAGGAAGGAAAATTTGTCGTCGTATGTCCACGTCCTCCATAAAACGTCGCATTGAGAGATTTCACGTTGTAGTCGTGCAGTGGACTTCAAAGAAATGTACTAAAATCCTGATGCATGTGTAAAGCTTTTGTTTTGCTCATAAAACCAATTGTTTTTTGCGTAGTTGCTTAAGGCCCCTACTCACGTCACAACTCATTTCCAGGGTTCTCTCCTTCACGACCAGTGTTGAGTAGGAGAGAACCCTCGAAACGAGTATGCATAAATAATGCTGTCTCGTATCAAGTTTGTATACAGATCACGCTATCTCACCTTTCGTGATCCGGGATATGATGCAACCTCGTAAAACGACCACGTAAAACCATCTAGACTGTAATGGAGATAGTAACGATAAATCCACCAATCATGATGAGGGTTTCCCTGAGTAGCCACGCCTGTAATGAGCTTTGAGTAGGGGTGGAAACTAATCTGGAGGAATTCATCGCTAGAGTACCCTTCGTTAGCCCAGGATGTGTTCGCGTATAACCTCGCATCACGAGGCGCGAAAGGACTGAAGCTTGATGAAGCGTTGAAGTTAAGATCAGAAAGCTCATGGTTACTCAGACCCAGAGAGGAAGGATTGCAAACTAAAAAGATAATGACGAAAATTACGATTGCTTTAAGAGTGCGATCCTGTATGCTCAACATTTGCTGAAAAAAATCGTTTCGTCGATTACTAGCCTGCTGTGTGCAGATGTCTCCCAAAGGAAATAGGAGACGTCTGCGCACAGGCTAGTCGACAACCCACAACTAAGCTATAACATGGAATAGTTGTTTTCCAGGAAGTACTACTTTATGAGCACTCTGGACTGTTATATCACATTGACACTTGATCATAAGCTTTAGCTGATTTCTTCTGAGGAATGGAGGGTCTATAATCTCCCCAGGCCAAAGACAGAAGAAGAGACAACCAAAGTGGATTAAGGGGGATAAAACTGGTGCTCTATATTAAAGCACTTTTATCTGCCTTCATTTTTGAGAATGGGACTAAAAAGTAAGGGTCTCAGTTAATTTGTGTAAGTATAGAATGTCATCATTATCGTCATCATCACCACCATCATCATCATCATCATCATCATCATCATCATCATTATCGATATTACCTTTATCATTGTTTTTGTCGTTTTTAATATCAACGCCATTGTCATTTTGATTATTATTACTAATGGTCAATTCAAAAAACAAAGGCTGCGTTTGGTCACTCTGGAAAGGTTAGCGGGAATTTTCCATATTTTTCATTCAAAAGGAAGAAGCGTCTTTGTCTTGGCTTCAAGTTATCGTGACTTATAAAGAGTCAACGCAATCCCACTGTTACTCTCACCCAGGCTCCTACGACTCAAAAAACTGAGAACGAGGCGAACGTATCCTTATAGTTTAACCCCTTTTACTACTCGTGGGAGCATTACTGATGGTTATGAATGCTGCATGTTTGCATTTTATTTACTCACCTTCGCATGTTTCTCCGCTGTATTCAGTGGGACAAGAACATTCAAACACAGGCGCGCGGTCAAGAATCTTGCACGTGCCATTATTTTGACAAGGAAAGGCTTCACAAAAGTCGTGCGGTGGTTTCAGCTTTTTAAAGTATACCGCGCCGGGCATGACCTGGAAGTTTTTGGAATCCGTTAAACTGGTCGCGTTGTTCAGCTCGCAGGTCTTGCTGGGAATGAAGAAATTGAAGCTGTAACAATACGGATCAGCGTCACATCTTGAGGCGCAAGATTCCATTCGTATCTCGGATATTCGTTCGTGGATATGACTAAAGAGGGCGTAGTCGACAATCGACTCCACAGAGCGGCACTCGTTCGAAGCGGTCATTCGGCTCACAAAAAAAAGCAACAGATGGGCCAATAGGACTTTTCTTGACATTTTGTTCTGCTTAAAACATAAAAGAATTATTCTTTTTAGAGTGTAATCTATTTTCCCCGTTTTCTTCATAAAACGTAATTATTTGCGTCGAGCATGATCTTTTTAATGTCAAGACATGCAGTTAGAAGACCTTCCTTACTAAGTTTAATGATGTTGTAACGGCTGCTTTATCATTCCATGAAATAACTATTTTTCGTTGTGTAGTGTTTGTACAACAGCAAATTATCGTTTTCGCAAAGTAGCGATAATAAGGGAGTTGAGCGAGTTAGCAATAGCAAGTAAGTCAAACCAGGGGTCAAAACTTCGTCCCAAGGAAGAAGTATAGAAACATCATATCTTCGTGACTTTTTTTAGTCTTTTGTAAAAAGGTAATAATTTTCCTTTTCGAGTCCATATCCGCGCAAATAACTAAAGCACTTCAACTGAAAAAGGAGACACTTATTCAAGCACGTCGGATCCTCAGTTAAATTCGCCTTTTTCCCCTCAAGTTCATATGTTTGGTGCCACAAATTACACTATATCTGCAACTTAAAGTCAATTAGTTTCGTAGTTAGATCTAACGACTTACACTAAAACTGACTTGATTTAACTTTGGCCCAGGATAGTCAACAAACGACTTGAAAATGATTTACACGAATCTCAGTGTCTGTTACAAGATTTCGAGTTTGTCCAAATGTGTTTTTCCCTCGCAGCTCACACGAAAAACAATTAGAAACGTCGCAAAGTGTGAAATTCATGACACAAGTACAATATCAATGAGATCCTGAATTCTGACAGAAAACTCGTATCTTTTTTGGGAGGTGCTTGTCTTTTACGGCATTTTAAATCATTTGCTTGAAGTCCTGACTACTGACTAACGTGGAAGTTTTTAAGATTGATATGTTCCAAGAAGAATATCATGCATGGAGATGTTTAGTCTATGACTAGGCCATTTTACACCACTCTTCAAACTTCAAATATAATAACTGATGAACGGCGCAAAGATAATTTAAATAATACAAAAACTTTCAAGTTTTAGGGTATTTTTATCTTATCCTGTTTGATCTGTTATAAAGCATTGAGAACAATCTGATAAATTTTTACATTTTATCGGCGGTCTTAATTAACACTTACGGTCTTTTTGGATTTTACCAAGATCAATAATAAGATACAATAATAGCTGTTAATGCATATTGCATCTTTTCGGGATGTAAATAGATAATTTTGGAGATCACTCCGGAAGTTGGTTCAAAATAAAAGGGGCTTTACAGTCGCTCTCATTTCTTTTCCTTTAAGTGGATTAAAATTGTTTTTTTACCGAAGTAAAATTAGCCAACGAGTTCTGGCTTCTTTACTGCAAAGTCTGCGCCTAGTTGAACCTCAGGAAACTTTGGGTGTATTTCTTCTCCTTCATGTATAACGATGGCTGCAGGAAGCTATAAAAATACTTAACGAATTACGTTCAACAAGTTAGTCAGTTTGACTTCCATTTCGTTTTCTCGCAGTGAGCTCCTAAGACTCCTAATGTTAATCACAGAACGCTCACACAATGTGTGTGCGACCGATTATTATTTTACAGTAAATGTACTGGATTTACCGTTTGCTTCACCTATAGCGATATATCGCTAAATATGTCTATTAATCAATATTAAATAAAAGATGAATTTCCTTACCTGTGGTATATCGTCGTCCTTTTGCTTCAAAAGCGGTTTTTTGAGCGATTTCGAAGGAGTTTGAGTTCGCCGTTTACTCTTCCTTCTATTGTTAGAAACAGTAAACAGGTAACGTAGTCAACGTTAAGGGGTTTATTTAACATTGATTTATATACATACTTAGCGATATATCGTTATAGGTGAAGCAAACGGTAAATCAAGTGCATTTACTACAAAATGACATTCGGTTACACACAGTGGGGTGGGCGCCCTGTGATGTTAATGGACTCAAGTTCTTCAGCTCTTGAAGGACTTGCACTAGAGATGGCTGGCTCATGGCCTCATTTTTTTCAGTTTACGTGTTTGTAATGTTCACCTCAACTGCGTCTCGATCCACAAAAACGGAAATTACTTGGCCAATGTACTGACATCTTGAGCTAATAAGCTTGGACAATAACGCATATATAGAGAGACCGTCTTTAATCAAGGTAATTGCCAATACCGTTTGCTAGCTCTTGGAAAATTTCATCTTTTTACGTGGCTCAAGAACAACCAGGCCAACGAAAGAATAACACATGATTTCAACAGCAGCCGTGAAAAAGTGATGCGTTACTAAAGTGATAACAGAAACTGTCAGGCTTCTCAAAACATACGGTTGCCTTAACAGTTGCCCGAAAAATTATAAGGGCTGCTTTTGGAATTGTATGTTGCATCAATGTTACGATAAAAAATGCGTTGATTTACCACCGCTGTTTGTATTATACGTTGTTTTAATCAACTGCAGGAGCCTATCACCCCTCAACTGCTACTAGGGCATATGGAAAAATATGCATGATACAAAATAATCTGTTGGAGAGTGAAACTGCTCTTTTTTTTAAGAAAGGAGGAAAGAGAGAAAGACATTCGATTGAAAGGTGGACATTGTCTTCCGTGTTTGACTCTTTGGTATCATCCGATCACTTTCGCACGCATTTTGTACCTACATTCTTTACCCAGAATTCTTTAGCAGAGGGCCTGTTTTACCGGTAGGCTTGGTCACTAAGCAAGTTACATGGGACACTGGCGCTGGATCGTGACCGAAGATGGTTTTAGACGAAGAAAAAGCGCTTTTAAGCGAGGAAATTGTCTTTGAAAAGGTTAAATTTTCCCTCTTTTATCTGTTGTATTGTTTTAGATTCAGAATAACTTCAAGCTGTGGTATTTTAGCCCTTTATGCCCCTATCAGCCCTATCGATTGTGGTGACACAATCAGGCAGTGAAACCGGCGTCCACTATAATGACAGGAATATCAGCTTAGTATGACTGGATTGTAATTTATTTGATCGGTAAACATACGTTTCTTAACACAAGACAACAACAAACACTTTCATTTCCATTTATTTACGAAAACGTAGATGATAAATCAACGGAATAAGTTCTAAAGTGGAGGTTTTAATGCTGTTGTTTTAAATAAAAGGTTCAGAGTTTAATTTGTGATTGCCTAGAGCATGATTGATATTGTCCTCAATCAAGCATGGTTCATCTGTAAGCTGAATCTTCTCTTTTTTAACAAGTTTATTGTAGGTTTGAGTAAAATGCCAACCACGATCGCAAAAGTCAGAGTTTTTAAATTTTTCTGACTGTGAATACAAAAAATGAAGATGTGAATTGGCAAGAGTTGTTGGCCAAGATTGAGAAGGAGACAAAATTCAGCCAATGAAATTGCACAAACTATAGCAGTGTTGTAGAGAACTTAACATGTTTTCACAAGATCTGACAGTGTCACATGAATAATTGTGATAGTGCTTTGCAGCTAATGGCCGCATTGACCTCTGCTCTCTCTGCTATAGAATGATGATTCCGACCCAGAAGATGAAGGTGAACAGGAGGAGTCACCAGAGAGTGGAGATGAAGATGACGAAGAGGAGGATGAAGAAGAATTAGAGGATCCCGGGGATAAAGTCAGAGAAGCATGTGCTCAGCATAAAGAGTGTGCTAAACTTTTTGAGGAATTAGAGGCTTGCAATAATCGAGTGAACAGCAAGTCAAATACGGAGGAGATATGTGTACAGGAGTTGTTTGATTTCTTAGAGTGCCGTGATAAATGTGTAAGTAATATTAGCATTTCTTACTTCTTGTTGATGTTTGCAATGCATAGATCCAGAAAATCTTCGTACTCCTCTGTGGAAGTGATTAGAAGTTCCCGTGTTTCACGTCATCATAAAAAACTCCAACAAGTATTTTAGACCCTCCTTACTTACTCCTTAAGCTTCTACTTACTTGGAAAAATGGAACGAGACAACCTTTCCATAGAGAACCTTTTTCTAGCATTTTTCATAGAAGGTAATTTTTTGTTGAACATTTGCCATTTTTGAGCCACTATTTCAAGAAGTTCTTGGAGATGAGCTACATCCTATATGTTAAAGGAGCTGTGTCATGAAATTTATCAAATTCGAATGGGAACTGCCACCAAACTAAGTGAAACGTGAAATAACTGCTGAGGGCATGAATAGAAGGTATAAATAAAACAACAAAATACAAAAGGAGGAACAGATGGACAAATTTGAAGATTGAAACAGAAATGTACTGTATTTTGAAAACTTGTTAGCCTAACATTTTTTCAAAGTTCATGTGCTTTGTTTGTAACATTTGAAGTACTGCCTGAGAGACATGAAGCTGTGATTTTGCCATTTACACATAAGTTCCATAGCATTTAACGACGTGTAAGTGACATTGTTGACAAAATGAACTAGACAGCCGTGACACAACCTCTTTAATTGAACTGTTGAAATTTTAGGGGAAAAAGTGCAGCTGGGTGTTTCCAAGGAAACCAGTCATTTCGATACAAAGTTGTTTTGATACATACACAAGCAGTGACATTGCACAAAAATTTTGTTAACTTTAAGTCTATTTTGCACATGAACAAGAAAAACATTTTAGGTGAATATTATTATATTTATTTTGTTCTTTAAGCCATGTGGAACAATTTACACCTTGCCTGAATAAACTTGTATCGAAACGACTTTGTATGAAAATGACCGGTAATCGTTTGCAATACTATTTCATGTGACATCTGGAAATATCCATAACATTATTTTTTTAGGCCTGGTTACTTGCTTTTTAAAGCAACAAACATAATATTTTGTTGCATTGAACATCTTATATCATATTTTATCATTTTGGTCTCACAGGGTTCATTTATCTTACATTGTAAGTCGTGATGTTTATTTTGTTTTTTCAGCTTGCACATAGTTTGTTTTCAAAAGTAAAGTGATGAAAATTCATGCAAGTATCTTCAATGTTTGTAAGGATGAGGATGTTCCAGCTTGATTGCAAAGATGTTAAAAGTGTCTGTTGGGAACACTGGCTGTTTAGTCCTTTTTCATCTTTTTCCTGAATTACCCACCATTTTATTTTAATGCCAGGAATTATTTACAGCTGTCTGGACAGTAATGTGCTTGTTGAATAAAGAAGATGTCATTTTAAGATAATAATGTTGTCATCACTTTGTGTATAAGTTCGTGTAATGACATGATTTGTTTGTTTACGGCCGCCCGGTTAGCTCATTTGGGAGAGCACCGGTCTGCTGAGTGGGAGGCCGTAGGGTCAAACCCCGGCCAGACCAACACTCAGGGTCTTTAAATAACTGAGGAGAAAGTGCTGCCTTTGTACTAACATCTGCAAATGGTTAGACTTTCTAGTCTTCTCGGATAAGGACAATAAACCGTAGGCCCCGTCTCACAAGCCCTTGCACATGTAATAAATCTGTGGGATGTTAAAGAAGCCACACACTTTTCGTAAAGAGTAGGGCACGTAGTGCCCGGTGTAGTGGACTATCTCACTTTCATACTCATGTATGGGGGCATCATCACTCATTCCTTCAGTACTTGTAAACTGCACCCTAAGCAGTCTGGCAAAGTCCCCCAACCAGTGTTGTAAATTATCCCTGAAAAGCCCTGTGGGGAGTGGATAATAAGATATTTACAATAATTATTTATTTACAATTATTTGTGATATTTGATATAATCAGCACAACTATTAAGGTGAACCTCCCCTTTGTGGGCACAAATAATGTCAAGATTTGGTGGTTTCTTACAGCAGAGGGCTGCAGGACTGTCACTATTGGCTGGGGGCCAGGGATTTTCCCCAGCTTCTATAAGACCCCCTGGCTACTTTCATAGGAAACAAAAGTAATATTATAAAACCAAAGGGACTTCCTAGCTGTTCAATTCTCCACCTACTAATTTCATTTACCCTGCAACTTCAGACACATGGCAGCGTGCAAAGAAAGTGGTGTCCGATAGCCTGGGGCTAGTGGATTTTGCTATCGGGCTAGTGGATTCTGTTCTTCACTTGCCCGACGGGCAAGTGATCTTTTTTGAGGAATTCGAAGAACAGAAGAACTGTGAGGTCAATTCTGCTCTTCAAAAAGCTTTGGGGCTAGTTGAAATGATGTCTGGGCTAGTAAATGTTAGCTTCAGCTTGCCCGAATGGCAAGCTGTAAAAATGATTTTCTTTGCACCCTGCATGCGGGCTGAACTGTATTGCTGTGTTATGTTATTTCACACATAATTTTTTTTTAGTTGAATGAGGTTTTTATCACAACTAATGACAGTGCAAGTACGAGTGTCTAATATTATGACTTACATAAGGTGCTATGAATAATTTATATGAAATTTTCACATAACAGTCAAAGTAAACTGAAATGCAACTACCGTTCTCAGTGAAAGTAGCAAATTGCTCAAGAAATGTTTCAATTATTGAATTGAAAAAATTTATCTTGATGTATTTGTACAAATAAAACATTTTCCCACCAAAAGCCTCTGAGCGGAGAAAATTGCAAAATCTGTTATCAGAGGGAAACAACTTTTACAGTTATCCAAGAATGTTGACCACTCACTGATATTTTCTTTCATAAATTTAAAGACAAGTTTTTCTTTGTGGGCTATAGCAAATCACTTAACAACTGTTCCCTCAGGAAACTAGTAAATTTTGTTTCCCAAGAATCTCAATGTTTCCTGAAGCAGAGCTGATGGCAACTTTGAGATTCTCGTGAAACAAAATTAATATTATTTCCCTTGGGACCTGTCATCTAAAATAATGAGGCTTAATAGCGACAATGAAGACAACAGCCATGAGAAGCATGTGCAGCTTGCTCCGCATGTATGCACAGGACGATGAATTCTTTTTTCTCCTTTAAAACATATATTTGGTGCACACAAATTCAATTCCAGGGAAATTCACCAACAGTTGACATTTTAAGAACGTTGGAATAATCCCAACAATTTCATGAAAGCAGTGTTCATCATGGCTTAATGTTTAAAGAGGGTTTTGTTTTGACTGCTTACTGGAGGTCTTCATCAGATGATAGAGTTGATTCACCAATCACCAACAACCAGAGTGGTACAGTCCTACTCAGTAAATTGACTCTATAACTTGATGAAGAACCGGGCCCAGTTGTTCGAAAGGTGGACAGCGCTATCCACTAGATAAATCTCTATCTACTGGATAACACAGTTGGTTTCCCTAATACTTATTTACTGGATAGTGATTTATCCGGTGGATAGTGCTATCCAGCTTTTGGGTGACTGGGGCCTACAGTACAGAGTGGAAATGTCACAATCTCAATATATAAGTGACAATCATGAGACAAATGATCAATGAAACCATCCTGACAAAGTTTGTAATGTTTCATAATGAACATCACAACTATTATTCTCCTTGAACTACTGAGCCCTTAAGGCAATAACAGGGAGCTTTAGCAAAGACAACATTATTATTAAAAAGACCTCATGCATTTGAGTTATCCAAACATTGTCATGATGGTTTCAATTAAATTCATGAAATTCATTGCTCCAGATACCATGTTTTCTTTATTTAGCCCCTTAGATACTGGCTTCTTTGTTGTCATTGCTACTGCATTGCATTCTTGGGGACCCTGGGTAGTTAACTGAGACAGGGGGCTATCTGCGGGTGAAATTGTTTATAAGAAGGTTTATTAAAGCGGGAAAGCTCCCTGTGGGTGCAATAAAACTTGATGCCTTGGTCCTAGAGGTTTTTCTTGAAATTTTTCTGCCTTTGAGCATGTTTGAGGTTATTGTACCTGCACCATTAATTTCAGTAACAGTACTAGCAAAAAAAATTCGTTGTTGATGCTTTTTGAGGTGAACACTTGTCTATCCTTTCAAGATATACTACTTTTTTTGCACAGAAAAAATTAAAGAAAACTGCTCTTCACAGCTACAACATTTGGTCATACGTTTGGCCATTTTTATTCCCTAGATCCTTGGTTCCCTAGACCATTTTTACTTAATCAGGGCGCAGATAAAAAAGAATTTGAATACTTGTCATGTCCTATTTAAAAAATAACATTGAGTGTCAAGTCTTCCGCAGGGGAATACCCTGGCTCTGAACGGTCAAAAGATGAAAAATGAAAGGATACTCATGAATCGGCTTCAAGTCAAAAATTAACAATTTTTTAAATAGAAGATAGAGTCTTAAAAGACTCTATCTTCTCCAAACTTCTAGTCGGCAAAGATTTTTTCATCAGTTCTCCGTTGAAATTTGATTTCACCTTGAATTTAACAGGTAAGTCGCAGTTTGTCCAATACTTGCTCTCCCCCACCCCGACGTTGGGGCAATTATTGAATCCCATAATGCAACACTTGCCCCTGGAGACTCTTGGGCCTCCCCGCTTGTTCGGTTTCACTATAAATAAGAGGCGACAAACTGTGCGACAAGAGGCGCTTTTCGGGGCGCTTGACTCGGCAAGGAAGGAAAAGAAAGAATTCTTCTGCCGTTATACTCTGTAATTGGGGAGAGATAACCGTGTAATCAAATCAAAACAAACGAACTTTCGCCACAGGAAAAAGTTTCAAGTTATTTCTATGGTTTGAGTTAGGCGAGAAGAGCGGATTTTTCGCTGAAGAACAAAAAGGTTTCGGCTATTACCTCATCGGCCATCTTGTTAAAGCGAAACTATGGCTTTTGCATCTGGATCGCCAGCCCCGTTACGGGACGTTAAACTGGTCCAGTTTGGAGTATTAAGCCCCGATGAGATTGTACGTATACTTTTAGACTAACTTTAGACGGTCGCCTAAGCTATTTTAATCGTTCTCTTGCTTTACCACGTTGTGAGTCGAATACCAAGTCGATCGACTCATGCGTGTTTTTTTAAGTTTTATGGTTGGCGATAAAGTGACCCATTCGATGTTGTTTTGCCTAACTGGACTGTTATTTACCTAGTTTTCGTTTTTTCGACAGAAACAAATGTCTGTTACTACTGAAGGAGGCATCAAGTACTCGGAAACGATGGAAGGTGGACGACCAAAGTTGGGCGGCTTGATGGATCCGAGACAAGGAACTATCGACCGCTTCTCTCGCTGCCAAACGTGCGCTGGAAACATGACTGAATGCCCCGGTCATTTTGGACATATAGAGCTAGCCAAACCAGTGTTCCATGTTAGCTTCTACAAGATGATAATAAAGTGCTTAAGATGTGTTTGCTTCTACTGTTCAAAGCTTCTGGTTGACGCGGTATGGAACTCGTTTTTGCTTCGCTTTCAAAATGGCTTACTCCTCCAGAGGGCATGGGCCGAGGTCAGACGTGAACCTTGGCGGGGATAGGGTAGGGAACGTTAGAGAGGCGTAGGGGAAGAGTCGTGAAATTTTGTTTGTTTGAATAAGCTGGCAACCTAGATTAGGTTAATGGCAATTTAACAATAATAATGTATTTTTCAATGGCAATAAAAGTTGTTCGTAGTAAAAATTAACTGATTTGTTATTTTTTTTTATCCAGCATAATCCCAAAGTGAAAGATATAGTGGCAAAATCAAACAACCAGCCACTAAAACGTCTTCAACACATCTATGACTTGTGCAAAGGGAAGAAAATTTGTGAAGGAGGAGATATTGTTGATGAGAAACAGCCAGGCCAGGAAAATGATGAAACTGAGAAGAAAATGGTAAGTACACATATGTTAGCTTCTAGATGGCAATTGAACTTGTGACCTTCTGTTCACTTGTTGGGTGCTCTAACCATTGAGTTACTGAGAACTCAGTGGTGAGTAGTTCAATTAACGGGTTGATATAAGTGCTACATAGCTTGAGTAAACAGCCAACATTTTGTGGCCACCACTGGTTTCCATGCGAAAAAACGTCTGTGGAATGACTGCAGTAATTCCATACTGATGATGTGTTGTGTCACTACCCAGATCTGGGTAGTGACATGTCAATAGTATGGAATTTCTTTGGTCATTCCTTGAATGTCATTTTGTGGGGAAACAGTTGGTGGCATCGTGAAATGTTGGCTGTTCTCCCAGGCAAACTGCCCTTCTCAGTCACGTAACTACTCTCTTAGTGGTTTTAAATAGAAGAGGTACTGTTTCTTTAAAACAGAATCATGGTGGTTGTGGTAGACACCAACCCCAGATCAGACGCAGTGGTTTGGACCTTACAGCAGAATGGAAAGAAGTAAATGAGGATTCACAAGAGAAGAAGATTCCTCTTACAGCAGAACGTGTTCATGAGATATTTAAAAGAATCACAGATGAGGAATGTGAGATTCTGGGCATGAATCCCAAGCACTCACGCCCTGATTGGATGATTGTGACTGTGCTGCCAGTCCCTCCTTTGGCTGTAAGGCCTTCTATTGTTATGAGTGGTTCTGCTCGTAGCCAGGTAAATTGCTAGTTACAGTAATACCAAAAAGGCCCTGTAAGAAGCTTTGATTTTTTGTTTGTGTTTAGTGTTAAAATAAAAAAATGATTGTTGTTCTGATGAATGACATATTTAAAAGTTGTGCTGTAGGGGCTCACAAGGTCTGGCCAGCATTTGAATTTTGTGGAAAAAACTAAAAAGCCATCAGGTAGTGTCAGAGCACTATCTTAGGCTTTTTTGTTATCAAAAGAACTATTTCACACTAATATTAGTTTAAGAAATGGATACAAATTCTGATTGTTTAAGGCATAACTAGATACTTAAATCATTCATACTAAACATTATATTAATTTTTTTAATCTCTTCAGGATGACTTGACTCACAAACTAGCGGACATAGTAAAGGCAAACAACAATCTTCGCAGAAATGAGCTCAATGGTGCTGCAGCTCACATCATTTCTGAAGATACCAAGATGTTGCAGTATCATGTTTCTACATTTGTAGACAATGAAATTCCTGGCTTACCGAGGGTCAGTTTATTAATTTTCATTCTGTTTCAGTTTTTTATTAGAAAGTGTTACTTGATGGAAATGAGTTTCCCTATTCCATGTAACTTAGTTCCATATAAGTGATCATTTAGAGAAATGTTTTACAAACCCAACTTGCTAAAGAGATTTTTGTTCTTTATTCTCACAGGCCATGCAAAAGTCTGGCCGCCCACTGAAATCAGTAAAACAGAGACTAAAGAGCAAGGAAGGGAGAATCAGAGGAAACCTAATGGGAAAGCGAGTTGACTTTTCTGCCCGTGCTGTCATTACGCCTGATCCTAACTTGTCTATTGACCAAGTTGGAGTTCCCAGAACCATTGCTCAGAATCTGACCTTTCCAGAGATTGTCACTCCATTTAACATTGATAGGTAACTGCAGTTGTAGTAATTTGGAATGAAAAAAGAATTATTTCCTTTTAACCAAGTAAAGTGAATGCACTTATGCAGGTTGAAGTGCTCTGCAGTACTTAACTGTAATCTTTTTGTCTTTTGATTATCAGCATGCAAGAGTTAGTGCGTCGAGGTAACAGCCAGTACCCTGGTGCTAAGTACATTATCAGAGACAATGGCGAGAGAATTGATCTCAGGTTTCATCCAAAACCAAGTGATCTGCATCTTCAGTTTGGGTACAGAGTGGAGCGACACATCAGAGATGACGACGTTATTATTTTCAATCGTCAGCCTACTCTTCACAAAATGTCCATGATGGGACACAGAGTCAAAATCTTGCCTTGGTCAACCTTCAGACTTAATCTCAGGTATGAATTCACTTGTCAGCCAAATCATTTATGGGAGCTCAAATTAGAATCTTGGGCACATTTGTCTGATAGTATGATTGTAGGAGTCTGATACTGTGATGTTAACCTCTTTATTAGAGACTGTAGACGTAAAGGGTTGAAAAAGGATATAGATTAAATTGAAGAATATATTATAAAATCCTTTAAGAATCAATCGAGGGTTGTTATGTCAAGGCAGTCAGTGAGAAATGCTCCTCAAAGCAGTGAAATTGAGTGGTACCTGGAGATACTTTCTTTGTTTATTGCATTTTAGTGTTACCACTCCATACAATGCAGACTTTGATGGTGATGAAATGAACTTGCATGTGCCACAGTCCTTGGAGGCTCGTGCTGAGATCACCGAGATCATGATGGTACCAAGGAACGTTGTTACACCTCAGTCAAACAAACCAGTCATGGGTATTGTACAAGACTCTTTGATGGCAGTCAGAAGATTTACCAAAAGAGATGTGTTCCTTGAAAAGGTCAGTTTCTGTCATATGTGCAAACTAGTGTTATTGAGGGAGATACAATTAGGGATACAGCGGTTTCAATAAGCACTGACGGCTGATGAAACGCATCAGTTACTTTGCTCATAGAAGTAAGCTACTTTTTTCTAGAAAGAAGAAGCATCTTGTTTGAATAATGTTGTAAGCAAAAAATATATCATAAAATCTGAATGAAAACGTAATTATGATGTGTTTTCATAAAGACACACTTGTTTTACATTATGCTTTAGTCATGTGAACACTTTATTTCATTCAAATGTTCACAAGTTTCTTTATAGGTTTAAGCAGAATTTGTTAACTTGGCCAAACAATCTTGGTCAGTAATGCATTTTCCTTTTGGTTATAGGAGGGTAAGGTAGATGACATGTCCTACCTTATTCTTTTTTAATTACCTTTGTCTGCTAGGTGTGCAAGATCCTTGCTGTGGATTATTGCACGTTATAAATTTTAAAATATTACCATGTTCAAATGTAGCACCATTTTTATGATTTACACGCTTCCTTAGATCCGTTCTTGGAGTGACACAACCTGTGCACTTTTGCATTGTCTTCAGTGTTACTGTGGTTTTGCTTAAGTGTGTCAGTGTGTTTCTCAACAGCGCTCAGCTGCAGATTGGGAACGCTTGAGTCATGAGTGTGTGAGAGCAATCTACCTCTCTGTGATGCCAACATGCCTTCTGAATGTCAGCCTACTGATTGCACCAGTGCATTAGGGCTGTGTTTTTGTTTTAGTAAGGCGGCATTACAAGGGACAATCATGTTTACTTGCATTTACATGTGTGACCTTCTTTGGGAAAACGTACACTAACGATATTTCGTTAAACGGTTAGACCGTTAGCTGTCCGTTAGTCATCCGTTAGATGATTCAATGAAAATCGTTAGAGGCGTTAGGCAATTCGTTAGCAACTCATCCGTAGCCGTTAGAGCGTTAGTTGTATCCGTTAGAGGTGTTAGTCAATTCGTTAGCAACTCATGTATATCCGTTAGAGCGTTAGTTGTATCCGTTAGAGCGTTAGTCCAGGAAACTAAAGCGTTAACTGACGATTCTATTGCTTTGCAAGGCCGCTGCCTTATAGGCGCCCTGTCGTCAGAGGTTTCTACGATTAATTTTATTCGCCCGCGGGCGACCGAAATTATAAACAAGGAGCCCGCATCGGGCACCTGAAACTAGTGATTCTTGCCAAACCCGTTTCCCAACGTCCAGTGAACGAACGACACAATTCCCTACCCGTTCTACGCTTTTGAAACGAAAAATTAATATCAAAATGCTTGGTCGTCGGCTGTAGGCAAAAGATACCGACGATAAGAAGTAAACAAACAAGCACACGTCTTGAAATCCGCTTCTCTGCAGACTTCCGCTAATTGATCTCGAATGAATTGAATGGTTGCAGGAAAACCTTCGGTATAAAAGTCCTAAATAACTGAGGCTCTCTAGTAATTAAAAAAGTCTACAATCATTCAATACAGCTTTTATTCATGTGTTGTCCGTCACACAACGCTTCACTGCGTATTCAAATTCCCGGGAGTCAAATTTCAACCGAAATTTGCATAAAGTTGTTTACGAAACCGATACGGCATCTTGTTGAAAAACTTTCATCAGACATCGAGGGGCTTGCTTGATATAGTTTTTGGAAACATTACAGTCCCAAGTCAAGATACGTGTTTGCAAACAGTAGTTCTTGTCAATACGATGCAGTAGAAGTTTCATTCCAGGAGAAATTGGACGGCCTGTTTTGAAGCGCAGTCGTTTCGAGAGCAAGTCGATTTCGATTATTATTTTACTCGTTGATCACATCACTAGTGATTTTGATGCTTTCAATTTTCAGCCGTTTATCGATCGACAGCTGTACTTAAAACTTTCGCTCAATACATTGATAACAACAAGATGAACTAACCAGCCGTTAATAGATTGCTTAATAGGGAATAGCGCTCGATTACTTCCACCAATTCAACTGTTAGAGTGTTAGAACAAACCGTTAGAGCGTTAGAACGAACCGTTAGAGCGTTAGAACAAATCGTTAGAGCGTTTGGACAAATCGTTAGAACGTCAGAACAAACCGTTAGAACGTTTGGACAAACCGTTAGAACGTTAGAAAAGCCGTTAGCTATCCGTTAGCTATCCGTTAGTTTTCTAACGATAACGAAATATCGTTAGTGTACGTTTTCCCAAAGAAGGTCACATGTATCTTTAAATCATTAGCCCAGTGTTCTCACCAGGCCGCGGCCTTGCGGGATTCCCGCAAGAAAAACTGAAATGGCGCATTAAAACCAAGAAGATGCGCCCGTTAGGACACAGGGGCAAGCTACGAGTCAAACGGACTTAAGTAGTTTTAATGGTCAACCTAACACTAAAGCATTCTGTTTGTTTGAATAAATAAAAAACATGATATCAAATGAGTCAAAGTCTTTAATTTTGTTGCCTTTACTTTCATTGGTCCCACGCAAGTCCCACTACATCGTAAACTCCTCCTCCGAATCGTAAACACCTCTTCCGCCATATTGGATCAGGTAGGTACTTCATGTAACAGACAATTTGGAGTGCGGGCTCAGGTTCTTCGTAACGCGTGTTTTTTGTAACTTTGTTCCCCTAATGTTCTTACAGGGCCCCTGTTTCTCAGAAGAGGGGGCCCTGGGACTCCCCAAGGCAAAATCCTGGTGAGAACACTGTTAGCCATACCTTCTTTCCTTTTTCATTTTAAGTGAATCATAAGTGAACATTCACTTTATCTTCAGGACACAATGATGAATCTGATGATGTGGATTCCAGACTGGGATGGCAAGATCCCACAGCCCGCTATCCTAAAACCCAAGCCTCTGTGGACAGGCAAACAGATCTTCAGTTTGATCATCCCTGGAAATGTGAACATGGTCCGCACTCACAGTACTCACCCTGATGATGAGGATAGCGGTCCATACAAACACATCTCTCCTGGAGATACCAAGGTACTGATTGTTTTTATCTCTTTTCAAACTATGGAGGAGCAAGTGTCACTAACATTTAAAAAAAGTGTCAGAAAGGTGGTAACATCCCTGTCTAACAATTTGCCATTTTAAAGAAATTGCTGGACTCATTTTGACTCCAGTTTCCTTCCCTTTTCTATAGTGGCGAATACAAGAAATAATATTGTATTGCTGCCAATTTTTTTGTTTTCACTAGTGGATGGATTGTGCACCAGCCATATTCTTCTTTAAAATCTTATTAACTCTTAGTCTTAATGCCTTTGTAAGCAAGCTTTTCAAACAAATCTTGCCACATTCTGGACACTTACTGGTACTAATTGTACAGGAATCCCTCAGTACAAGAAGGTTTGTTACTCTCAAGCGCTTTTTGTGTTATTAACATCATATGGTTGTTATTACACAGGTTTTGATTGAGCATGGTGAACTTATCTCTGGTATATTATGTAAGAAATCACTGGGAACCTCTTCAGGCAGTTTGGTCCACATTGTTGCCGTTGAACTTGGTCATGAAGTTGCTCGTTGTTTCTATGGCAACATTCAGACTGTTGTAAACAACTGGACCCTGATTGAGGGCCATAGCATTGGTATTGGTGACTGTATTGCTGACAGTGAAACCTATGAGGAAATCCAAAGGGTGACAAAGAAAGCTAAGGTAATCTGCAAGACCTGTCCTGTTCTTGTGAAATACGATTGTAGGCCGTATAGCAGTCACACAAATCATTTGCGCATGATGTCACAGTGGCCATAAAATCGTGGTTATGTTGGCGTATCAAGGAAATCCTGTGTGAGAGATTGTACTCTTTTCTCATTTTAAATCTTTCAATTCCATATTTTTACTCTAAAACAATTGGATGGTCTTGTTCCTTAAATTTCCTCACACTAAAATTAATCCCAATGTCATTTCACAGAAAGATGTGATAGATGTTATAGAGAAAGCCCACAATGATGAACTGGAGCCTACACCTGGTAACACCTTGCGACAGACATTTGAAAACCAAGTGAACCGCATCTTGAATGACTGTCGAGACAAGACTGGAGGAAGTGCTCAGAAGAGTTTGTCAGAATTTAACAACTTCAAAGCTATGGTGGTTTCAGGCTCTAAGGGATCAAAAATTAACATCTCACAGGTCAGTATGAGTCCATGTCATGTCTGCTGCAATAAAAGCTGTTACTTTTAGTTTCATCCAGTTAAAGCTAAGTTATTCCCACTTCTGACTCTCAACTGTTTTTGTCACATTGACATTCCAATTTGTTGCTCATGGATATTATTTTTGAGTGACTGTTCACGGCAGTCCAGGCTTGAGATAATGTTTTTTGTTTACAACCAAGTGTTATTTAGCAGCTCTGCTTGTCTCTCCCTCCTCTATCAGTTAGGTCAACTTGAATATGCCTCTGCCTCCATCTTTTCCACTGTTTTTTTTTTAGGTTATTGCTGTTGTAGGTCAACAGAACGTGGAAGGTAAACGGATTCCATTTGGTTTCCGTCACCGTACCCTTCCTCACTTTATTAAAGATGACTATGGTCCCGAGAGTAGAGGATTTGTGGAGAATTCCTACCTTGCTGGACTGACACCAACAGAGTTCTATTTCCATGCCATGGGAGGTCGTGAGGGTTTGATTGACACTGCCGTCAAAACCAGTGAAACTGGTGAGTAATGATTTAACATAGGGTTTTTGCAGGTCATGGAAAACCTGGAAAGTCATGAAATTGAAGAATTTCATTTCTTAAATTATTGTTAGTTCTGGAAAGTGATCGAAAATTATAGTTATGCCAGTTAGATTAGATACTGCGGATTTCAAAGTTAGGTCAGTGTAAGATAGAGATTAGCAATTTATATTAATGCCACAGACTTTCGTGGACACCAGAGTTTGTGTCTGTTGAACTGAGTTACCCTGAAACAGGGAAAATTTTGAAATATTTGAAAGTGACAGCTGACCTGAACGTCATGAAAATGTTAAAAAGGTCATGGAAAAAGTCAAGTAAAGTCAAAGAATTTAAAGAGCCCAAAATAGGATGATCTGTGCAACAGACAGATCATTGGTCTTGTTATAAATCAAGGCTTCTAGTCAATCGGATGAGAGCATGTTGTTGCAATTATGATTTATCAGAGAAATGTGTTTTTTTATATAGGTTATATTCAAAGACGTTTGATGAAAGCCATGGAAGGTCTCATGGTTGCTTATGATGGTACTATCAGAAACTCCAACAATCACATGATACAGTTGAGGTATGGTGAGGATGGTATGGACGGTGCTGCAGTCGAGTTCCAGAACATGCCATCAATAAAGCCAAACAAAGCTTCTTTTGAAAAGAAATTTCACTTTGACTGTTCAAATGAGAGGTGAGTGTCATGCCAAGATGTCTGCATGCAGAGAAAATAATAAGCAATGCTAAAAAATCTTGATCAAAGGAAACTTCAGGAAATAATTCATTTTTCACACATTTCTTTCTGTCGTACATGTAAAAGAAGTAGACAAGGTTTAGCAATTTATTTAACAAGCATAGAGTCATTAGTAACCTTTTTTTCTGTTTCTTAACAGGCGCCTTCGTCGCCATCTCCAAGAAGATGTTGTGCGAGATTTGTGTAGCAGTGCTGCTGCTCTTCAAGAGCTAGAAACAGAGTTCAATAAGTTGCAAGAAGACAGAGAGATTTTACGTAGGATCATTCCCTCTGGCAACTCAAAAGTAAGTGTGCTCATGAACTGAAATTTACTGGGGTGAGCTGTGGTGTCTAGGTGCAGTTATCTCACAGAAGAAACTGTCATCCTTATTATTAATTTCCACCTGATTTTTGTTTCCTTATTTCATAGATAAGAGAGCACTACACAGTAATTCCTCTTTCCCAATAAATAATGAAGGGCCCCTTGCAAAAACATCCCCTGGCCCACTCGTTTCCTTTTTGGAGAGGAAGCACTCCAGTTTTTGTATTTGTACATTGTCACTGTGTGTTTATCTTCTTAGAAAAAAAAGCTTGGCTCCTTTTTGTTTTTTTGTTTTTTTTTCGTTTACACAAGGTGTTTACCCATGTTTCAGTTGACATTGTATTATGTGTTATTTTTAGGTGGCTCTTCCAGTAAATCTGGGTCGCTTGATTTGGAATGCACAGAAGACTTTCCATCTTACCAACAGAACACCAAGTGATTTACACCCACTTAGAGTTGTTGAAGGTGTGAAATAATCTAATACTAACTTATGGTGTTTGATATTCTGTGTAAGAAGAACTTATGAACACACTTACATGTATCCAATTAACTTGCTTCCAAAGGAACTTTTATGGAAAAGAAATTTACAAAATGTGGAAATTTATCATAGTGATATTAGGTTAAACAGTCTTTTGAACAATGAAAGTTCAGATGAAACGGCTTTCTCAGAATCAATCTTAAATTTGTTTCAAGTTGGTTGTGCTCTCGGATGGTGTTACACGTGCTATCAGACTTAAATTAAGTCTGTTATTAACAAGGCTGTGCTCTAAGGAAAATTAAAGGGAGCCCAGTGCTCTGAAACTGTAAAATCTAGGGTGCCCAGCATATGATTTGTATGAAAAATCTGCGATTTTCTAGTCGCCCAAGGGCAAAAGTTAGGCGCCAGGGGCCACCGGGCTCTGCTAGAGCACAGCCCTGATTAATGATAAAATTAAGACTCTGTGCAAAGTTTTTTAGGAGAACAACATTTCAGAATATTTCTTAGATTGTTGTTTATGGTTGTTCTTTTTTCTAGGCATACGTGAACTGTCCAAAAAGTTGATAGTGGTACATGGGGAAGATGCCATCAGTAAACAGGCTCAGTTTAATGCCACACTGTTGTTCAACATTCTTCTACGCTCAACCCTGTGTTCTAAACGAATTGCTGAAGAGTTTCACCTATCTTCAGAAGCTTTTGAGTGGCTACTGGGTGAGATTGAGACCCGATTCAACCTCTCTATGGTAAGAATAAATTGCAGTTAAGTTGAATTGGGGGCTTGTATGGGCCATGGAAAACCTGGAAAATTTCATTTTCTGGGCCTGGAAAGTCATGGGAAATTAATGTTTTGTTAATTAGTAGATCAGTTACTACAGGTGCCAGAGCAAGGACAATGCAGGATAGAGACAAAATTCATAAAACAGTATGAATGGTATGCATTTTGATGGACACCAGGATTTTGTATGTTGAACTGAGTTAGGTCAAAAATTACCTTAACACAAGAAATGTTTTAAAAAATTTTCAAAAGTGAAAGCTAAACCTATGGTCACAGAAAACTTGAAAATTACAAGGAAAAAGTCGCGGAAAGTCATGGAATTTGAACAGCTCAAAAGGGTACAAACGCTGTGAATTATGTTCATGCAGGTAATGCTGTTTATAGGATTGTAGTACTCTACAGATTTTGGGTTTGCTTCTCAAATTTAGTTGTTGTTTTATTGTTATGTTCTCAAGGTCAAACCAGGTGAAATGGTTGGAGCCCTGGCAGCTCAGTCCCTTGGTGAACCTGCTACTCAGATGACCCTCAACACTTTCCATTATGCTGGTGTATCAGCCAAGAACGTCACCCTTGGTGTGCCACGACTTAAGGAGATCATCAACGTCTCTAAAAAACCTAAGACCCCATCACTGACAGTTTTCCTTGTGGGGCAACCTGCTAGGGATGCTGAAAAAGCCAAGGTGAGAGCCAGTTATTTCATTTAGTGAATACAAGAAGTAGCATGTAAATGACTTCATCAAAATGCAACTGTCTGAAGATTTGTTAATATTTTGCATGGTTCAGAGAAGTCTGCACAGTACCTTTTACTTGATTCTCAGACTGAAATATTTGCCAGCTCATTTATCTTCTGCAGATTCATTAGTTATAGTATTTTCCCCTAACCTGGATTTCATTTTTTCTATTTAAAGTTTTGGGTTAATGACTGCTCCTGGTTTGGAGAAATGAGTAGTCTTTCTCTCTTTGACAGCTGCATAAACTTTCATTACATTCTACCTAAGAATCTACTCCTACTTAGTAGCTACCTCTTGCTAAAATTAATGCTTTTACAGTGTACCTGAAAATCAAGTCTTAAACCCTCTACATGTTTTGTGTTCATTCGGCGTGTTTGCTTTATCCTCCAGGATGTGCTCTGCCGGCTGGAACACACAACCTTGCGTAAGGTAACGGCAAACACAGCCATCTACTATGACCCAGATCCCCAGAATACCGTGGTGGTGGAGGATCAAGACTTTGTCAATGTTTACTATGAAATGCCTGACTTTGATGTAACTCGCATCTCACCCTGGCTTCTGCGTATTGAACTTGACCGCAAGCGCATGACAGACAAGAAACTTACTATGGAACATATATCAGAGAAAATCAACCTTGGTTTTGGTGATGATCTGAACTGCATTTTCAATGATGACAATGCAGAAAAGCTTGTGCTGCGGATTAGAATTATGAATAATGATGATGGCAAATTCCAAGAGGTAACCTGCTGTTTACTTAAATGCAAGTACATGTATGTTATTTTTCTGATAGACTAAGACTCAATAGAATTGCCAGCACAGGTTTTTTCTGGTGCTTTTTTCTGTTAAAGAAGAGAACTGTCTCTTATCTCTCATCAGAAAATAAAATTATGTTAGATAAAAAAGTCTTTTGCCAAGAGGGACCAAGGAGCACGCTCATCCCAGAGTTACATGTATTTTGGTCACTTAACAGCTATAGCTCAACTTCTTGAACATCCTGGCAAACTATTGTTAGAATTGCAGCTTGCATTGTTATCTTTGAGATCTAGAAGCATGTTTTTGCATTTCGAATTACCTTGAACTGATAAAAGACTACAAGAATCTCTGATTTTATCCCTTAGGAGGAAGAACAACTTGACAAGATGGACGATGATGTGTTCTTAAGGTGCATTGAAGCAAACATGCTGACGGACATGACTCTACAGGGCATTGAAGCCATATCCAAGGTTTACATGAACTTGCCAAATGAGGAAAACAAAAAGAGAGTTACAATCACTGAAGAAGGAGAGTTTAAACATATCCAAGAGTGGATTCTTGAAACTGATGGTGTCTCACTCATGAGGGTAAGTAGAAAGGACATTAATTTTGCCGACCAGATCACCATTTGAGTGAAATAGACCTGAAAAGTTCTTTGCAAATCTTAAACTTTGAAATGATAGCCCACTCAAATCTCCATGTGCTATCACATTATGGGTGGTCACTTACATGTATGAGTGCTTTGATTGTATTTGGTATTTGATCAGTGAGGCCATAAACTCCAACTGTGGGTTGATTTTTTTTGGAAGCTGAGCAATTTGTCGTTGGACATTGTGAAATATGTAGCTCTGCTAAAATGTTTGTTTAAAAACATTTTATTTTTCTGGCAAGAAACTATGTCAAACTTGGTTTTGGAGGGCCATGATTGACTCAACTCATTCTTGTTTCATGTGATTCGTTCTGATCTTTCTCTTTGTTGGTTGTTAGGTCCTGAGTGAAAGAGACATTGATCCCATACGTACAACTTCCAATGACATCTGTGAAATATTTTCTGTAAGTAGATTTTTATTTACATGTTACTTAAAGGTTTCGAGGTCTACTTTGAAGATCGAATCCTAGAGGGGATGCCATACATGAATTAAAGTTGTTGTTGGTTCTTTTCCTTGTTCTGAGAGGTTTTTCTTTGAGTTCTTCGTTTTTCCCTCTTTTCAGAAACCACATTTCCAAGTTCCAATTCAATCTAAAACGTAATGACACGTTGAAATGGGTTCCTAACAGTTCCTGGGTTGTTTTATGTATTATACATGTCAACTTGCCATAAATATTATCGCAGTAGAACGTGAGTAAACCAAGAGAACTGACAGAAACTGAGATGATGCTGGTGGTCTTGAGGTAGTCCTGATGGGACAAAATTCAATTTTCATTCCCTTTTGTAAGCGTGCTAGGCTTTTGTACATTATGCGTTGGTTTCCCCACCTTAATGGTCCGTTTTTTCCACTAAAATGCTTGTTGCCGCCCCCCCCTCCCCCAACAAACAATTCCCTAAAATACAATTTACCTAATAATGCTCTTCATTGTAGAGAGGCTTTTTCATTGATTTCAACGCTAACAAAAACGAATATACAGTAAATAAATGTTTTTTTTCCTTCTTCATTGTCAATTTTTTTCTGAAAAAGTAATAATTTTCTGGGAAAATTCCGCTAAAATACACAATAATGCTTAATGCTGAAAAAGTGCTCGAAAAAATGCAGGCATAATGCGCAAAAAGCCTGAAGCGTGCCTGCTTTCTCACAGGATATGTTTCAGTACTGATTCAACACTGTGTTGTTGCAGGTTCTTGGGGTGGAGGCAGTGCGAAAGGCAGTAGAGCGTGAGATGAATCATGTCATCTCATTTGATGGCTCTTATGTCAATTACCGTCACTTGGCTCTGCTTTGTGACATTATGACGTGTCGAGGTCATTTGATGGCCATCACAAGGCACGGTATCAATCGACAGGAGGTTGGCGCCCTCATGAGGTGCTCTTTTGAGGAAACGGTAAGTGATGTGCATTAAAATGGTTGAAACATTAGCATTTCCAACTTGGTACACAGTTACATGTACTTTAAAGTACTTGAAGTGCCTCCGTCTCATTTTTAATTCACGATGAAATGTAATCACCCCCCTCCCCCCAAAAAGAAACAAACAAACAAAAAAATGTCACAAGACAATTCATCTTTATATGAAATACATTTTTCTTAGGAAAAAAAAAGGCTCGGAACCTATCCCGCGGGTGCGTTGATCTATTACATTTTTTTTTAAATTCAATATTTATCCAGGGGCATCTAATTTAGCAGAGCTAGTTTAAATGGAGCCCTGACATGTTTGTTCGTGCTCAGAGAAGTGAAAAAGATCCTTTGTAGTTTTCTTTATAGCTTTTGGCAGCGACTTATCTGTGAATTCTGTGTGACGTAACTCCAGTTTGGGGTGACTTGTCGTGGTGTGAAATGACCTATGTTCATTTTTTTTTCTAATCTAAGGTTGACGTCCTGATGGAAGCTGCGTCGCACGCAGAGACAGATTACCTGCGGGGTGTGAGCGAGTGCTTGATTTTAGGCAAACTGCCCCGGCTTGGAACAGGCAGCTTTGATCTGATGTTGGATGCAGAAAAGTGTAAATTTGGAATGGAGATTCCTACCAACATCATGGGGCCAGGCATGATGGGTGGACCTATGGCAGGTGAGAGTCCAGCTGATTAAGATATAAATTGTCTTTATTGTGGGTTTTTTAGTGAGCTTTAAGAGGGTTTCATTTGTTAACTTTCACCTTATGCCTGCACTCATATTACTTTCGTAACACACCCTCCTGACTTGTGTCGACTGAGATACGACCACTCAGAATGCCTGGAAATGTGCTCACCTAAGGAAAAGAGCTCACCTATAAGGTCTCTTTGACGTAGCTTTTTGCTGTTGAAAAGGAGAAAGAAGAAAGATAAATGTACTGAAATACAGTAGATGTATATTATTTTGATCGTGCTGGAAAGACCAGGTCGCTGTCATGATCCGGATGTTAACTGTCTCACTGAATGTTTCTTTCAGGCACCGGAATGTTCTTTGGTGCTGCAGGGTCGCCAACAGCAAAGTCACCGCAAATGACGCCATGGAACAACGGAGCCACACCTGCCTACATTGACGCGTGGAGTCCTGGAATGGGCAGCGGCATGACTCCAGGGGCTGCTGGTTTTTCGCCTGCAGCTTCCGAAGCCAGCGGTTTTAGCCCTGGAGGCTACAGTCCTGCCTGGAGCCCACAGCCACACTCGCCAGCTTCTCCAGGCTTGCCTAGTAGCCCTTATATTCCCAGCCCAGTGGCAGCGAGTCCAAGCTATTCGCCATCAAGTCCTGCGTTTATGCCAAGCTCGCCTTCCCTGTCGCCGGCGAGCCCGTCTTACTCGCCGACCTCTCCTGGATACTCTCCAAGTTCACCATCAACTGGATACTCGCCAGCAAGTCCAAGTTATTCACCAACATCTCCATCGTATTCCCCGACTTCACCTTCCTACTCTCCCACATCTCCTTCCTACAGTCCCACGTCTCCTTCCTATTCTCCCACGTCACCGTCGTATTCTCCGACATCTCCGTCTTATTCTCCAACTTCACCATCTTATTCTCCAACTTCTCCTTCTTACAGTCCCTCCTCGCCGTCTTACTCGCCCAGCTCTCCTTCGTATTCTCCAACATCGCCCTCGTATTCCCCCACATCTCCTTCCTATTCGCCCACTTCCCCGTCATATTCGCCAACATCACCTTCGTATTCTCCAACGTCTCCAAGTTACAGTCCGACATCTCCATCTTATTCGCCCTCTTCTCCCTCGTACTCGCCCACCTCTCCTTCATATTCCCCGTCATCGCCATCTTATTCTCCCACATCTCCCAGCTACTCTCCGCAGTCCCCGTCGTATTCTCCAACTTCGCCTTCATACTCACCATCCTCCCCCAAGTACTCTCCAACCTCACCAAGCTACTCTCCTACCTCACCAAAGTACAGCCCCACTTCACCAACCTACTCTCCAACATCGCCCTCCTACTCTCCTTCCTCTCCAAAGTATTCTCCTTCCTCGCCATCTTACACCCCTTCTTCTCCAACCTACTCTCCAACTTCCCCAACCTATTCACCATCATCTCCGCGCTATTCTCCAACCTCGCCTCAGTACACGCCTTCCTCGCCCAAGTACAGTCCTAGCTCGCCCCATTACTCGCCAACGTCGCCCACGTTTACTCCAGCATCAGCTCAGTACAGTCCAAGTTCGCCTAATTACAGTCCGGCGGGAAGTGGGCCGTCGCCTTCTCCTCAGTACTCACCATCTTCACCTCGTTACTCCCCGCCTTGAGACTACTTTTGAGTCACTGAAATGCAGTCAAACTGCTATCGCAAGAAAGGACTGAAATAACACGGGGAGAGCCAATGTATGAAAAATGCAAACTGCAACTTACGCTGTGCGTGCACGAAATCAAGTACTGTTAACAAAAAAAAAATAACAAAAAAAAGGTGCTTTACGTTCAATGCATGGATATTGCCTGTTACGTGATTAGCATAGTTCATAATTTAAGACGATTTAACGAGAGGTTGTTTCTATGGTGAAACGACATCTCGAAGTATTTTCAACGGTTTTTGGTGTACTGTAACGTTATAATTTGAGTACTCATCTTACATGTTTGAAAAACAACAACGACAAAAAATTAGTTAACATTCAATACTTTTTTCATCTCAAACTAAAGGAGTAAATGACGTTTTCATTAGTAAATTATATTTATGCGAATCGTTTGTCAAATATTTGACCGTAAAGAGCTCGTCGATATTGAGAAAATTTTGGTGATATTAGAGTACGCAGATTTGAATCGTGAATTTTTTTGTCTTTAATACTCTCTTTTTATGTCTTGGTAGGAGAGAATAAAAATTCCTTTAAATTTTAGTGTAAAAACCAAAAAAAAGTTTAAAATGTGAAGAAAAGAACAACAAAACATATTTTATGGATAAATGTCTCTTGTTCTATGTGGACGCGATATTGTCTCAGTATTTCAATAGAATAGGCTTGTAGCTGTTCAGTAATAGATACTCGCATTATCTATTCTGTTCTTACTCACTAGAGTAAGTAACAATTAGGGTAGACTGTTTCATCAGTTATGACTAGCATTAAAATTTTTTCGCTACCTAAGTTTTAAATAAGGAAGTTACTTATTAATCCCTTTGCGTGGTATCGCCCGTTAAAACCCTAAAATAATAATAGCAATATTGGTATCTTGAAAGCAGTTGTTGTATAGTTTTGTTTTAAAACAAAACATGAAATAGTTAGTTTCGGTATATCCCATGCCCAGCGCTAACTTGTGGTGGCGTTTAGACTCTGCCGGTAGTGTTTTTTCTCTTTTCCTTTTATTCGAGAATTGTGGCTTTTTTCGCTTACGTCACTGAATTGTAGTATTTCGAAATTCTGGATAGTTGCGTAAAATACCACGATCAAAAAATAAGAATTTTTTCCTGGTTATGTTAGCTTTGTCATGTATCCAGTATTGTAATGCATGTCATGCAATGAAAATGTAGTTACGTCCCTTGTTTAGCTTTAAAATGTGATTATCATTGTTGCCAGCCTGCTGATACAGTTCCCTTAATCATTATTATCCGTTGTGGACGCTCGACTGAGAGAGAAAGCAGCTGCTCGCTGTCACGAACGCATGACCGTGCTTAGGTTGGCGTCCAGTAGAAGCGAGACAACGCTGTATGTGCAGGCATGGGTGCATGCCCGAATTTCTAGCTTAAGAGTTTTTTTGAAAAGTCTTCATTGAGGCCGGGTAGCTGTATTCCTTGGTTGAGCAGGGATACCTTACGCTTCCTTTTATAATAAGACTATCGCCATTCAGATACCAGCTGATACTTTCTTGAGAGTTCTATGTAAGATCGACTTTTTTGTCGAGGGAGCAGATTATGGGGAATCCCTGCAAGATACCAGGAATACTCAGCGTTAGAATTGGCCTTAGCCTGTTCCACTGGGCGATCAGTTGGTCGTACGTGGCTAGCCTATAAGGAAAATGACTGACTTTTTTTTTCTCCAGCGTTCTACTATCTGAACGCCTGGAACAGGCTAAATTGGCTTATGAGCTGTAAGAAATATCTTTTTGAAATATTGTCATTTCCTGTTGTAGAGTTAAATAAATATTTTAATTAAAGAACTTGTTTATTTTAGTTTTGTTTGATTTGTCGTGTTTCCGGGAGGAAATATTCAGATGTGGTTGGTCATAGAAAGTGGAGAAAAAGTCCCCAGCCTTTATCTCCATTTTCATGATTTTCAGCGCGTTCCCCGTCCATAGATGGCGTCCTGCCATCGAACGCTAAAGACAAGCGTGTTTCTTAGAGTATCAAACAAACCCAACCTGGCGCTATCTCGAGAGACACTAGAGTCTCTCTTATAACAATCTGAGAACGGAAATGAATTATCATTCAGGAATATTGGCGCGTATGACTAGCTAGCAAAGCCAAGCGTCAGTTGAGGCTTTCGTAGTTGTAATTCCTTTTTCCAAATGGGTTGGCTTGAAGGTTATTTTCGTACAAAACATTCGCCACATTGTGAAAAGTTTAAAATCACTGTCTTTGCACATTTGAGATGCAGCAAGTTTAGTTTCAATATAAAAGTTTTTTCATCGAAAGAGGATCTTAATTTTTAGTGCATATGATAGACATGTGATGACACTCAGTTCTTCGTTCTGGGTAATCAACCTTATTTTCTCTTCCTAACGTTAAAAAAATGAATAACTTTAATCAGATTAGAACCCATAAAAGGCAAGATTATGGGCTACTGTTTTGGGTTGATCCGGGCGAGACATACATCATCGGAAGTATTGCTTCGCCTTATTCCGAGAGATCCTATATTTTTATTTATACCCCAATATAACAAGGCCTTTTTGTCTTTGTATTTACGTCACAAACACGACTTCGTCCCTGTCAGTACATAGATGTATCTCCCCCCTCCCCCCGCCTCCGCAATCGCTTTTCTCTCCCCAGGCCCGTGGCGCGCGCGCGCCACATACAAAGTATCTTGTTTGCTTTTGCGGGTTCTTGACTGAATGGGGTGACATGACTATTCTCAAAAACTAAAAATCTACCTGGTTCAAGAACTGATGCTAATGCATTGTATGGGAATATTTATTCTGATCTATCCATTGCAAAGGCTAATCTGAAAAATTCCCATCGAGATAGCGTCAAAAATTATACGGACATCGGCGCCGAGTGGAACTGTACGATGATATCACGTAACGTTTATCAACACATCTTCGGCTCGTAAATATCACAAGTTTTTTCCGTTAGTTCACCATGGCTCACGAGGAACAAGAATCGTCTTCGACTCTTAAAAGCACAATCTCAGATACTGGTAAGAATATATATTTTATGTAGACTCCTGTTGAAAGGGTAATGTGAGAAAATGAAAAATGTTCCGCTTAGATCATTTTATGTATGTTGGTGACGTTGTCCAACACGCTATTAAAAACGAGTACTTATAAAGATTGAATGAAGTCACTGCTGAAATCATATCGTTATACGATAGTCTGTTTTTCTTGGACAATAAGCGTTTTCAGTTTAGAACTTCTTTATATAATAAACATTTGCGTAGTACCTTAAATAAAGTTCATCTCATGGAGAAAGTGCCTAAATGTTTATTTTATTCTTCATCGATCTATCCCGTTCGAACACGCAGAGAAAATAATTATCAGGAATATATTTATGTGGTCAAACGTGAATTAAATAACTGTATAATTGTTGTGCTTTTGTCTCCTTGAAGAAGTAATAAGAATCTCAAATAGAATCACTAAGAAATCTCTGGGTTTCATCTCAACCTCTAAAAATCGAGGAAAAAATTAGATAAAGACTTTGTTGTCATGTTGTAAGTTACATGTCGTGAAGCAGTGAAGCATGAAAAAGTAATTTATTCATTTGATTCGTCTGCTGTGTTTTTATGTTCATGTGCTTGTACAGTTTTACATGCAGGTATCGTTACTACATGTACATCTTTTCCCTATCGGTGATCTTCTCTGATTGAAAAGCTTCTAGTAAGTCTTCATTGAACCAAAATGACAGCGTACCAAAAACAAAAACAAAAAAAATTGACGTTCTTGTAAATATCGCCGAGACATTTTCATCCATAAAAATCCATCTCCAAACAGTCACTAATCCATCGTTAATTTCGTTCAAAACAACCATCATATACCGCTCCAAAATAGTGTACAACTATACATATTTTCATTAATTTAGGGCTGTGTATTTTGACTCTATCATTATAGCACTGCGAGAGACTGAGTAATCGGGATAGCTTTCTAGCTCGAGTCGTAGTTCCATGAGGTAATTTAAAAATTAATGTCCACTTCAGTTTTTGGTTGCGATTTTTAACATGTTTTGATAAAAGCAAAACGTGAGGGGACAAATAATATTGGTTCTGAGAAAAAAGATTTCAAATGTGATATCGCATGGAAATAAATTAATGAAAATATGCTACCTAATATTGCTTTTTCTTTTCTTCTTCTCACAACAACAACAAAAGAACGTATGGATAAACGAAAGAAAACAGAAATTTCATTATTTTGTTGGGAAAAAAGAAATCTATATAAAAATCAAGACAGAAAAAATATATAAGAAATTAAGAAATGATGGAGGTTTAATATTCAAATTAGGATTAAATTTTGAGCTGGTAAATGCAAAGAAAATATTCTGCTTGCTTTTGAGGCTGATTGTGAGTACCAAAGTATGGTAAATAAATTTTAGGTTAAAATTACCTTTTAATGATAGTATTTAGTTCTATGTAATTAAGATTTTAAATGTCAAGCTCATTGATCATCGTTGTATATTTAACATGAATTTATTCATGATTGTCTGAAATATATACAAAGAGTTAGGGGTGATGATAACTTTAATAAAATTCAGTAAAAGTAACATTTCTTTTTAATAATATACAAACACAGATGGATGGCATTATTCCTTGCAACTTTGGAAAGTTTGAATCTTATCTTTCAATGAAATTTTGTCTTAACATTTCCTCAGCCTTTTATAAGAAGCCAGCTTTTATTAAGTCCAGAGAAATGCTTAGACACCATGACCTTGTGCGAATCATGAGTTTGACAGCCATGATCTTAAACGCTTTTATTTCCAAAAATGAATGAAAATTTTCACCCCAAGAGAAAATTATTATATTTAAATGTTAAAGTTAATTAGACTGGCCACTGTTTTGACCTGTCATCTGCATGAACTTTGAAATTTCTTATGCAAGTTACTTTGCATAAGTCGGAAAAATAATTTCATTACTAACACCCCCTCACCGAAAACGATGTGACCCTCCCATTTTGATCCCTGAAGTAACCAAAATGATTCTTTTTTTTACCCTAGTTTGAGTCGCTCCTTGACTGGCTTTTGTAGATCAGCCTGCAAAGTACAGACTCAAAACATAAGCATAATGATAAATTTATTATTCACTAAACTAGGATGTGTGAGTTTGTATGTATTGCATACCTATATTCTTGCAGTAAGTAAAAGCAAGCTTGTATGTGAATCACATGATGTTGGCTTGTATTTTGTTATTTTCTTGTTTACCTTCTGTATAATTGTATAGTAGGCACTGGATAGTATGTTTGAATCTAGTGGTGACAAAACCCTCTCTTCCCAAGAAGGGTAGTACATTTATTTTGAGGGGTACATTAGTTGCCTTAGTGAGAAGCTATGATATCACTTATAATCTTAAATCTTTCTGTTCTTTTTCTTATTCAGCTTTATTTAAAAAAGTCATGGGCTTCTACATTTATAGTCAGATAAAAATAATTTGTTCATTGGTTTTGGGGATCCTTCTATATGAAATTGACAGGTATGCTCGTTGGAAACAATCTGGGCAAGGTTCACGCAGGCTTTAGGAGACCATGTGGTCCAACAACTCTCTCCTTTCCACTGGCCTCTCTGTGTCGTAGGGGTGCAGGGGAGAGCGAAAAATTGAAGATTCGTTGTGGACGCGCCTACAATTAAAATTACTCGCTATTTTTAAGTCTATTTTTATTGGAATACCACCGGAAGCTAGCTTCTTATGCTGGGGGAGAGCTCAAGCACAGTATGATGACATTGTTATTTTTTATTAGGTTGTTCTTTTCGTGCAACCCCAAGCTATATCCTTCATCGGTAAAATATTGGCTTTCGGTCCAGGACACCCTAAGTTAGACTAAAACCAGGAATTTCTACCCCAAAGCGTGACGACGAGCATCCCCGTCATTTTTTATATGGATTCATATGGAGTTCCCCCACCCCCCACCAGCGCCCCCCTGCCCCCGATTCCCAGTAGCAAACGTCATGATTTCTCGTCCCGTGTGAGTCTTTTCTTGGTTCCCGACAAGCAAGAAGGTCTAAGCAAAGCGTTGTTGAAAGGTTCTATTTTCTACCGACAAAGATTTCTTCACCGCGACCGCTTCAGCAATGCATGCAAGAAAAGGGATGTCGCGTGTAATTGGCAAGATTTGTCGAGCGTGAAATTTAACCGTGATCCGGGATTCGTGGTTAATTTCTCCAAACAAACACATAATACATGCCTTACTGAAAGTATATTGTTACGTGATCTGTTTGGGAGATTACATATGAGGAGAGTTTTGGTGTGATTTTTTGCCGAGTATAAAGGTGCTTTTTATAGCTCTGAAGCACAATTTGCGGAAACGGGAAGCAACGTCAAAGTTCAAGAACCATTGGTGTTAAAAGTACAGTTCGAAACTGGAAGGCCGCCATGTTGTTCCTACCAAATTTGTGTTGAGGTTGAAGCAAGTTGAAGAGGAAGTAACCAGTCATCGACGGTATAAATAAGTAATGAGCTGAGTTATGCTGAAGAAGAAAACCAACCGGCTTTCTTTCTTTGGTAAGGAACGATGTTTTTGTTTTTCATTTTGCCAATAACGATAAAATTGTTTGCACAATCACGGTTTCGCGTGTTTTTCGCGGGTTTCTCGAAGCTGATTCTTAGATATTTCCAGAGGGTTTTCCTTATTTTTGATGCTGTTCGCCGCCGTTCGTATTCTGAGGTTTAGCCCGCCGTTCTGTTAGATTTCTACTTTAATTTTAAAGTTAAATGATAAATCGACTGGAGGATACTTTAAGATCTTTTATTAATTAAATAAATAAGCTTAAGTAGGTTTTTTTTCTGCCTGGGTGAAATTAGATTATTCAATGCTCATAACGTATATTTATTCTTTGACGTCAACATTTTAACTTCTGACAATTTTTTCTGTCAGACTAATTAGCCGCGTGAACAAGGGATTCGAGCCCTAGGTAGAGGAAGATAGAGGTCTTGGTTTTTTACACACAGGGAAAATCCCAGACAGTGATAAGAGAGGATTTCTGGTTAGACTAGACAGACGCTGTGTAGATTAACTCAAAAGCTTTATAATAACAATTCGTAGATGGTTGCTGAGAACTTTTTAACATAATCAGGAACTATATTTTTCTAATTTTAACCAGATTTCGGAGGGCTAGTGCTCATTTGTGTGCCAGTATGACGTTGGAAGCTTGTTGTGTGTCTTAGCTTCACACTGTAGAATGCCTCCTGACCATGTTTTCATCACGTTATTTACTCAAATAAGTGCCCAGGTGCTTAATGAAGGTGGCTCAACTGGGTTTTCCAGGGACAATACCTCCCACGTTTTAAGTATTGACAAAGATTTGGAAAAGTGATAATCACAGTTGCATTAGAAGGGAGTTTGTTGTTATCAGTGCTGGGGGTCGGGGGGGCTCCATATATGGGCCAAATAGTTATGTGCCACCCATAAGGGTTTTGTTTTTGAGGGTTCGAACCTTAAATAGGGTTTCATTTTTACCCATTTTGGCGTCATGTTCTCCCTGTTTTCCTTAGATAGGGTACCTAAATAATATTGTTAGGCTAGAATTCAAGTGCCTAAATGCCCAGCTACAAAAGAAACAATTTTTTTGTTAATACTGAGCTATCCTTTAGAGTACTAGGAAAGTGATTTAATGAATTCTATTTTTTCCACCTTGAATAGGGTGTCATTTTTCAGGTCTGGGCATTAAATAGGGTTCATTTGTCTCATCTTTAAACAAGGTCAGGGTTAATTAAGACCCTCTTTAGCACACGCCTATCCAAAATTTATGGGGGTGCCCCTTATCCCCCCTGTTGGGTATAAGTGTTACGTTGACTTGGAAGTTGTTATAGCAATACAATGATGTCATTATCTATTTTACTTGTAGCCATAATTATTTCTCTCTTCTTGCAAAGTCTTGGATTTACCTCTCTTTCAATCTATCCAGATCCAATGGTTAAAAGTTACACATCAATATTTCTGTCATGAAAAATATTGTTCATTGTGGATCATGTGTATGAAGGGTGTTGTTAATAGTTTGCCTAGCGACTGTCACTTAGATATTGATCGCCATGTTTCAACAGCTTACTGCAGGTGTTCTTTAGGTGATGTTGTTGATTTACTGAGTAGGACTATTTGTACCACCATGGTTGTTAGTGATCGGTGTATCATGAACCTCGCTTATTATTACGCGGTCAAAACATTCCGATGAATATCTAAGGCCTGTTTCAAATGTCGTGCTACTGCCGTGCTAAGCTGGCTTGACTGTAGCTCGACTGAAGCACAACACTAGCACAACTTGGTTTCAGACGTCGAATTTAATTCACACAATGACAGTCAAATGGAACGGCTGTTGCCAAAAACAAAACACAAAAATAAAGGAATGGCTTAGCAAACTTTTGAATATATTGTAATGTATTTATAATTTATAAATTGAGTTCGGCACGGCGATAGCACGAAGTTTGAAACCAAGTCGAGCTACTGCCCTGTAGCACGGCAAGACTTGCCATGCTACACGGCAGTAGCACGACTTGGTTTCAAACGTCGCGCTACTGCCGTGCTAAAGTCTAATTTAATTCGATCAATTGAGTTCAGCACGGCAGTAGCATGACGTTTGAAACAGGCCTAAGTGACAATCTTGAGACGAACAATAAATGAAATTATTTATCACTAACCCTTTAACCCTTTTTGTCAGTAGTTAGCATAATTTTAATTTTGTTTTCTCTTTAAAAATAATGTCAGGACCTGGTGCTAGTTATGAAGAACCCAAAATTAAGGCCATTGACATAGCTGCTCTTCTACAAGAAAAATATGCTTTCTTGTCTGGTAAGTAAGGTGTTGAGCTTTAAGCAGTACATGGGTTGAAAGAATATAGTTTTATTAATTTAACTTGAAAAAGAAGCCGCTTTTTCTGAGTAAAGTAGCTGCCACTTTTTCTTGGCCATTCCTCAGTGCTTAATGAAAGCATTGGGTCATTGGTTTTATGCCAAGATATCATGGCACACATAAGTGACAAATCTGTCAAACCTGTTTTATATTGTGTTTTATAATAATTTTGTTGTATGTGAACAATCTTGATGTAAAGCTTCGACTTACTTGTTTACTTTAAGCACCTTATTAACATTATTGTAACATACAATAGAACCCTCCACCATGGTTTTTTCAACTTTTGACTGGGACCAGATACCAAAAATCTAGCTGCATGGCATAAAGGAATGCCTTTAAATTTTTTTAGTGAAAATGCCAAGGTTGAACATGATTATTTTGGTGTGAAAACTGATAAAGATATAGTGCCGCAAAGTCACCTAATTATACAGGCGTTCATATGGTGGGGGAAAAGTTTGTGTCCCCCACCTAATGTGTGAAAAATACTAGTTACACTTAATTTAGTTACTTGATACTACTGTAAAATCCTTTATTTTGTAACTTTTAGGGGCACAAGCTAAGAATGGATGTCTTTTCATCACAATGCCTGAACACCCAAAGTTTGGAAGCCTCAGTGATAGAGATACTGAAAGAATTTTCAAATATCTTGTTGGATTGGCCAGGTACCTGGGCATTGTTTTTAATTTTTTGGGGAAAGAAGTCACTGTTGATAGTGTTTGACAAGTCTGCTATTCTGTACACTCCAGTTAAGTCGAATGCTTTCTTTTTTAAATGGAAGGCTTGCTGTGGGTGTAACCAAAAATGTTTAATCAGTGGGAGTTAAGAATATTTTTTACTCTTGTGGACAACACAATGTTGTTGTTGCCAAGTGTTCCCTGTCCCTGCCCACTTCATTTTTCTTGGTCACCCCTCTTTATTTAATATTTGTTATTAGAAAAGTTGGAACAAATGACGACAAACAGGGGTTACTTTCGACACCAACTGTCTATAATCCTGCATAAGTGCAGGTGTTACTATTCATTAATGAAGCATCAGTATTAAATACTAGTCCTATATTGATGTTTTTAATGTGCCCTTATTGAGATATAATGTATAATAATAATAATAATAATAATATTTAATACTTATATTGCACTTTTTCTATAAAAATACTCAAAAGCGCATTACAATATTATTAATAACTAAATTAAAAACCAGTAAAATTACCCGGTAAAATTACAATATTTAAAAATAAATAAATAAATAATCTAACTAAAAGCCTTCTTAAATAAATATGTTTTAACAGAGCGTTTAAAAGAGTCGATTGATGTTTCCTGTCTTATTGGCAGAGGAAGACTGTTCCATAAAAAGGGGGCAGCCATCGATAACGCGCGATCTCCCAAAGTCTTCTTCGTTCTTAGCCGAGGTCTTTCTAGCAATATACCATTATTGTTACGGCGTAGCTGGTAACGTGAGTCCGGTAAGACAGAGACAAGATCCTTAAGATAGCTAGGCGCAACACCGTGAAGAATCTTAAATGTATGAGGCATTAGGCTGTTTAAGACATGCGTCAAAATTAAGACAAGAAGAACCACAACATCCATATCCCTGGATGATTCCTGATGTAAGGAAAGCATTTTAACTGGCAACAAAAAAAAGTCAGAAAATATGAAAACAGCTCCTGGCTGCTCTTTTACTATTAGAAATCCAGGCAAGAAATGTTTTTTACAAAACTTGGCTCAATGTTTAAGTTGGTGGTCAATGTTTTATTGAATATATCACTGTCTTGAGGTTTATAAATGCTGTATTTTTGCCTACCATTGCAGCAGAGAAATGCTCCAGAAAGGTTTTATGTTGGTTCTTGACAGAAGAAAAGAGAAATGGGGCGCAGTAAAATCCTGTCTTCAGAAAGTACAGGTACTGCTGAAATAAATCGTGAATTAAAGTACCGTAAAATTCCGCAAATAAGCCCCTCCATGTATAAGCCCCTCCAAAGCCCCCCCAAACCAGTAATACCAAAAACCCTGCGTTAAATCGCCCCTCCAAATATAAGCCCCGGGGGCTTGTACTTGGAAAATTGCCCTCAAATACAAAGTAAAGCAAAACAAAAACGGTAAATTTACTTCCAACTATAAGGCTAGCTCAATCGATTTTGAAACGCAAATTTCCCTCCGTAGATAAGCCCCTCCAAAAATAAGCCCCTCGAAAAGGACCTTTGAAAAATATTAGCCGCGGGGCTTATTTTCGGAATTTTACGGTATAATTCATGGTACAGTTGAATCAACCTCAATAATTATTAATCTAGACATAGCAATCAGTAATACCAATGCCTGGTAAATTCCAGCTTGTCCTTTGGGCAAGCAGCTATATTTATTTAAATAACAGTATTCTTGTTATTTTTTGCTTTTTTCTTAGAAATGCTTTCCAGCTAAAATAAGCATTGTTTGCCTGTTGAAGCCACAAGGGTTTTTTCAAAAGTATTCCAAGCCAGGCTTTGTCACAGATGGCATAATTGGAGATGCCAAAATTCAGGTGTGGTAAAGGCTTTTGAAGTGTAATCTTACTCAAAAACAAGAAATGTGGAATGGTAAATAAATCTGTAGCTTCAGGTATAATTGGTGAAAAAGGAGGGAGGGCAAAAATTGTGATAGTATTTTGTGTTCTGAACTTTAGAATAAAACAAAGATTCAATTCACAGGAAAGAAAAACGTATTGCACACAAGCTTTCAATTCAATCATGGAGTCTTTATCAAGGGATGGGATTGGATGTTTTGTCACGTGATTTACACTGTGAATCACCTAACAATATGCCGCGGTAGATTGCGGGGAGCTTCTAACCAGTTAGTAACCCACCCCACAACAGTAGTCATTGCCCCATATCCAGTCATAGTAATGAGCCCCCACGGTTTCAATTTGAGCTTCCTCCCTATTAAAATATTTCTAATTACCGGGGCCTAGCCGAAGGCTGGCACCAGTCATAAAATGCAACGCGTTTCTGTGTTTTCAAAGTTACATTGTTAGGGATATATCGCTGACTGAGATATATCGCTGGCTCGTTACTTTTGGGAGTGTTTGCTGAGATATATCGTTGGTTCAGAAATTTGAAGTATGGAGCAACAACTGTAACCATGCAAATATTAATTCGATTAGTTTGCACACGGAATGGTTTAATGCGACTATATTTACCACTTATCAATAAATGAGATCCCTGTCTATTGCAGAATATTGTTACAGTATTCATCCTAGCGATGACAAAGCTTGGTCGACGTAGGCTGTGTACACTACAACAAAGCAAAAATCTTAACTTATTAAACTTGCATGCGCCAAGCTTTGTTTATACGTTTCAATACCTTACAATTAGCACTCCCAACAGGAAACTTCATCAAATATTTTCCGACAAACAATTAAAACTCATTAGGAGGAAGTCTATCACTGCTTTGACTTATGAAGCAACAAAACAAAATATTTTCAAATAACCTTTGTCACGGAATATTTACGTTAGCGAGATGCACAAATTCTCAACTGTTCAAAATGCGGGATTCCCTAACATTTTGTCTTTTCACATTATTCATTAGATGTTGATGTAGAATTTTTATGTTTTTCTCCTTGGTATTCTTAGCTACTTTGGATTCTTGTTGCTAAGAAATATCTTATTATTATGTGATCGATCTGAACACGTGACTGAGAACTGCGTAACTTGACAACCTAGGATTGGGAGTTGAACCCTCATCTATTGTTCTGGAGTTTTAATTACATGTGACCTTTGCTGCAACGCAGTCATTCGTTCTAACACACTCGCCATGCGAACAAATTAGCTTTTCCCTCCTCCTCCCCTTGCCCTTTCCTCTTTCCTTATTTGCATTAAACCATTGCTAGGGCGTTTTTATGCCCTCACCTTTACTGGACATAATTGTTTACCTTTGTGATTTAGAAGTATATTGAAATAATTCAGAGAAAATTAATTATTCATTAAATAGGCTTACGGAATGGTCAATGCGACTATATTTGCTACTTATCAATAAATGAGATCCTTGTGTATTGAAAAATATTGTTACAGTATTCATCCGCTTAGTCGCTGCTGAACTGTGTACACTACGATCTTAACATATTAAACTTGCATGCGTGAAACTTTGTTTGTGCGTTTCAGTACCTTACAATTCGCACTTGCTACAGGAAACGTCATCAAATATTGGCCGACAAATAATTAAGACTCATTACAAGAAAGTGTATCACTGCTTTGACTAATCAAAAACCAAAAAAGACTGTTTCACATAACCTTTGTCACGCAATATTTATGTTAGTGACATGCGAAAACTCTCAGCTGTTCAAAATGGGGGATTCCCTAACATTTTCTCTTTTCACATTATTCATTACACCTTGTTTTCATCTCTAAAGAATATTTGCAATAAAAAAGATTTTCATGTCGCCCGACAAACTTGTTGATGAAAACGACCCTTCCACGTGGGTTGCCAAGACAAAAGTGGCCCCGGTAAAATTCACGAAGTGATTCTTGTTCTTTTAATTATGTAATTTGCATTGCCTATGACCTAATGTATGCCGTGTTTTGATGGAATGACTGATTTTTTTCTGGCAGATAAATAAACTCAAACTGAAACTTTCACAACCCCGTTCTTCAAACATTTTTCTCATTTTTCAGATGATGAGGAACAAGGAACTTGCTTTTGAATCATGACATTGTCACCTTTTTTATTGTTTTAGCAGTAATGGGAAAATTAGTTTTCAGGAATCTATTAGCAGTCAAAACAAAGTCAGTACCAAGTATCTCTATAAAAATATTTACAAAATAAATATTTACTTGTATGGCAGTTTTTAATCATTATTTTGTCGTCGATCAGTTATCTAGTTCTTGAATCAAACCTTTGTCTAAAGGCTCTTTCTTTTTTTACCTTCAAAATTTAGGTTGTCTCTCTTGGTTCTCCAAGTGATTTGGAGGGATACATTGATAAATCCATGCTTACTGAAGAATTAGGAGGTACCCTACAGTATAAAAATGCTGAATGGGTTCAGTTTAGAACAGTAAGTTTTTATGATGTAAATCTGTGAACAAACCAAGGTTAACTTTGTGTTCGATCTGTGAAAAAATGTTGAATAATGCTATTTATGTATAAATACAATGATGTATAATATTTTCTAACAGAATAGCCTTAATCATCCTAATGCCTTCCTTGGTTGAAATACGTGAAATATTTTTTTGAATCAGCTAGTGGGCTTCAGTAAAGGATTTTAGCCAGGAATTTACTCACTGTAAAAAGGCATAGTACTTCAATTCTTAAGCCAAGAATTCCTGAACCAAGATGTCAAAAAAGGGAATTAATTTTCTCTCTAAAAACTTAGGGTCAGTTATTTAAAGGGTCAGGTTCACAGTTAAGAACATGCTCATTAATTAAATTACTTTTTCCAATTTATTATTAATTCTATCGGTTAATAAAAATCCCACTCACATGTATGTCAGCGATGTCAGAGTGTGTAAATTCACTCAGAGTGTATTTCAAAGTAGAAGTGCATTTCAGAGTAACCTGAAGTAGGATGGAGGAATACTAAAATAGCAGAGAAAATTAGTGGATTATGCCAATGCTACCAACATTGAATTTATAGTTGATAATAATCCCACTCACATGTATGTCAGCGATGTCAGAGTGTAAATTCACTCAGAGTGTATTTCAAAGTAGAAGTGCATTTCAGAGTAACCTGAAGTAGGATGGAGGAATACTAAAATAGCAGAGAAAACTAGTGGGTTATGCCAATGCTACCAACGTTGAATTCCATAGTTGATTAATTTACAGCTATTTGCAAATAATTATTTAAGCTGATCAAGTGCGAGTGAGTGCCAGGGGAGTGTGCAGATTGGTTTTTTGACAACATTATGACATGATCATATTGCTTGCATAGATCATAAAGCATGTATACCAGTAGAAAACAGTATTTTGATAAATGAGCTTGCGCTGAACTGTAAACCTGTCCCTTTAATCAAAGCCTAACTTAGGCCGTGGTTCAAGAAATTATTGGACCTCTGGATTTCTTTCTTTGTGTGTTATAATATGAAAATAAGTGCTTTTCCAGTCTACACTTTATGCTTTAATGAATTTGTTCATGATAAATGTTGCTTAGATAAAAGCATTGGGCAAATTGAAACTGGCTTAGACTGCAGTTTTGTTAAACATGGGGTAAACTCAGTTTAAATAACCAGCCCTTAGTGTCCAAATTAGAACCCTGCAGCTTCTCTTCTCTCGCCTTTTTCCACGAGTTCACCCCTTCAATAATATTGTGATTATAGTCTTATAAGAATAAGCCTTGTTCTGATTTTAACGCCCACTAACTACATGTAACTATTTTTTAGGCAATTGAAAGGTTTCAGAAAAACTTACTTTCCTTTGATGAGAGGATGAAAAAACTACGGCAGACTTTCATGGGAACAAAACTTTCGTCAAACATTTTTGAAATGGAACAAACTATAGAAACACAAGAAGAAATGTGGCAGGATGTTAAGGAGGACATTGTTAGTGCACGCCAAGCGGGTGTTACCTTACTGGACTGTATTACAGTGCATCGTAAATGCAGAGAGGACAGTGATAAGTTTACTCCTGATGTGAAGGCAAATGCTGCAGAACTTAAAGAAGCATTAACACAACTTGAGGATTTGGAAAATAACTTTAGCAGGTTCTGGAAAGAACACAAGCTAAAAATACAGTATGGGCTGAAAGTGTGTTTGTTTGAGAGGGAAATGAGCCAGGTGTGAAATTTGTTGTTGTTGTGACATGCAAAATACGGGTACATGTGTATTTGGCAGCTATTACTCAATTTTGAAAATACAGACTGAACTCATAAGAGTAAATTTGCTAACACTGCTGTGGTGGTCTCTTTTCATTACCTCATTTTCCATTTGAAGAGACATTGTTCCAGTAGATGGATACATTAATGTATGTACCCTGCGAGCACATTTTTCTTTCCTGCATATGGCTTTTAGCATTTGCGAAGTTTTTGCGTGGCTTGTCTGTCCTGTAGTTGGATTGTTAGGTCTTGCAAATAACTTTGCAATGCTTAAAAACCATGCAAGAGAGAAACCTCTACTTGCAGGGTATGTTATGTATGTGGAGTGAAAAGGCATTGTGCCCTGCGAGAGTGGAGCTCATCATTAAAATGATAGTGGTGCTCATTATTTCTTGTAGGGGGCACTTGTATAATGAATATTTTTTTATTGTTGGTAGAAGTATTGAACATTGAAAATCACACTTTCGGAAAATGCAAACATGAATCTGTCACTTTTACTACGGAAACATTCAATATAAAATGTCACAAATTTGCATAACTTTGAAACAACTGGCATTTTTAAAATTTCATCTTATGGTAACTTCATTACAACATTTGCATGCTTAATCTTGGCAAGAAATTACAATAGTCCCAGAACTATATCTGTGAAAGTTTTAACTATGCCTGTGGCTGCTGAAAGAACCGTACGTGCTGTAAAACACTTCTAGCACAAAACAAACAGTGACAAAAAGTGCATGTGCTGAGAAGTCGCTACACAACATTACGACTGCCTTGAAGAACAATTTTTTTTTGCAAGCATGTGGTTTTTGTACCGTCTATAGAGTGTTTTCACCATGACAGTGTCAAATTCTAAAATCAAAATAGCGAGGCCCTCTGAATGCTCATAAATTATATACCAGGTTGAATGGGACCAAAAAATAAATCTTTGTAGAAGTTTTCAGCACCGTAGCATCTTTCATTTTGAACATACAACATTTTGAATTTCCAAATTTTCACAGTGCGTGACACCACGGTGGTAGCCTCAGCAGAGATGTCTGGTTAAAGAAAAGCTATCTCCTTACGATTTTCAGCAGTTTATACATTTTAAGCAGTGCAAAATGTGGTTATGCGAATGCTAATATGCTTACAAGCAGAAAGAAAGCATTTTTATTGCAAAAGTGAAAACCTGATGTCTTTGTTGATTTCTGTCACCATATTGGTGTCCCATGTTGGTACACCAGCATGGCATCCCCATACAAAGCTCTATAAACTTGCGTGAAACGTATTAGTAAACAACTAAAAAATGGTGTGCCGCACAGACCTGAGACTTTTTTCATTCATTGGTTTCAAAGTTATTTTTTCATTGCATGACAGTGATTCAAAACACTCTATTAATTGCCAGTAAGCTCATGTCCTCTCAGAGGACTATTTTTATAGATGTGTCACTCCAAGCATGTGTTTCACCTTTCCTTTTACATTAACTGTAATGTAATCACAAGCCCAGGCAGACTTAAATAAATTGAGTGATGCTTATTATTTTTGTAGACAACAGGGCTTCTCCTGTCAGCATTGGGTAATGTGTCAGCCATGACGGATTTAGGAGATTCTAAAGAAGATGCAGAGTCATTAGTGAATGATGTTAAAAAAGTGGCAGAGAAGACTACTGTGAGTGGACTTCTTTTGTATACAGCTATTTCAAGAAAGGTTGTTGGAAAAAGTGAATGTGGCAATCCCAAAAGGTATTGTGGGTGGTTTTGAATTCACTGTTCTTCAAAGAAGTTTGAAAGAATGACACGAGAGGCCATGGACGTGTGTTTGCGGGTGCTAAAGGAAAGCAACCAAAGTAGGTTCGACAGCTACAGTCATTAGGAACAGCGTATTGATCATATTCCAAATTACCTTTCGGGATTGTTGCGTGCACATTTTTTCTGACAACATTTCTTGAAATAACTGTATGTCCAACCAGCAAACGTAGAATTAACTAACATAGAAACAAAGGAGGGTTAAATTTTCCTTAACTTTTTCTTATTGTTAGGGATTACCCTTGTCTACTCAACCTGGCGTGAAAGTTCCTTGGGTCAGTGTGCAAAGAAAGTAGTGTCCGATAGCCTGGGGCTAGTGGATTTTGCTATTGGGCTAGTGAATTCTGTTGTCAGGCAAGTGAAGTTTTTTGAGGAATTCAAATTATATTAGAATGGTGAAATCAATTCTGCTTGTCAAAAAGTTTTTGGGGCTTGTTGAAATGACATTTGGGCTAGTAAATGCTAGCTTCAGCTTGCCCCGATGGCAAGCTGTAAAAATGACTTTCTTTGCACCCTGCTTGAGTATTGAAACGAGTTATTGAAAAGTCCTGAAATGCTATATATTGATCTCTACCTGCTGTTGGGATTTCTTTTTGGGGGGGGGGGAGGGGGGGCAGTAGGGTGGAGGGTGAGAGGCATGTGGTGGGGGGGGGGGCTAGGTGAGGGAGGGATATACAAACTAATTAGGAATTTTGGGGTTGGGATTGAGGTGTTAACTGTGGTTTTAGTTTGTCCACCTCTAGTCATTGCCATGCTCAACTGGAATTCTTGGGTGAATTCCCCCTGATTATTCCAGTGGTGGCTCTTCAGTCCTGTGAAGAAACTACAAATGGCTAGCCTGAAACAATACTGTCTCACTCAGGTAGCTCAGCTCTTTCATCTCAGGGTAAGGGGATGGGGAAGGGAGAGAGAAAGGAGTTCCCTCCCGCACCTGTCACCCTCACTTCTCAGACGAGAGAGCTTGCTTGCAAACTAAACAAGGGCTGACCTTGTTGTACTGCTATGCAGATATGAAAAGGAAGCATACTTGAATGTTCCTGATGTTATTCTTTTGCAGGAACTCCTGAACAAAGCAAAAGGCTTGATTGCCAAAGGACTGAAAATGATAGAAACCAATGAGCTATCAAAAGACCAGATCAAACAGAAGTGTGACGAAATAAAAGAACTGTGTGACAAGTTTGATAAAGCTGTGGAAAAGAGAGAGGAGGATCTGAACAAAGCAATGGACATACATGAGTGCCTGGATATGGTGAATTCTTACTTTAGTTTTTACTTTATAATGTAAAGAATAAAAGTAATTTCATTTGAAGAAGGTCAAAGCAACTAGCTGATGCAAAATGTCAATGGCTTGCAATTTGTCTATAAATTACCCCGGACAAGTTCCTGTTCCAGAATTATAATTATGTTTTGAAGGTGTGTTTAGGTAGCATAATCTACAGAGTTCATTACGATATTCTACCAATTTAGTTGCTTAAATTCTCGAAATGGGTCAAGTGATTGATAGGTACTTTTACAAGATGAAAAATCCAAAATTTGTCATCGTGTAAATAAATAATATCTTAAGGCAGGAATGACAGTATTAGTTTAGTAAGAGCTAAAAGAACTTTTCTGTCTTGGTGGTTATCATGTAAACAGTATGAAATGATGAATATATGGAGCAAGAGTGGTGAAATGGTAAGAGCACTTGCCTCCCACCAGTGTGGCCTGGGTTTGAATCCTGGTGTCAATGACGTATGTGGGTTGAGTTTGTTGTTGGTTCTCTCTCTTAATTGCTCCAAGAGGTTTTTCTCTGGGTACTCCTGTTTTTCGCTCTCCTCAAAGAACTCCCAAGTGTTATTGCAAAAATCACAAAATTACAAAAACTACAATTTCATATATTTGAACTGTGGGATGCAGAAATAAATACAGTGAATTTTCTCAAGCTTTCTTTACAGAACTGCATCAATTGTGTATTTAACAGTACTGTGATGATCTTCTCTGCATAATCTATTTCTTCATCCCATAGTTCAAATATATGAGATAAATATATTCATCACCTCATCTTCATCGTTCCCTGGTATATTATGAACCAATTTAATGACGAGCTGCCTGTTGGCTTACTACAACTAGTTGCAAAAATGTTGAGACAATCCAACGAAAATCTGGCCTTTTTTACTTCAAATCTCTGCTAGTCACCTCCCTCCTACCCTCCATTCAAAGTTGTTCCTGAGCATGGTCTTGTATTGCTAGCAACTTTGATAAGACGAAGAGGGGGGATCACGAGCAAAAGATCATGGGCAGGCCATTTAAGCCAAAATAAGGTACAGTGTCTCAAGTACTTTTGCAACTGGTTGTAACTCAGTTGGTTAGAGTGTTACCATGGAGGTCAGGGTTTGAATCCCAGCAAGCCTGATTTTTTTTCAGGCTTTCTTTTTGCAATTACGATGATGGTCTTAAACAGTGCATTTTTTTACCTTATGAGAATGTAAGAAAATTAATGATGCCAGCATTCAAAATCATAAAACGTCTTCAGCTGTGTGATTTTACATAGTTAACAAGATTGTCCTCTAGTGATGCCCACTGGCCTCTGGCACCTTACTTTTGCTTTTTGGTGTCTAGGGAATTTTTCATATGCTTGGCACCCTTGATTTCAGATGTCCAGAGCACTAGGCACTCTTGAATTTTTCTAAGACCACAGCCTTGGTTAAAATTTTGTTTGTTTGTTTTTTTGGTCCGAAACAAATTGAGTATTGATTTGCTCTTGAAATTTTGGCTTTGGCATCTTGTTAAGAGTGAAAGGTTAAGAAAATCTGCAACTTTTTATGTCTAGGTTAACAAATGGTGCAAGACTGGTGTAGACCTTCTAGCTTTACAACCCATAGACAGATTCCAGTCATCAGAAGGGGCAGAAAAAGCACTAGAAGAAATTGATAACTTCCTGAAGAGTCCACAAGGGATGAATATGATTAAGGTTAAGAAGATGACCCCTGCCAGTAATGCTCTTGGTAACAAAACACTGATAAACAAGGTGAAAGACAGTATGAAGAGAATCAGTGAGGTCAATGATATGATGATGAAGCGGGAAACGAGGTAAGTTGATGGTGTAAATGGAGAGATGATATTAAATAATATCATCTTACATGCAGTGATGCTTCCGGCCAGCATTCTACACTCTGGTAGATTGTTAGGGTTTTTAGCTGGGGAACTGTCTAGAGAAGCCTGATCCTTTAAAAGTTTTGTTGAGCGGCATGTCTAAAATGCAGGTCACTTTCCACAAGTTAGAGTACAGGTCACCATGCTTCAGATAATTAAACAGCACCAAAAGTGTGTCCTAGCCGTGATCTCTTTACAAAATGGTCTTTTAGGTCAAGGGGAAACTGTGAAGATCATTGATTTATCTATGAAGCCATGAACTCTACTCTTGACATGTTGAGTGTGAACTGTACTTTAGACCCTGCATTTTTCGAGATCCCAGCTTAAGGGATAAATAAAGTTTTATGCTCATAAACTGTGGGAAGGAGCTTTAACACTCTTGTCATTCTAGAGAAAGAGAAACTCTCTTATTCTTAAAGTGAATCATGAAGGCTTGTGCATAGTTCCCACTTTTGAGTCTGTAGACAAACTCCAGCCATGTTACCATCGGTTACAAAATTAATTATACCTACACCTATATATTTCTAGGGAAGGGGATAGGAAATTTTGGATTTTATGTTATGATTATCTGCCTGATAGTTGTATTTGGTGTTGGTTTTATTTCAGTTTGAAGAAGCTAGTTGTTAAGCGCCCAGTACAGCCTGTATCAGGAGTACCAGCCAATCCGCCGCAACCCGAGGAATCTAAACGTAAAATAAGTTCTACCCCGAAGAGTCCGTCAGTAATCCCTGATGGGAAGCGAAAGTTTAGCATGGCACCAAAGAGTCCCACGATCAAGAGTCCGGTTATGCAACCCAAAGAGCGAAAGAAATCAACACCACCTGAACCTTCAACAGGAAGGCGACCTGTGTCCATTGTGCTCGACCCAGAATCACTTCAACTGAAAGGAAGCGTACAACATTCTTTCTCTGATCCTATCATTCAAACGGTGGGTAATATGATTCTGAGTTGGTTTAGTATTTATGAATTTACAACATCTCAGCAGGGGTAGGTGTTCTTCACTGAGGCTCTAGTATGCTTTTTGGTTATTAAGTAATATAATAGCACTCTGTAATGACCCAAGTGAAATTAATATGGCTTTTTCTCATGTGTCATGATAGTCACTGTGTTATTGATCACTATGTTTGTCCTCACATTGCTGGTCGTCTGCAGACTGTCATGTTGATTTACTGTGCAGAACTGGTAGTAGGGGAGCTCCACGCGCAGGCAAAGCGCACTCAAGTAGAGCCCCATAGCTAAGAAAATTTGGTTATCTATCCATCTGAGAAATTTTGGTAGTCACATTACCGTACATTCACATCACAGGGAAACCAATATTAAATCTCACACTTTCTAGCTAGTGTGGAAGCCTACTACCTGATATTGCACATGCATGTTGTTGTCAATTGACAGCTGTCAAAACAAGGTATCTGCTGGCCAGTATCACATGACCATATTGCGGGCTCAAGTGTTGACCCATTGAGGTCACATGTTTTAAGTTATCTGTTGACAAGTTACTTGAATGTTTAGAATTGGTCGCAGGCTCAACTCTAAGTGGATTTCTTTGCGATTGGTTACAAGTTTTTTGCTGAAGTAAATTTATTAACAGGAGCTCAGCTTTTAGCCTTGGGTGAATCTATATTAGTACTGCCTGCACACTCTTAAAAAGTCCTTGAAAATCGAATGTGGTCCTTGAAAAGCCCTTAAATTTCTATGCTACACCTTTAAAAGTCCTTGAAATTTCATCACCTTTGAATATATTGGTCTTGAAAGTGTTTCTTAATGCTATTTGGTTGTCTAAGAGAGAATGTGAATCATAGCCCAGAGAATTTAGAGGTGATTTTCACAATGTGTTTTGTGTTTTATGCAAGAATTAAATATCTGTTTAAGACAAGTGTAAAGGAACTGGTGTAACAAACAGTTCAAACCTAAAGTCCTGGTAGCTTGGACCGGGAATGTGCATTCATATGCAAATCTGTAACTTACATTCCTGGTAGGGTGGTCTTTGTTATCCTTGGAAAGTCCTTAAAAAATGGTTGCAACTTTTTGTATGAACCTTGTATTAGAAATGTGAAACATCAGGGAGAGTGCTGGGAATTGAAGTAACATGAAGTTTTCAAAGCTAATTTTAAAACCCCTATTTTGTTCTGCTACATTTTTCAGAGAGATGTTGTGGATGGTACAACAAGTCCAGAAGCTTTTAAGAAGCGAGTCCAAGTCATGACAGAATTAATTGAAACGGAGAAAGACTATGTTAAGGACATGGAATGCATCATTAAGGGTTATCTTAAAGAGTTTGAGCAAGCCGGGAATAAGATCCCAGCTGAGTTGCATGGCAAGAAAAAAATCATTTTTGGAAACATTGAACAGATTTATGAATTTCACAAGAATGACTTTTTACGTGACCTGGAATCAAGCAAAGAGCAGCCGTCTCTTGTTGGGGGTGTTTTCATTATGAAAAGCAATGAATTTGAAATGTATGCAACTTACTGCAAGAATAAACCAAGCTCTGAGGCACTGAGACTGGCATACATCAATTTGCCATTTTTTAAGGTGAGATAATTGTTGGATTGCAACAACCCTGACCCAGAGATATTTTGGAATGTTAATGTATCACAAGGAACGTAGAAAACAACTACACGGGAGATAACTAAATTGCAAGCGGCGTCATCAATAATAAGATGGACTCATTCAATGGATGGATTTTTTTTGTTTAAGGTTGTAAAACAATAGAAAGTTCCAACAGGCAAAAAATTACCATACGTATATACTGCAATAAGTCCACCTTTAGTTGTGGTTTTGGGATTTACTTGTTTCTTCTGAATTCTGATAAATTAGATCGGTCAAAATGCATTTAAAGTTCCCAAGAGAAAATATTTCAAGAGGTGTCTATAGTTTACTTTGCTACCTAAGACTATTTTCATCTGCAGAATAACTTCTTCATACCAGCTTAGCAATTTAATCCAAGTTGCGACTGTTACGGTCACCAATGTGACTAACATTTTCACCATGGTGACTAAAACTTCTGGGGTCAGCTTCATAGTAGCCAGGAAAAATTCCTTGCCTTCACCCCTTAATAATACAGCCCTGTATTACAGTAGTCCTTTTTTATGCTATTTTAAATTATTATTTTCCCCTGACAAAATAGCCACAATGCTTGTTGTTTTTTGTTTCTTTGTGAGCATCATCACTTGTTGTTGTGGGCAAATGTGTTAAAATGGATTTCAGATGTGGGCTTTTCCTGATTTTTTTCTACAGGAATGTCAGGATAAACTGGGCCACTTACTTCCTTTGAGTGCATATCTTCTCAAACCAGTTCAGAGAATCACAAAATACCAGCTACTGTTAAAAGAGATGATGAAGCTGACACTTAAAAACAGTACTGCTTATGATGACCTTGAGGTAACATTAACTCTAGCAATGGATTTTTGTAAAAAAATACATGGAGAAAACCTACGCTTTCCCTTTCCCCTCTCTTTTAAAGGCAAGTTGTGGAAATGTTAAATTTTGAGTAGCTATAAGGTAACGGTGCACACTACCCGAAGGCCCTCACGGCTGGAGCTTATTTCCAGTTTCTGTAGCATGAAGCATGCCTAGGAGTATTGCTACTCCCCCCTGGATGGGATGCTAGTCCATCGCTGGGTTACCCCCTAGAAGAACGTTGCCAGTACCCATTTATACACCTGGGTGTAGAGAGACAAAGTGGAGTAAAGTTCCTTGTCTAAGGAAACAATGCAACAGGCGAGGCTTGAACCCCGGACCTCCAGATCCAGAGTTCGAGGTGTTTAAACTGCCCAGCCACACAGGCCTCCACTTTGAGTAACTGTAGTCAGGAGCAATGATTGTTGATACTGGTATACAGTCAACTCTTTCCAAAACGGACGCCTTTGGGTGCACTAAGGGTGATCAGCATCAAAGTTCTCATTGTAATATCCATGCTTTGTAAAACAGAGTGGTCATGAGAATTACGGATGTGATCACACAAGATGAATTTGCTTGATATTTTACCAACTTCTCCCCACTACTTCTGTAGGAAATGAATAGGGGCAACAAATGAGAATTCAAATTTTGGTGTTAGGGTTTAAAAAGGGTAAAAGGATGTCCTTCTTATAGAGAGTCAATTAAAGGGAGTAAAGAAAGGCGCGGGGACCAACTCTAGTTGTCTGTTTTACAGAGATGCCTGTCTTATAGAGGTATTCATTAAGAGAGAGTCAACTGTATCTGCTGATAATTTATAATATAATCAGCAGTCATTCACAAAAGAAGACTTAGATATATGCTGGTCACTGCTGACAAAGCAAAAATGAATACGAGTAGTGACTGAGCCACTTCTGTGGGTGGGAATTCATGGCTATTCTCTTGTTGGATGACCAAACAAAACCTCCATGCACTGATTAACTTTCTCAAGGCACTGGAATGTACAAAGATGAGCTAACTAAACATTATTTTGGAGGTGAAGAGTGGAAATGGCCTGGGCTACTCACCTGAAGTGAATGATTGATTGATTGATTGATTGATTGATTGATTGATTGATTGATTTGTATAGTATGGATTTGACATTGTAGTGTGAAAGATGTCTTTGTCACTGTCTATTTTTTGTGAGTTCAAAGGGTTGCTTATCATGTTTGCACTTTTAGTGAAAGGGCTTAATGCTGTTGTTTTTATTTTTCATTCTTATATTATTTTAATAACGCAAAGTATATTGTGTTTGTTAAATTTAACAGAAAGCTCTTGAAACAATGCAAGGTGTGTTGAGGCATGTAAATGATGTAATGCATTCCTGTGGCATTAAAGGCTTCCGTGGCAACCTTGCAGAGCAAGGAAAGCTGCTACTTCAGGATGCATTTATGGTTTATGAGACACACAAAAACTGGAATTTACTACCACTGAAAGGTGGCAAGCAGCGACAAGTCTTTTTGTATCAAAAAATGATCATATTCAGCAAGAAGGATAATGATGACACTCAAAAAGATTCAGTGACGTATCATTACAAGAGAGATATCAAGGTTTGGTAGTTCAGAATTTTATGTCTATTTTTTCCTTGTGTGTAACTGTTGTCAAAGAACTATTTTATGGGTCCTTTATTCAAGGTCACTACTCAATAAGGGGTGGTTTTTTTAGTTTTTAACCCTTGAAGCCCTGAGAGTGATCAGCATCAAATTTCTCCTTGTAATATCAATGCTTTGTAAAACAGAGTGGTCATGAGAATTATGGACATGATCACACAAGATCAATTTGCTTGATATTTTATCAACTTCTCCCCACTACTTCTGTAGAATATGAAAAGGGGCAACAAATGAGAATTCAAATTTTGATCTTCAGGTTTAAAGGGTTAACGAAAGGGGCTGTGTCACCTCTGTCTAGTTCATTTTGTTAATAATGCCAATTACGAATCCTAATTTGCTGTGGAATGTGAGAAGGAAATTACTTGTGAATAGCAAAATCTTAGCTTTGTGTCAAACAAATATGTCTCCCAAGCATAAAATCAAACGTGACAAACAAAAAAGCTGTTGGATCTCATTTTTTTAGCAGCAGTTTAAGGCCTTGTTAGAACGTTATTTCTAATCATGCTGCTGAAGGACCACATGAACAGGTTAACAAACTTTTAGGCCAACAAGATTTCAAGAAACCACCATTGCAGTCCATTTCAATCTTCTTAAATATGTATTCTTTGAATGTTTTTAAGAAGTGTTATTTTTATGTTATTCACCCAGTTTGGTGTCAGTTCCCATCATTTGAATTTTGACAAATTAAGTTTTTCAATGCAGCCCCCTCAATTAAAGTTCCCGTCACTGTCAATATTATTATGTTTACATTCTGTTTGATATGAAGTTACAGAAAACTTTTCCATGGGTTGTTAATTTGAAGGAAATGCTAATCCAGGATCAAAACAAGACCTAACTCCTGTAAGCCTTGTGAGTTTGAGTAATGAGTCTCTACTTTGCTCTCAGTGCAAATTTTGCTTTTTAACATGTGGTTCCACAAAATACCCATAGCCAATTTTTTAGGGTAAAGGGAAAATTTTGAAGATGTGCCAGTAATAACATGCCTATTAATATTATAACAAATAATAATAAGGGCGATAATATTTCAGAAAATTTAGACGGCAAACGAAATTGACCTCAACATGCTTGACTGTGTTTTATTACATTATATTGTTTTTCAATTTCCTAGACTTGTGATATGGGATTTACAGAGGCTGTAAAGGATGACCCAGACAGGTTTGAGCTTTGGCTTCATGGACGGTCAGAAGTGTTTGTCATGCAAGTGAGTTAGCTTTTGTCTATTTTGACTGGCAGGTTTTTGCCTTATACACCCTCATGTCAATACTTTGTGTACTGCTTTCCACACATTCCCTATGCTACGGTTTATTATGGATATTTTAAGAATCAAGACCACGTTAGTTTTGCTAACAGATATTTTTTCCTGAAATATGAAATAGAGAACTTCATTGTTTTTGTGGTGGAGTTTTAAGCTTTTATCAGCAGTCACTTGTAATGTACTTATTTCAGGACTGTCACTAAGGGCCAGGTGCTGGGAATTTTCCCCGCCTACTATATATGAACACACCCCAGGGCTACTTTCAAGTAAAAAATGGAGAAAACGAGAACCAAAAGAAATCCCTAGCTGTTTGATTCTCCACCTAATTATTGTATTTACCCTGTGACTTGAAATCGTAGTGACAGTCCTGTTATTTATTCATTTATTTCGTAGCCTTTATCATCAGAAGTCAAGAACCGATGGGTGAAGGAAATAAGGAATCTCATGTGGTCACAATTTGATCAAGTGAAAGGTGCGTACTGAGATTAAGTCACAAATATGTCAAACCTGAATTTTTTCAGGTTCTTTTTCAACCACTTAAGGTTGTATTTTTTCAACTGCAAGGATCATTTTCACTGTTATATCTTTATCCACAGTTAAAAAATATGAGTCATTTCATATCCACAATCAGATATAGCTACGAACTCACAACGGCCTGCTCTCCAGTTGGCTTGGGCATCTTAGTGGATAGAGCATTGCGTCTGATCAATCGCAAAGGTCAGGGTTCGATTCCCAGTCAAGGTTGCTTACTCAACTGCGAGGATCTTTTCCACTCTAACTTCATCCTTTTAAGCCCAAACAAGCATACTGGGCTCTGCTCTCCATTCATTTCTTGGTTTGGAAGTGTTGGTCTGTGTAGATGCCTTGTTGTGTTAATATCCAATAATTTTTTCATATTTGCAGAAGCTGTTACAGAACAATCTGGACAGCAATGTAAGAGATCATCATTTTTTGTTGTGGAAGTGAAAATTAATATTAATACACTCAACAGACGACACAAAGCAAAAACTAATGGTGTAGAGGGAGGTTTCTGAGATGAAAGTTGAGGTGTCGAGTTTCATTTTACCATTTGATTTACTGACGGTACTTTCAGTAGCAACCATTAAAAAAAAAAGAGCTCAATGGTCAGATAAAACTGTAAATAGTATCTAAGTAAACATTGAGGTGCAGGAGTGTACTGTTTGAGTTTCATAGCCCGGGTCTGTACAATTATTGTTTTTCTCTACATTATTTTTTATGTCCAGTCAGGTGTAAAATGTTCACCAGTAACTTAGTACTGAGTCGGGGCTGGGGAGGTTGGATTGTACATAAGAGTAGGGGTCAATAAGTCACTGTTTGTTTAATTCAAGGCGTTGAATAACAGACTCAGGGATAGACCTCAGGGGCGGATCTAGGGGGAGGGTGCAGGGGGTGCGCACCCCCCCTTAAATGACCTGCGGTTTTCTAATAAAACTGGTATTCTGCAAAACAAAACTATGTGGTTTATTGCTGTTGACGTAGAGCAAGAGACAAGTGCACCCCCTCCTAAAAAAAATCCTGGATCCGCCCCTGGACCTGGCCTTGGGCTCAATTCCTGGTTGGACCAACACTCAGGGTCTAAACTATAAGTGAGGAAAACAATAATAAGCTGTCACTGTTGCTTTGGTTTGTTGCAGTGGTTAGCTCGAAAGCTAAGCTCCTTTGACCACCGTACACTTCAATCCAAGCCATTAATCCTCTTTTTTCCTTCTTCTTCTTCTTTATTAGTGTATTCCTCGATCCTTAGTAAATTTAATGTAAATATAAAAGTGTGAATAAAATTGAATTGAATAATTGTTGACTGCACACAAAAAATTATGAATTATTGCTAAGACAGCTAGCGCTATACAAATAAGATAACAATTTTATGGTCATTTCTTTGGTTAGAGTTCTCATCTTGTTAAGACTGCTTGGGAATGCCTTGCTTGACTATACTCATCAATACAGTTAGGGTATCCTTAGGAGACTGTCTTGTTGTTTACCTTGATTTTAGATCCCAGTCGATGGAAGTCAACAACATCTTTGGCATCACCAGGTGTTCCTGCAGAAAATGAACTGCGTGCAAGAAGTCAGTCTACATATTCACTATCTGGAACTGGCACTGTTGCCAATACTAATACTAGGTAACTGTAAAGCAATTCATGTCTTCTATGTTAGTATATCTTTAGATTTATAAATTTTGTTTGAGCTTGTTTGTTCACTTGACTTAGGGTTTCCAACATCATGGAAGGAAATAGCATTGATGATGATGATGATGGATTTGACACTGAAGAGTTTGATTCTTCAGACAACAATGATGAAACTCCTCCTAAACCCCACAGCCAGACAGAATATTCACCTATATTGATAAAAACACAAGCTTGTTTGTTCACTTGACTTAGGGTTTCCAACATCATGGAAGGAAATAGCATTGATGATGATGATGATGGATTTGACACTGAAGAGTTTGATTCTTCAGACAACAATGATGAAACTCCTCCTAAACCCCACAGCCAGATAGAATATTCACCAAAAACACAAGCTGAGGTACGAGTATTATATTTTAGTTTTAATTTAGTGCCAATCCATAGCAAGCAACTATCCATAGCAAGCAAAATACTATTAAGCCATCACAGGTGGAGGAAGGAAGGAATTTTAATGCCAGTCATCTATAGAATCTCAAGAAACTGTGTGAGCCTTGGTCAAATGAGGAAATGGGCCTTCACGAGAAATGAAAAAAGCTCTTTCCATAGTAAGAATACAAACCCAAGGGGGTACTGTGCTTGCCATATGCGGGTGATATACGGTTGTGCTGCGAGCAGTGAAGGGTGTGGTTTGCAAGGAGTTTACGCAAAATGATATGTAGTGTGAGATGGGTTATACAAATCAGAGAGTTTGGGTCAAGAATAGGGAATAATTTTCCAGGAAACTGGTCAATTGGTGGAAGATTTTAGTTTAGACTAGGAAAATTGTAATGCACTCATAGCTCAGTTTAACAGCAAAAAAAGCAGTTTCTGGAAAAAAAGCAATTATAGGATAGGGTGGGATATTGGAAGTTTAGTCTAGTATAGGATAGCAAAGATGAAATAAACTAAGTTTGGAATAGGGAAGTGGTTCTGGGTCCCCACCAAAAAATTCCTGTAAATCCCACCCCTGGGAATACAAGAGCCACATTCCTCTTCCAACTGAGATATAAGTATGGAGTTGGATTAAAGCCAGGTGGCACTTTTAAACTATTCGTGTAAAAATGATTACTGTTTGGTAACTAAAAAAGATGACTTGTGGGACAGACACTGCTTGAGCCAAAATAAATTTATCAGCTCGTAAAGCCTTATTTTATTACTGTTTACAGCATAATCATCAAGATTTGCCAACAAAAGGTTCAAGATACTCTGCTATTGCAAGCTACACAGCTGTGGAAAACACAGAAGTATCCTTCCAGGAAGGTGACAGCCTAGAACTCCTGCGAGTTGGACAAGAAGGATGGTGGTTTGCACGGCACATAGAAAATGCAAAAGAAGGCTGGGTTCCTGCCAGTTATTTGGAGCTACAGTCTCCATAATGGTCTGGTTTTCCTTCTTGGAAGTTTCTGATCTAGATTGAACTATGCTATTAAAATTGATAACAGTAGTTGCAAAATTTTGAAAATACTCGTCAAAGGTACCTAAATTTGGATGATGACCAATTGGTTTTCTAATACAACTGTTATTCTTAAAAAAAACTCATTTTTTGTGGTTTATTGGTGTTAAAGCCCTGAGAGCAAGACAGTTTAATAGGACAGTGCACCCCATCTCCAAAAAAAAAAAATCCTGGATCCGCCCCTGGAACTATGCAATTAGAATTGATAACGGCAGTTGCAAAATTTTGAAAATACTCGTCAAAGGTACAAAAATCTGGTTGTACAGATGACTTCAATTCAGGTACCAAAATATTATTGAACACCAAATTAATTGGTACAAATACTTGTCATTTTTTTGGCTCAATTATACCTTAAAAGGTATTGGAACAACTCTAAAAGCAGTTACTTTAGGTTTTGGCACTGTCAACAGCACTAATGTACAAATCTTACCCAATAGTATGTACAATGTATAGTGTAGGGTAGTCAGTAGTGGCAAAGAATAGTGTTGAATATGTCATTTTTACCACTGAATGGCTGATAAGCAGTATAAAGAATTAGGGTTGGTTATTGAAACAAAGTCTAACTTAGATCTCTCCAGATCTCTTCCTTAGTGGGTTAGTTTAAAAAGATAAATGCTTTTCTAGTCTTTGCTATGTGCTATCAAGAAAATGTTCACGATAAATGAGTTATGGTATTAAGATAAAAGCAGTTGGTAAAGTGAAAATGACTTAGAATGCAGTTTGTTAAACACTGGCTAAACTCTGTTTGAATAACTGACCCTTTATGTTTAGAATAATTATGAATAAGAATGTATCAATGTCCATTGATTGTTTTGCTTGTACATAGATCTGTTTGCTTGTCAAGCTGATTCCTCTAAGGATATCCTCACTGTTTCCATGGTTGGAATTTATTAGTCAGGTTTGTGACACAGCTATGACTACAATACTGAAAGAAAAAAAGATGCCAGAAAACCACCAACGAAATTTAAAGCGTTTAAGTCGGAGTCATTTAACAGTTCATTGAAAACTTTAGACCACGTTAGTAAAATTAGTCAAATTATTCATTTTTATGGCCAGTCATTACAAACGTTGCTTATAAACACACTGCATTATACCTTGTAAAAAATAAATATTAATACTCCTAAATACTTTAAATTTTCATTGAGTTTTTTTTGACAACACATTGTTCAGTCTGTACGCAGACCTTTCTCATTTCCCTGAGATGGTTAATTTATAGTAACGCATACGTTATTTTTTGAAAGAGAATTTTTTTTAGAACAAATATAACAAGGACAAGCTTTTGCCCACCCAAAATATGCCTGCACTGCAGGCTAGGTAAAAGGGGTCCCAGTGGTGACCAACATCAGTTTTCTCCCAACGATATCCATAATTTGTCAAGAGACTAGGTTATGAGAATTAATAAAACGATCAACAGTGAGAAAATGCTTTGATCTTTTATCAAATTTCTCCAAACACATTCTTTATGGAAATGTATAGAGATCAGTTTGGAGAATTTGTACGTGGACATTGGGACTTAAGGGTTAAATGGGTGTAGTTGACACCTGGGTGAACCCATTGGTGTTGAAAAAAGGCACTCGAGCGACTGGACAGTCAGATAAAATCAGGCTAGGGTATTTTGTAACAAATAATAATGTTTGAGACTAATATTTATTGGGAGAAAAGTAAGAATGTTCTTCAAGTAAAACTTGAGTTAACAGATAAATGTACATGGGCAGTGTAAAGTTATTGTAATTAATTACCTATAGGACAAAAACAGTATCAAATTGTGTATGTAAGTAGGTCGAAATTGTATTTAATAGTAAAAAGGAAAGTAAAAGTAGTAGTTTATATTTTCTTTCTCTGTTTATTTTCTTTTGTTTCTGTATCCCAGTGTCAGTTGTCCACTTAGCATAAAAGTTTGGCCAAAAAGTTCATTGATCATACAGCCTCAAGAGAGCCAAGACTCAGAACATATCCCTACCTACTCCCTCATTTCCTTGGGCTTGTTAATACGGAAAGTGGCGTGAGAAAACAGCTGACATTTGGCAATGCTACCACTGGTTTCCCTGCCAAATGACATCTGAGAAATGAGCGCAGAAATTCCATACTGATGACACGTCACTACCTAGATTTGGGTAGCGCTTCTGATTGGCTGAATCAAATTTTCCAAGTGGCACGACCAATCAGAAGCACTATGGAATTTCTGCGCTCGTTTCTCGGATATCATTTGGCGGGGAAACCAGTGGTAGTGTCGCCAAATGTCGGCTGTTTTCTCAGGCTATACAGAAAGTAACCTGAGATCAGGCTACTTTCATTTCACTTCGTAATAAAATTCCTGCAGGAAAGGCACAACGAAAACCGAGCCTTAGTCTATAACACAAAGAAACTTGAGTTGATGTCTCTCCTCTGCACACTAACATTTAACTTTTAAATCCATGTATTGAGATGTTTTCGAGTAGAAGAAATAATTGTTTTGTTCCATTGTGTCAAGCAGGTGACACTGTGCTTGTTCCGTAGATCACCGCTTGGATGTCTTACTGACAACGTCTTGATCGTGATGAATGCAGTTGAACCATCTTGACACACAACATAAATGTAAGTTGATGTGTCTCTTTAATTCAGAGCACCAGAAACAATCAGTGCCAAAATCAAAAGCCTATGATCTGGTCAATTGGTTTATACATCCATTCATCCTGGCTAATCTGAGTCAGTTGCTGCCTTAACTTTGTGAGTGTCTGCTCGTGAATCTCTGAAAGGAAAAGTTTAACCAGCTGAGCATCAGGAAAATTATATAGGCTTGGAGAAATTTGGCCAGCAGAATTTTAAGCAGAATGAGCCATTTTTGAGCACAATATGAGCAGCAAATCAGCAACATTAATCTACACCTACATGACTAAATTTATGACTGATAATTTATTACAATAACGGAGGGCTCTGTGAATGAACACCATATAATATTTCCTTCATTTTCAAAGCACTAAACATACAAAATTGAGGTGGAAATGTTTGCAACAGTATTCTGTAGGAAAGGATAAAGCGAATTCTATGACTGTGTAACTTTGCAGCACTTTCCGAAATTTCTAATCCCATTTCTAATCCAAATTTAAGTAAGCCATGGTAAGTTGGCTGGATGCAAATTAATGTTGTGACATTTTTTATAAAACAACAGGCATTCTGTTCCCTTTTTTCTTTTCTTTTTCCTTTGGCGACTGCAATGCAGACCACAGACAGTACGGGAATTGACTGATGCATTACCTTTCTTGAGGCCTTTCAAGTTGGAATCCACTTCAATATCTACTTGAATTCTATTAAGCAATGCTTCCAAAGCCTCTGCAAGAAAGTCATTATCAGGGTTGTTATTGAGGGACAGGTCTGGTAAAGAAATGTGAACCTGGCCAATTTTGATTGGGCTTCCTTCAGCAGTGCCAAAATAAGCACCATTTCCTGCGCAGCAAAAAGGCAATAGAAAACGGATCAAATTACCCTTCCCGTCTCCCCTCCCCTGCATAGAGGATTGAGGAAAAGAAATTTTCCTGAACACCAAACAGCTACAGTCGAATCTCTCTAATACGGACACTGAAGAAACAGACAAATTACTGTTTTAAACGAAACAACATACAGCGCAATGCTGTGTGTAAAAAGTTCTAACGTAAAGTACAATTTAAAAGCGTCTTTTGCTATTTTGCAAGTACAGTAAACAGTACAGTCTAACCTCTACTTACAGACACCTCTATAATACGGACACCTCTCTATTAAGGACAGTTCGTTTGGTCCCAGAAATGCCAAAAATCATACATTCCCCACCTCTATAATACGGACACCTCTGTAAAGCGGACAATATTGGTTCTGTCCCTTTGGTGTCCATATGAAAGAGGTTTGACTGTAACTAGAGTACAAAATGTAATAGAAAAGATCTTTATGCTATCTGTAGTTATTGAAGCCTCCAAAACGTCGATTATGTTCCTCTGTATACCTTTCGCAAATCGTTCTTTGGTATACAGCGGCTGGGCTTTATGTCACCTTACATAGCTCACCAGCCAGACTAGACGGGATTCACCCCGTGTCGATCCAACTCTACGGGATTGGGATTCGGAATTCACCTGATCAACGGAGTGTCCGTAATAAAGAGGTTAAGTTTATATGAATTCACTCTCTGGGGCCCAGATTTAGTGTCCGTTGTCCGTATTAGAGAGAGTCCGTACGCGTATTATAGAGGTTTTTTAAAAGAAAATATGTGAGAATTTTCTCGGGACATTGGAAATTGTACATGTCCGTAATAGAGTAGCCTGCGTAGCAAGCGTTTCCGTGCGGTTTAGGAGCAAAGAATAAGGAACGAGAGTCAAAGACCGCACGAAAAATGGCGCCACCAAAACCGAGAATCCCGTCCTCGGTCTCCGAAACCAAACGGAAACGCTTGCTACGCAGGCTAGTAATAGAGAGGTGTTCCTACCGAGAGGTTCGACTGTAATTTAAATCACGACAAAAATAATTTGGGAGCTTCTTAATCACCACCACTGCAAACTCCTAAAAAATATCTGGACATAAGCTTATGAGCATCATTGACGTGACGCTTTCAACATAGCCTGCGAAAACAGCCGTTTCTCCTCGCTCCTCGCCACTGAGTTTTGAACTTAAAAAATTTGCCAATTTAGCTATATGATGACATTTTAGATACAAAGAGACGGAGACATTAATAACCTGGAGCCTTGCTAGTATCCTCTTGATCTGGGGACTGAAACAACGCTTTCCTGGGCTCTCTGCACTGTGTTTTTGTTCCTCCACCAGAACCAACACCCGCCATTTTGATTCAGTTTGAAATTCTGAATATGCTCACTAGGGTCAGCCGCTGGTCTTTTGTGGGCTCGGGAGTGAAAAGCGCTCATTTCTTCTTCATCGGTAGTAATGTCTTGACTGACGAGTTGTTAGTTGTTTTTAAAATCACGTAGTCACTGAGATGAATAAGTTTATTATATCTGATATGATTGAAAAGGAATGATGATTCATGGGGTCCATTGCGCAATTTGCTCTCGGTGCTGCTGCGGGTGTTGCTCTTTTTATGGGCGCGAACACGGCTCGGCGCTATTTTCTTGGCTCTCCGACCACAAACCAAAGAGATCGAGAGCGTATAAATTCTAGGAATGAAGTTACTTTAAGGCAAGAACACATTCATTCAATACAGAGCGCTGCATCGCCTATCCGACATGTCTCAGAGAGCTCTGAAACGGACCTCGCTGTTGTCGGAGAGGAAAACGACTCGAAGGATGGTCAGCATCTTTTGAACCTTCTCTTCAACATAGCCGAAGACCAGGCGAGGAAAGAGGGTTATATTCATCGCGGGATAACCTGTAATTCTTGTCAAGCGAGCCCAATTTGTGGAATTCGTTACAAATGCTCTAACTGCGTGGATTATGATCTATGTGAGCGTTGCGAAGTGAGTGATGACCACAACAGAACTCATCTATTCATCAAGATCCGAGTTCCTATGCCACCACTTACAAATCCCAGGGCTCCTTGCCTTAAACCACTTTATCCAGGTGAGATAGATGACATTTGCAATAGAACAGTATCATGTTATGAATTGATATTTTTATTATGCTTAAGTGAACTGATCCATTTATGCAAATGTTTACTATAGCTGCCTGTAGAGTGCTAAAGTGATGACGTCTTAAAAGTGAAATTTCTGAAGTTATGGGATTTGTCAGGATATTCTGAAAGAAGAATGTCCAAGAGGCCTACTTGCCAATCTCATAATTTCAGAAATGTCATTTTTATGACGTCACACTTTAGTACTCTATATTATTGCTGGCAAGCCTCATGCGAGCCAGCACATTGTTCTCTACAATAATTTTTATTGTGGGAAAAAGCCAAAATTTGTCGGATGTAAGATCAGAAGCATGTGCATTCAGTTGGTTTTCTTGTTATGCGGGGTATTCACTCCTGAGCGATGACGTCAGGTAAAATGCACGAGGACGAGATCAAGAGATTTCGAGTAAATTTCCAGAGTTCTAGCAGATTATTTGAGTCAAGGAAGGCATTTAGTAATTCCTTTTTTTATTTTCTTTATGTCTGCTCTATTTGCTTGTGGAAGTATTCATCAAGGTCTCGATCCAAATGGTTTTGGTGATGAATCTTGACGAAGACTAGAGATTTACATGTGTTTGGCTACTCTATTTGCCGATCCGCAAATAAATGGAGGTGCAAAGATATTGGTCATATCCTCCTTCATGGAGATTTTTCGTGTTTTTTCTCTGTGCATTCAGCAGGAGTGATATGCCAGGCAAAAATTCTTCTGTGCGAAGTATCTTGCAGACTTTAGCTTGCTGGTATCTCATGCAAATATTAATCAAAGTATTCATTGCCCATTGACGCGTTAAATTTGATAGTTGTGTCAAAATCTCTGCCTGCTGAGGTAAATAATTCAGCTGATAATTTGACCATTAGTCACATTTGTCCGGTGAGGCAAAAGAAACGCTCAAAACCACAGATTCAAAATGTGTGTCGCTCTTTGAAGCTAACCCCTGTTAACTGTAAAATTATTTGACTGTTGCATTGGCAAGCACCTGCTACGTTGGCTACTGTGGGGTCCAATAATATTATTGTCTTTAAACCTTTAAGTCAAAAGAAAACTTTTTGAGCACCACATTAAACCCATTAAAGTCCTTGCATCAATATCAAATTGTTGACATAGTAGATCAGCCAAACACATAAAAATAATATCATGTCTTCCTTGGGATTCATACTTAACTGTTCATGACCTTAATGAAATTATTGCCATTGGCAAACCAAAAATTGAAAAATCTAAACAAGCAATTACTCAGAACTAAAGCCTCATTTATCATCTGCTTGCACTCTGGAAATCTACTTGAAGGGCTTTCCCATTTTACACATCACAAATATACAGAAATAACAAATTTTTCTTTTAACAAGGCTTATCCACTCTAATTCCCAGGAGTCATTTTTAGTTTGCTCACTTTATTATTTATCAAACTGTATTCTCCGTATCAGTGGTGGATACAGGGGAGGGGTCCGCCCCCCCCGCCCCGCCACCTATTCTTTGACTAAACTGAGGCCCAAAGGGCCGAAAAAAGTTTTTTTTGAGACTGCCCCCCCTCCCCCTTATCTCAAGATCTGGATCTGGCACTGCATATTGTCTTTCACCATTTACATTGAAATTGAAACTCTTAGTCCATAGCACTTATGCACAGTTATTTGAAACTCCCATTGATATCAGCCCACCCCCTCCAGAATATCATCAAATTTTTAAGCTTGTGGAAAATGGGAAGGTTTAGTGGGGATTTGATCTTTTAAAGTATTGTCAACATACCCTGCCATTTCATTAATAGTTAAATGCTCTTTGTTTCGTCAGTTGTGGGTTTTTGGTTCACTGTTATCAAACTTCTTTATTGACGACTTTGCTGCCAGACAATACAAGAACTGTGTTCGAATCCTAAAAGGAAGTTACATTGTTAAGAAATGCTCAGATAATAAAGAATAAGAAACGATTTGATATTTACCCGGTGAGTCGGCTAGGTCCACAGCTGACAAATGACTTACATTAGTATTATGACATCACTATGACGTATCTCATTAGCGGATAAATTAACTTAATGATTGATCATAGAATTTCTCGACGAAACACTCTTCATTGATTTGGTTTGCAGGTATTAAAGATCACCCATATTCTCTGTCCTGGAATGAGATTCAGCATCTTAGGAAACAAAGTCATTTTGACCAAGCAGAAATAGAAGCGCTGGTTGAACAGTTTAAGACACTGGCAACAGAGAAAGCAGGAATTACCCGTGAAGTGTTCGACAAGTGTCTTGGTCCTCTCGGACAACACAAGAACTTAGTCATGGATCAGATGTTTAAATTTTATGACCAAAATGGTGATGGTCTTATTGACATTGATGAGTTTGTCATTGGGCTTTCTATTCTTGTCAAAGGCAGTGAGAAAGAGAAGATCCCCTATGCTTTTGCTGGCTGTGACATTGAGAACAAAGGTCATATTTCCAAGGAGAATTTAAGAAGTATGTTTAAGGCGTACTTTGAGATTAGTCTTGAGTTGGTGCGTGATGTTGTTAGGTCATGTGAAGAGGAAATGATGGCTTCCTTTGATGACTCTGCCGACAAACCAGTGTCTTCAGTGTTCAATGCACCCATTCCTAGCGACTCAGGTCCATCAACATCAACCGGGAAACCAGCCATGCTTCTAAATAATCCCGGAAATACGGGCGCTCAAGGAATTGACAGAAGATGGCCAATCATGGAAGCAATGTCACAGGACGCCATTGATGAGATGGTGAACAATGTATTTCAGTGTGCTGATACTGACAAGGATGGCAAGATCTCCTTTGAGGAATTTGAAGCTTGGGCTGCAAATGACAACACTATTCTTGCCTGGTTTGAAGCACTTGGTACTATTTTTTAACTCAATCTGCACTTATATTTTGTGCTCTTCTCCTTCTAGAGGAAATATCTGAGGTGGTGAGATGCTGTAAAAAATAAGAGTTAATATATTACAGAGTAAATTCATGTTTATATTTAGATCAGGTAACAATAGCAATGAAATCCAGTGTTCTCCTTATCAGGCGAAAACCGGTAAAATTTACCGCTTGAAGCAACACTTCCTACTGCCTGCAACAGCTTGAAGGTTTACCAAAATTATACAAGTTATTTTACAAGTTGTGATCTTCTTTCTTAGATGGGGCACACATGTAATTATTGGAATCACATGTTTTAATTTGTTTTCTAAAGATATAATTTGCTGGGAAAAGGTAGACTGCTGACTTCATTTTATAGGAGTTCTTTAAGCCCAGAATAATAATTGTGGCTCTTTACTCTTTAAAAAGTAGACTGTAAATTTAATTGTGAGTTTTTGACCTCAGATCGGAAGGCTGATTGCTTACAACAGTGGACTGGCCTAAAAAAGGTCTTAAAATATGAGAATGATTTTTCAGACTTGTAACTTAATTAGCTCCTAAAACTTTTCCAAGGAGGGTAGGGTCATGTCCTTCACCTCACTTCCCCCCTCCCCCAGGAAAGTGCACCTCTGGCATATATTTTTTGCCTTGGGCTAAAATTTAGGGAGAACACTGGAAATCAGAAGCTCTTTAAGCCTTTTTGAGTGGCTGCAAAAACAGTCACAATGTCTTGACAAAACGTATTGTAACTATTTTAGCAACCTAAAAAAACTTTCTTGAGATGTGATCATTTGTACCCCCAATACCTTTTTGTACATCAGAGAAGTTCGTGCTGGCTTGAAATTTGTTGGTCAAAAAGTATTACTGACTCAAATTTCCTTATTTGATTATTTACAAGTAACTGTTGTGTGTCTGTTTTTGCAAGATATGACTGGTTTTCGTCATTTTTTGGTACTGCTCTTTTCTTAATATATTTTGACAAAATGAAAATCAGACTTTTTCTTGAGTGAAAAGTCTGAGTGGCTCTGAAAAATATTGAAACCCAGCAGCTGTTTAATAAAACAAATATCTTAATTTTCAAAAGAAAGAAGGTTCCTTGCTTTTAACATTTTCTTCTATTTTGAGACAAAACAAGAACTTTTAAAACGTTTTCAAACAATTTTGACATAATTTTTTTCACAAAGTGTTTATAATGAGTTTTGTTTTTTATTTAGCAATTTAGACATTCAGTGTTGTTTGTATGAAATACAGAAATCTTCAGGCTTTAAAATTTGTATAAAAGAAAGCTCTGTATTTATTTATTTATTTTGTTCATACCTTGAGTTAAGTTTAATAAAAACATCTGCCAATGGATTAAAATTGTTGTACAGATTTTTATCACTTACAAGGTACTTTAATGCTGCTTTGGTATGATTAGATCAAGCTAGATATTCTTTGAACTATTTTCAGCCAGTGTAACGAAGCAAGTGATGAGAAATAGCATTTTGATCTTATCGATTGTGTATCATGGAATGCATTTCGCCGCGCTTCTTGACGTGTTGGCGGTTCGTTTTAGGGGAGTGCTTGCACCATTATGTTTCGTGAAACTAGTGATGTTTTCTAGTCGTTGGACGTAAAAGGAATAGATTTCATCTTTTTTATTCAGTGAATGGCAATCACAGCGACGATTTGGGCTCCTGGCGATCGAAATACTAGTGGGTTAATTCATTCTTCACGCTTGGGGTCACAATACACTGTCTGCAGACAAACATGGTTCTTTCACATTTGCGGCATCTGGAACTTCCACACATTGATAAAAAGAGGTGGCAAAAGCTTAAAGAGCTCTATGCTGAATTAGACGGAGTACAGAATGCAAAAGATCTAACTGTCGTTCTGGAAAAATTATACAATGTAGCGGGGAATAACAACGAACGTGTTTCTCCTGATCGTTCAGTGGAGATTTTGAATTCCGATGGTTTCGGGTCCAGCTGGTGTTTTGAAGGCTTAAAGATATTTCTTGAAGAGATAGCAACGCCAGAAGAAAAAGAAGCATTTTTTATCTCAGTTCTTCCTTTCGCTGTCTCTTTGGCATCGAGCGTTGACGAGTTTGCTCCAAGTGAAAGCATTTTACTTTGCTCTCAACAGCGCGGTGAGTATTGTTTACACACCTCCAACTATTGGCTTGTGCAAATGATAGTTTCATTTTGTTTTAATTAATACAAGTGATTGAACCCATTAGCGATCAAGGATTAAATAAACTTAACTCGAATCATACCATTAACCCCTTTAAACTATGGGGTTTTTTACCTCATAATTTTAGCTCTGAAAAAATTAGGGCTTGATTGATAACAATTCTTGTCGACACACCCCCTGTTGATTCACCTTAGGGTCGTTTACAAATATCTCACGACAAGACAAAGATCGACAAAGAGCCCTATTAATGCTTTTGTGATTTAATACTTACATGTTTTCAGTATGATGTAGTCAATCCATCTAGGTGAGAAAAGTTAAGTTAATGAGAAGAAATCGGGAGCCGGTTTTAATTTGGTTTTTGTTTGACCCATGCTGCATCGTTGTGTATGTTGTGCGCAGATCAACTGAGTTCAAATTCTAGTGAGGCCCCGACGTTATTGGAGGGGGCCCACTCCCTAAAAAAGGTTATATGGGGAGGCTTTACCCAATGGGGGTACCTTTTTCATGCTTAAGGTATATATATGACATTTCAGATGTGATATGTGATATCACAACTGAACTTGAATCATTGGATAATGCAATTCTAGAGCTCTGATTGGCTTAGCCATCATGGTATGTGAGCCATCATACCATGCTCTCCAAATATGCTAACTCTACAGTGTCTGCTCAAAATTAAAAACAAGCTGAAATTGGTTGTTTTGCAAATAAAGTCGGGAAAAATTCTCAATATTTTGTGGGTGTTTTTAATAAAACTATTCCTCTCGCGCTTGTTGGATATGAGTTGATAATAGCCAACTCGGCACTACACGCCTCATTGGCTATCTACCATCTCATATCCAGGGTTCGCACGCACCTTAAAGGTCCTTGAAGTCTTTTGATTTTAAAATAAAAATTCAAGGCCTTGAAAAGTTCTTGAAAATTGCTGTCAGTGCTGGAAAGTCCTTGAATTTCGGTGCTAACTTTATCAAACCCAGATTCTCAATTGCATAAAAGGGGCAAACACAGAAAGACCTTCAGGATGAAATTGCTCATGTTGTGGAGGAACTAAAAAAGACAGACTTAAGGCTCTTTTTTGCACTGAATGGAGTCCTTGAAAAGTCCTTGAAATTTCGGTTCAAAAAAGGGTACAAACCCTGCATATCTGATGAGCACTTGTGGAATAGTTGTTAATTAACCAGAGCTTTGACACGGGTTTATTTCTTGACGACTGGAAAAAGTCCAAAGTTTCTCCTGTGTACAAAGTGATGAAAGAAATGTAGCTGACAACTATAGTCATAGACCGATAACAATCTTGCTGGCAGTCTCTATGGTAATCAAGAGAACAGTGCATGCTCAAGTCCTTGAATTTTTCACGGAAAATAAATTTGAAATATCTAAAATTATGTATTTTATAGCACTGTGGTTAATTGCTTATAATAACAAATATGGGAAAAATTTTCTTCCTTTAATCTTTACTAAAAAAGAATTGTTATTGCAGATTCTGGTGTTGTCCTTGAGCGAAGATTTATTGCCTGCATTCTAGCATCAGCATTTTTATGTGCACTTCCTCCACCACCTGCCGACAGCCAAGTGAGGTCAATCAACTTTGTTGGTTTTTTTGCATGTTTTTACAGGTATGTGAGTTGCCTATGGAATAGAAGGCTAGATTGGCTTAACGATCGTACCCTCCCTTCACTCTCTCCTCCACAGAGTCTACCACTGGATTTCTCTATAGCGATAGCAATAATTGAAAAAATAGAAAGCGTGTGGGGGACAATGGGAAGAGGGAAAAGGTGCGCTCTCTTTTTCATTCTTCCCAGCCTCCCCACAACACAGCAAGGCCTTTGCGGAGGGTAGAGCTCCCTTCAAGACAATCAAGAGTTCCAGTAAAGCCAGAAAAGCCTAGCCAGCAAGCCTAGCTTTTCTGTATTGACAGTTCCATCCAGTGTGGTCTATATGAGTCAGGGTTGTCACTAAGATTTCAAGTTGCCGGGTAAATACAACAAGTAGGTGGGGAATCGAACGGCTAGGCATTTGTTGTGGTTCTATTTTTCTTCTATTTTCCAATAAAAGTAGCTGGAGGCCACTCTCTTAGTAGCCGGGGAAAATCCCCGGCCCCCGGCTCTTAATGACAACCCTGTGAGTAAACTATTTAATACATTTAGCTGTCACTTCTGTTCATCAAATGTTTGTAAAAAAAATAGGTTACTTTCTTGGGAATTCGACAAATTTTTTTGCTTTATTTTATATTAATTTTATGGGGTCTAGACATTTAGCTTAAAGTAAAGTTTTTTCAAAATGTATGTTTTAATGGTATTTTTATTATTTCCAACAGCATGCGCTCTTTCATTGGTTGCTTTAAGGTCACATGACATCAAAATAATAAATATTAATTAATTAAATTAATTGATTTTATTTACTATATAAAAATTTTTCTTTAGAGAGGAAATCAAACAGACTCAAGCTGCCAAGCTCCGCTGTTTTCTTCACTATTTTGAAAGGCTAAAAAATGACTGGCCAGATGTCAGAGGAAGAGTGTTCTATAGTCGTCAGGTATTAGCTTGTAGTCCATTGTTACAACCTTATGAAGTATTTTTTAAATTTTGTGAATTTTAGGAATTTGTCATTACAAATTGTAAAAAACACCTCCATTAAATTCTGTATGCTGAACAACCATCCACACGTTTATTGATGCCCTAGGAAAGAAATGTTGTTTGAATGGTCACATTGCAGAAATAGGCTACTTATGTAGTACAAAACTAATTTGGATACTTTAATATTATTATGTTTTTGAGGTAATACCAAGTGCCTCTCTTCCAAAGTTTGAGGATTGGGAGTCCTGTGACTTACCCCTGTGTCCTGTTATTATTGATAGTAAAGCTTCCATTGAAGATTCTGGAGAACACGTGCTTCAGGTACGTTTGATATGGTGTTGTAATCTATATACATGTGTTACATGAACTGCAGTGTGGGCCAGTACACTGAGAGCATTTATGATCAAAGAATTTGCAGTGCGATCAGAAATGCTGAATGTCCTGATGGTAATCAAAATTAAATTTGCGTTTCTCATGAACATTCTGATTTGTGGAGAGGCAGAACATGCATTTGGCCGAAATTAAAACAGACCAAAAATTCTAAATTTTTACCACACAGAATTTTCTGACAAAAAATAATAGTATCTAGCAAGGACAAATTTAGGGAAAGAAGTAAAGGCCTATTCTAGATGAATTTCAGGAAGAATGGCTTAAGTATGGCAGTTATGGCTTGAATGAAGTTATTCAACTTCAAAGTCAAGGGAATTCCTCCCATCTGAATAGTATTTAAATGTTGCTTGACTGCAACTGTTTTAATAATAAAGTAAATACATTCTAAGTCTTGTTAACCTGGTATGTTTTTTCCCTTTTTTTAAATGATATCCTTGAAAAGTTGCCAAAAATTTTAAGAATTTCCCCAACATTTCTTCAGGATAATTTATTCTATTTTCTTATAATATTTTTTTTTGATCCCCACATACTGCAAAACAGTGTCGTCTGGTACAAGAGTGAACATAATGAGCTAATTTTACAATCATCATGTAACATATATATCTGTGGATCCTAATTTATAGGTTGACTTTGCAAATCGTCTTATTGGAGGAGGTGTTTTGGGCGGTGGTCATGTTCAGGTATTTTCTTACATGTATGTCACTTCTAGCCTCTCTGGGTCCTTTGTCTTAAGGGTCTTTCAGGGTCAAGGAGGCAAAAAGTGAATTACTTACTTTTTGCTTACTGTCACATGTGGCACATGTGCGAGTATGCAATCGGGCACGTGAGCTAAGTTAGCAAACTTTTTAATGGTATTTAGTCTTCTACCGTGAAGAAGGTAGCAGTGCCGAAACATCAGTTAAGACTCTTTTGAACAGTGTCGATTTTGCAGTTTTCAAATTAACATTAAGGCAAAAAGTATACCCTATTGATCAACACATCCCCCCCATAACCCACGTATATGTTGTGGTTCAATTTTATTCTTGGTTTAATTTTGATTTTCCTTTGTTTTTGGATGTGGTATTGTTTGATCATGAATTAAGAACAAAGGAAAATAAAAATTAAACCAAGGACAAAACTGAACCCCATTGTGTGGTTCCAGAAAATATCCACACCCCCACCACGGAGGGAATTGGAAATTCCAGGGGGGTGGGGGGGTCAGAGGCCCAGGAAATTCCAGAAGGGAGTGGGGTTGGACCATAAAATCACTTTCCAGGGGGGCAATATCATTTTGTTTTCGACCCGAGATCGAACATTGCTTCTTACCGACTTGGTAGATCATTTTTAGGACATAAATAACTTGAAATATATCACTTAAGATTGTTCCTTTTAATCTTAACCAGGTTTCCTTTCTTCTAAATGCGTTTTGGATGTAATTTCAAAGGAATTAGACCGACTACAACTCGTTTTATCGCATGCTCATATATTCGGCCGCCATTACTCGTTACCAGTCTTCCCCCAAACATTAACGCATGCAACACATCACGCAACACAACACGTTGCATCAGTCGATCGATAGATCAGAAGAGTGGCAATTTTGCCTCACGAAGCACAAGCTATACATTGTACCCATTTTAAAATGAAGAGTTTTTATTCTCCTTTTCATTTACCCTTAATTTTGTGGTTGAACGTGTGGCATGTTCTTGATCGAATTCTCGCTGAAATGGTGTTGATTTCACCAAACATTTATACGGCCATCGCGCATCACGTCGCATCAGTCGATCGAAAAACAGTAAATTGAACTCGGTTTCCCTTCAAGTATCTTCAAGATGCAGGCGGTATTCATTGTTATCATTTCAGAATTCAGAGTTTTTATTCTCCTCTTTGTTTTGCATTAATTTTGTGGTCGTAAGTTTGACTTGTTCTGCATTCCCGCACGAAATAGCGTTAATTCCATCAACATTACGCCCATGAGACGAATAACAAATCTAAGCTTGCCCTGATTAAGGTAAATTCACAAATATAACCGACTTATTAACTTTCTCTGTTTCATTTAAAGTAAGAGATGAGCAAAAATTACAGATCAGGTTACTTTGTGGTGGTGTAGTGTGTTTTAATGTTGCGAGATCACTCAAATAAATGGAAACAGAAGCGTACAAGCTTCTGATGGAAACCGTTGGGTACTAACCATAAGTTGCCTCATTCTTCTACTTTAATAGTCTTTCTTCGTGAAAATGAGCTTTTCCAGAGGGGTTGGGGGGTCTTTGTCACACTTGTGGAAATTCCGAAGGGGTGGGGGGTCATCAGTTCCCCGCAAAAATGGAAAATCCAGGGAGGTGGGGGGGTCCTAAGTGAAATTCCCTCCGTGGTGGGGGTCTGGATATTTTCTGGAACTACACATTATATACAAATACCCACCCTCCCCTGCCACCATTGTAAAAAATTATTATACTGATACAAAATGTACTGATGATCCTGTAATTTGGTGTGTGTTGTGATTTCAGGAAGAGATAAGATTTTGTATAAATCCGGAGTTGCTTGTGGCTCGGATTTTCATGGAAGCCATGCAAGACAATGAATGCATTGTGATCAGGGTAAGTTTCAACCAGTTAACTCTTAACCAGGGGTCAATTAAATAAAACTCTTACAATTATTGTAATGTACAAGTGTAGCTATTGTTTTCAGACTCTAAAACAATTGCTGCACTTTTGAATTACACTTGTAAACGTTTTATCAAATTGATCCCAGATCTGAGGAGAAGCAGCTGTAACAGTGCTGTTCATTGATCAGGGCTGACACTAAGGTTTTAAGTTGCTGGGTATATCTTTCACCCTTTAAGCCCTAAGAGTGATCAGCATCAAATTTCTTCTCGTAATATCAATGCTTTGTAAAACAGGGTGGTCATGAGAATTACGGACGTGATCTCATGTGATGAATTTGCTTGATATTTTATCAACTTCTCCCCACTACTTCTGTAGGAAGTGAATGGGGGCAACAAATGAGAATTCAAATTTTGATCTTATGGTTTAAAGGGTTAATAAAAACGTCAATAGGTGGAGAATTGAACACAGCTAGGAATTAAGTTCTTTTGATTTTATTTTTCCTTTGTTTCCTATGAAAATGGACCACTGGGAAATCCTCAGCCCCTAGTGGCAGCCCTGATTAATGACTGGAGCCAGTACACTGGTCCTCCATTTCATTTCTATGGTTGAGGCATATGTTAGTTTGTCAGAGCTTCACTGTTCCTTTGTGAGCTGAGTTTGTCATTGGTTGTCAGCCATGCTCTTAACAGGTTTATTTTCTGGACTTCTGTCCAGTTTTCATTCTTCCACAGACACCTGTCAAATGTTGACACTTAGAGTGCTTTAGTGCTGTGAAAATTTACACAGTGCACTAAAATCAAGTAAATATGCACTGATTGAGTTGAAACTCTCCAACTTACTATGTTCTGGACTGATCTAATGAAATACTTCTAAATAGCTTTCACCAGTTGATCCTGGGTCTGTTTATTTATTAATGATATCTTTGTCATCCATATCATCATTCTCCTTTGCATTAAGTTATTTGTCCATTGTGGTCATAAAGATGGTGAAAATTCTCATTTACTGGCTCTCTTCCAGAGACTTAAACCTTTTAGTGGCTTTGATGTTCTGCAATAATGTAACCTGGTTTACTTTTGTTTTGAGTCTCTTACATGTTATGTTCATCTTTTCAGGGTGTTGAAAGGTTCTCATCATATTCTGGATATGGAAAGACTTTTGAGTTCAAAGGAGATTTTAAGGATCAATCACAGGTGGAGTATGCTCCCTCCCTTCCTCCTATTGTTTTCACTACCATCCAACCTTCGAAATTACTCAAACATTACTGGAATTGATTTCCGTCAATCCAACAGTTTAAAAGTGGCAGTAGTTGTAGGAGCCCTTTGCACTAATTGATTGACAGAAATCAATTTCCAAGTGGTTTTGACTTCAGAGTTTGAAAAGTAGTGAAAATAATGGTAGCCCTAATAGTGATTAACTTGAGGATTGCTGACATCTCGCGATGCCACCACTGGTTTCCCCAAGAAATGGTGTCTGAGCAATGACTGTAAAAAAAATTCCATACTGATGACGTGTCACTACACACATATCGGTGGCACTTCTGATTGGTCCTGTCACAAGAGAAATTTGCTTGAGATTTGGGTAGTGAATGTCATCAGTATGGCATTTTTGTGCTTGTCCTCAGACGTCAATTTCCACAGAAACCAACAGTGGTGTCATGAAATGTCAGTTGTTTTCTCAGGCTAAATGGTGATCATCAACTATATTCTCCTTACAGCAATACAAAGCCAACAAAGAGGAAAAAGAGATTCTTAATATTATTTTGGGAATTATGTTTAAAAACCGGAAGCATTATTTTTCTCATTAATTTTATATCTGGTTAGTTCAAACAATCTGGAGGTCTGGGGTTCAAGCCTCGCCCTGGTGCTCTAGATCTGTAGTAGTGAAGGTAGGTCATTTTTGAACATGACTGAGAAACATTACCAGACCCAGGATGCCACCCTGAGGTACACCCCTTACCTTACCTAGTTCAAACAATTTGATCTCTTTTGGATGAAACCAACAGCTATTGTGACAAGGCTGCATTGCAAAATGGCCAGAGAATTAAAGTTTTCACCATTTACGTTTTTCAGCTTGATGAAGATGGTAACTTTCAGACGACAATAGTGGCAATCGATGCTACACAGTTCAAGAGTAAACCCAGAGGAGTACAGTATGAAGAATCAGCTCTTGTTAGAGAACTTAATAAGGCTCTTGTTGGTTTCTATAATCCAGAAGTTGGCTCAGAAATCATTCGCAGTCCCTCAGGTGTGTATTACTTTATCAAGCTGCCAGATGATTTATTGCTGGACAAAAAAATGAGTGACCTACCGAGAGGCACGAATTTTTGCCGGTTCTAAGTTTTGCGATTTGTGCGACTTTTCCAGCACTCCGCAAAAAAATTACCGCCAACATTTTCCCCAAAAAATTTACTCCAGAGTGAATATTCTCTAATTGAGTTCGCTGCACAAAAATACACTGCTAAGAAATTGTGTCTGTTCGTGTTTGTAATCAAATGACAAAGAAAAGGAATCTGTTTACTGGTTTTACATAGGGTATGCACACCGTAGTATTGTTTGAAAATATGTATTTCCCTTGCACTTTCGGAAAATCGCAAAAATCAATTCTCTGCAAGAAAAGCCTTCTGTCCTAATGACAAGAATTAGTTCCCGCAGAACACAAAGAATTGCCAGTCCCTCAAAAATTTCGTGCCACACGGTATTAAACACCTCTCATCCATTAGTTATGTGTATGAGTACCTCGCACTCCACGTTGAAGACATTTTAACGGCGTGAACTGCCTGGCTTTCTTGAGAACGCCTTCAGGGGTGAGGGAAACGCCTTGCTCCCTTCCCTCTTTGCTGGGGTGGTTTGACTCCGTGGTTGTCTCTAGTAACCCCTACTGGGTGTATTGTCTACATTATTTTTATACCGGAGCTCCGCGCGCGCGCGAGCGGAGCCCCATACCTAAGAAAAATTGGTAGTCTATCCATCCCAGAAATTTTGGTAATCACGTGACCGTACGCCCGCACCACAGGGTAACCAATGTGAAATATTAAACTTTCTAACCAGTGTGGGGGCCTGTAACCTGGGTTTAACTTGATAATAGGCATCCATATTATGGTCATTTGACAGCTGTCAAAACAGGGTATCCGCTGACCAGTGTCACTTGACGGTATCGCAGGTTAGGTGCTATCAAAGTCATGTGTATTGTTTAGGTTTTCCGAAGGCCAGTTATTAGCTTTTAATTGATCGCAGGCTCAAGCTTATGTTTTTTTGTCATATGTTTCTCCCCTAAAGTTAAGTATATATTTTTGGATTTCTTTGCAATGATTTATTGATTGATGAGGTAAATTGAAAATGCATAAACGGGAGCTTCACTTTCACCTCCGGCTAAATCTATGTATTACATTAGGTTCGTACCCCATTAAATGCAGTGACTTCCTTATCTACCTTAGAGACCAACTGACGTAGGTGATTACCTTTTGTGTTCTTACTTGTCTTTACAGATGTAGAATGTGAAGATTCTTCTTCTGAAAGCGAAGTTCATGTAGTTTCTTCTGAGGAAGCTGGAGACTCTGTGGACGGGACCTCCTCACCAGCCCAAGAAGCTGGCGAATTCCAAGCGTTCAGTGCTAACCTTGTTCGTCTTGCTATCACTCAAGCCTTCAACGAAGTAGATTCAAACAATAATTCCGTCTCCGAGAACTTTGAAGACGGTGCTGATGTATTGACTTTCGTCATGAAAAAATCTCTCAACGGAGTCTTCGGGAGCAAACCAAATAAAGCTCGCAGATATTCGGAAAATCTTCTCCCTCCGACGCCATTACCGAAGTGTTTGACACGCACCATTAGTGGGTCTAACACACCTGTCGTTCCCGAGACTCCTCCGTCGTCGCCTGCCGTGTTTAACCTGGAACGAACATCAGCGGATTCCCTTGGTTTCCAGACCTCTTTAACGGCCTCGCAGTTTTTTTCTATGAAAAGCTTCGCTGATCCACTTTATAACTCTTTGCTGTCGTGTGTTGAATTAACGTCATCTCTCGCGAGTGACATAGCAACTGCCGCTGTTTTACCTATAGGAGCAGCCGCAGGCTCGAAGGAATCGTTTCAAAATAGTCCCAGGAATATCAGGTCTCCGGTTAAAAATGGGGATATGTTAATTTCCTTTTTATCACAGAAGGTATGTCAATCAAAGTCACCTCCGAACGCCAAGCATTCTTATGGTTTTCACTTCAACGACTTTGTGGACGATTTGACGTCGATAGTAAGAACAACAAAGAAAGAAAGGTATTATGATAAGTTAGATAGCTCTGTGGAGTTTCCTTACTGCAAACAAAACCTTCTGAAAGAGTTTACAGATTCTCAAGAGTCAGCAAAGGCCGAACGTCCTGCCATCATGATCAACGGATTGGACTGTTCGAATGCAAAACGCTTAGAATCTTATGCGAGCGAGCTTTCAAGGTCAATCGTTGGTTCAGCTATCAGTTCGTCGGTTTTCCTGGGTACAGAAAATTTAACAAATGAAAGTAAAGGAACTGCGCTGGACAACGAAGAACTCAGAACCGAGTCTGTCACCCCGGATGACAGTGATTACCATGATGATGATTACCAGAGAGCAGTGGGTTGTGGGATGGAAACCCGTGGTAACGGTATCATTGAGGGTCACGTGTACGCCTTTGTAGCGGAAGTAATATCAGTTGCCTTAACGGAAGCTGCAGTGCTTTGTGGTGAAACCGGAAATGAAGAGGACAGCGGTAAAAGGGACAAGTCATCTCAGAATGAGGATGGAGGGAACAATGAATCAGAAAATCAAATAAAAGGTGAATCCGAGGAGAGTTCGTCAGAGTCATCGGAGGAAGAACGGAGCGATCCGAACGAAGCTATACCCTCTATAAACACCTCAAGCCAGCTCTCACATGAAATTACCGACCATTTGGTCAATAAACTTGTGGAAAGTATACTCTCAGATAGCCTAGCGAAAGCTTCGAAGATGATTAAAAGAAAATCCATGGAAGTGATAAGCAAGAATGACTTAAATTGTCAAGAAGAAACGCATCTTGAAATCGATGAATCTGCGGCAGAGGAATCTTCCTTTTCAGATGAGGAGGTGGCCGAGGATGGGGCTATGCAGAGTTTTGCAGAAAGCTTTAGTAGTTTAACAGTGTGTGGAGCTGTGGAAATTGCAAAATCATGTTTAGAATCGCCTAATGCAGAACCCAGAGTACGCCCTATAGCAACAGGAAACTGGGGGTGCGGTGTGTTCCGGGGGGACCCTGAACTCAAGGCTCTTATTCAGTGGGTAGCTGCATCAGCTGCTGGGTGCCCTGTGATTGTTTACCATACTTTTGGCGATAGGAGACTGCTGAGGGTAAGTGTGGGACTATGTTGTGGCTTATTACAAAAGAAAACTATGATGAAGTTAACCCTTTAGGTCCCAAGAGTGACCAACATCAATTTTCTCCTAACAACAACAGCAGATCATTAAGAGTAAAGGTTATGAGAATTACTAAATTGATTACCAAAGGGAGAACGCTTTGATCTTAAACCAAACTCTCTCCATTATTCTGAAAAGACATGTATGGAGATCAGTCTGGAGAATTTGTATGTGGATCTTGGGGCTTAAAGTGTTAAGGTGGCCCGTTCCTATTTATATGTGTGTTGGTTATGTTTTTGATTCGCGTTTTTCAGAATAAAAGATTCAACCGATTTCTACGATTTTTTGCATCCTTAATAAGTAATGATGGAACTTTAAGAAAATGTTATTCATTTTCTTATAGGTGTAAAAACTTTTGAGATATCGGCATATATTTAAAACCTCATTTTTACGAAAAATGAAAATAACTTCGAAATCCCACGACAGATTTTCCCTAACTTCAGCAAATAAGCCTCAGAGCTCTCTAGTTTTATGTCTGCAAGTTTGAAGGCAATCGTGACCGTAGAAATCACTCCACAAAATGTTGGTCAAATTTAATGCTAAAATGATACGCTAACACATTTGTGAACGTAAAGGCACAAATAGCGGAAGAGAGCTGACAAACTATCTCTTAACTGAAACGTTGTTCTTACCCAAAGCATTGTTGGAAGAAAATGAGTAATCGGACAACTACGGCGAACACAGTTAGCGCTTTAATAAAACCAACTTTCTGCTACATGCGCGCTGAAATTTAAAATATTCTATTTATCCAACTTACTCTGCATTTGTCCGTTCATGTTCGACAAAAATATTAAGAAAAAAAACACAGCATCTGCAGAAACCGCTTGGCAGTTTTTAGCTTCAAAGGTTCTCGTTCTGAGGCGAAATAAGCCCGCTAGTTCTAGAGCACCTCGCCATCCAATTTTCAACTGCAATGAAAACCCTCTGGCATGATAATATATTCAAGATCTCTGACTTTCCTATCACATGCTCACATGAGGTTTTAAATATATGCCGACATCTCAAAACTTTTTATACCTATAAGAAAATAAAAAACATTTTCTTAAAGTTCCATCATTATTTATTGAGGATGCAAAAAATCGTAGAAATCGGTTGAATCTTTCATTCTGAAAAACGCAAATCAAAAACATAACCAACACGCATATAAATAGGAACGGTCCACCTTAAGGAGCCGTGTCACGACATTTATCGGAATTTTCACCAAATTCAGTGAAACTTAAAAATAACTGCTGAAAACACTAAAAAGAAGTATAAGTAGCACGGATGAACAAACGCAGAGAAGATTAAAATGGATTGTAGTTGGGGTTTTTGGAAAACTTGTTAACCTAACACTATATTTTCAAAGTTCATTTTTGTTTCTTTATTTGATTGATCACACCACCTGTAGGGATTACCCCTACAGACTCAAAACTTAGAGCTACATACTAAACAAATAGTACGATGTGTACACAATTCCGGAGAGGTTTCATTTGAATGGTCACACCTCCAGATTTCATTCACAGACTGGAAAATTTGAATCACCTTGTACAGCATGATAAACGGTGCAATTGGAAAGCACTGCACAGTAGCCTTCATTTGAATGGTATCACTTTTCGATTTCTAGCTAAATAAAGCATAAAAACCGCATCAAAAGTATCGCTCAGTAGCGTTTTTTACGTGGTCACACCATAGGATTTTATCCACAAACTCAAAAGGTATTGCCATGTTGCATGCCTTCGTAATAGTCTCCGGAAAAGAGACACTTAAGCATCTTTCATTTGCTGTTTCGTGCTGCTAGATTTGACTTATTGTTAAATACTTGTCGCCTTTTTTCTCCAGCTTCTCAGGACACTCACCTGCTTACTCTCACGTGGCTGGAGAGTCTCTGACGTCATCCAGGGAATACTCCGATTTCGCAATTCTGCCAGAAATGGAAAAGACGATTCAATGGGCCATCAGAGGCTGCTGTCTTTTCTTTGCCATACGCCTCAAACCTCATTGTGAAACAATAACCTAGAAACGCTTAATTACTGGTCCCTCGTGAAACAGTTAATTTTGTTTCCCGAGAATCTCAGAGATTCGAGGGAAGCAAAATTAACTGTTTCCCGAAGGACCAGTCTTCTTAAAAGTGATTTGTTATATAGCTGGAAATTCATTAAACCTTGCTGTAACGGCGGTTGTTGGTCAATATTCGCGGTAACAGCGCACTGTTACCCTCTGACGTTACAGATTTTGCAATTTTGCCCGATCAAAAATTTGGGCGGGAAACAGTTTCATTGTTAAATGTCATGTGACCTCGAAGTAACCAATGAGAGCGCGCGCTGTTGGGAAAAATTTCCAGCTATAAAACAATTCCAATTGTATTATATTGCCCACTTTAGAAACTCCAGGGAAAATGGATACAAGCCTTGGATGCATTGATTTTTGGTATTGTTTGGGTGGACAAGCGTTAATTATGATTGGTCGATGGTGTCCAGGGTAACCATTAACCAATCATAAGTATCGCTGTTGCACCAGGACAATCCCAGAAATCGTTTTGTCGAAAGCTTATTCCCCTTATAGTTTCTGGAATGGGGAGTTAGGAAGCTATATCGGCAGAAGTTAGTTTTACATGTGAGTGGTTGAAAATTCTCACACCGCTATTCCAGCCGATCAAGAGTTAAATTAACACAATTCTTGACTTTCTCACACGAGTTTTTGCGCGTTACTCTGCGCTGAGGGTGATTGGTTACAACGTCTGCCCCTGTCTTAATAAGCCAGATTAACTTCTTGGTCTTGGTTCACCACAGTCAACTGAAAATAGTAGTGTAGAAGCGGCCCAGCAACTGCTAAGCTAGCTCATTAGATGAAAGGAACAACGAGTCCCCCAAATAAAACTTACAGAAAAATTAACCTTGAGTTTACTTTGTTAATTAGCTATGAAGAGGCTTTATTTGAATAATCACATCATAAGATGTCATTCATACCCAAAACTTTATAACTTGTCTTCATTGGCTTCCTAAGTGCAATTAAAAAAATGGCTTGAACTTCGTGTAATGTTTTTTTTTAATCTTTTGAATGAATTATATAGGTGTATTTAGTACGTATAAAATTTTTGTACTTTAGAAGTTAGAATTTTATGGGATACTCAAATTTAATTATTTTTAATTATAATCTGTTATAAATGTTCTTGTTTCTTTTGTAAAATGTATTTTATGCATAGCCGGTTTCACTGCTGTACAAGTGAGCAGGGTAGAAAGAGTTTTAAGGAAAAATGATATTATAATGTACTTTTTAGCAAGGATTTATAAGGTTATGAGAAATAAAGAAATATCTTACTAGCCAAACAATCCCTTGTTTTAATTAAATACAATTTATCGTTTTGTAATAACTAGAAATAAAATCCGCATATTACCGAGATGCCAACCCTCTTGTTTTGGCCGGAAACCTCCCGTTTTCGCTCAATATTCTACCGGTGTTTGAAACTCTTCATTGTCAAAGAAAGATGTTTTCTTTGTTTAACCAGTGTTTTGTAGCATGATTCTTTGCCGTTCTTCTGTGGTTTATCAGCCATTTCTGCCCTTTTGTTATCCGAGCATGAGCGTGCGATAACTTTGGGCGTGGTAATGCACTGATGTGATAGGGACCAATCGTCCTCAGCCTCCTCTACCCGTTAAAAACTCCACTATTTGACTGTGATCTCAAAATGCAGGAAATGGCATCTTAGAGGCGTTATCGAGTGGCCCGGCAAGATAAGCTCTAGCTACCTGTGGGCCAGTGCACCTTTGTAAAACTTAATGATACAGAAAATTAAGACTATTGTTGTTGTTATCGTGTTTCCCTGCGAACAGAGGTCTCGTGGCGAGACAAAAATAATACGGAAGAGAGAGACCTCTGCCGGTGCCCGATGCGTTTTCTATCACCCATGCACTGGCGTTTTGTTAACAACCAGTAACGTTTTAGTCACGTGCGACACAACTTACAGAACTGGTTTACGCGATAACAGCTGTGGGTTCAAAAAGTTCCAGCATGCATTCTTAACAGGGCACGCGCATTTCATATTAAACGAAACCGATTTTGAAAACCAGTAAGTCTCGATGAGAGAACCCGTGGTGGTGTGGAGGTCTATCTCTTTCCTCTCCTTTTCTTGCCGTGACAGACTTCTACTAGCAGGGAACTATCGTGTTAACAAGGGTGTTGTAACTACCAAATGATCGGACTAATCTGTCTTACTCAGACACAGTTTGTTCAGTGACAATTCAAGTTAAACGTAAAAATGTGCGTTTCAAAAACAACCGTCGCGTTTTTTGAGCTATTTTATAATAACAAAGTGAACTTTTCTGTAATGACAAAAACTGAAATGAAATGATCTGTAATTAAGCACTCATGCATGAAATTTTAAAAGGAAAACAAAAAGCACACCTCTTAACAGTATTTGCTCTAGCTCTTTGACCCTCCTTAAGCTTCCATATATTTCCGCCAGTATTTATTCCAAGTTTCTCTGTATGGCCACTAGGATTTTCATATTACGCAATAAGGCCCTTTGATGAAAGCAGGAGCCGATGAAAGGTAGTTCCTCCACCTCCCCACCCCCCCGCTTAGTCTTTGAATGAGATTCTTACCTATAAAGTGCGAACAATTTGGATGAAAGTTACTGAGCAGTACTTTCCTGTGGTGCTGTTTATTATGTTCCGACAACATTGAGCCTGTGGATTTGACAGTAACTAGTTACGACTACAACAAATCTACTACGCAGTACTTTCTAGCGGTGCTGTGTTTATGCTATATCTGGATGAAATCCTAATTTGACAATACAATTTATCCCCACTGAGCAGTTTTTCCTCAGAGTGAATATGTTATTTTGTTGTACCGCCTGCAAGAGGGTTGTAACCCGGGGGGGGTACTGCCATATATGGGCTATATGGGTATGTGCCGCTGTGAAGGGTATGGTTTTCAAGCAGTTTACTCTAGGATAGGGTATATAAATCAGAGCGTTTGGGTCTAGAATAGGGTATCATTTTTCAGGAAACTGATCAGTTGGTTGAAGATTTTATCTAGACTGGGGAAACAGCTACTCTAGGATAGGGGGGATTTTGGGAGTTTACTTTAGTATAGGGTAGCAAAATTCAGCTGAACTAGCTCTGGTATAGGTCAAGGGTTCCAGGGTCCCAGCGGCACATCCCCACCCAAAAATTCCTAAAAGCCCCCCCGGGGGTTGTAAGTCTTGGGTCTCGGGAATTCCTGCAGCGTCACTATTTAATAACTACAAGCTGATAAGTCAATAATTAATGAGTAAAGACAACTTGGAAACGACTGGGAATGAGTCAGAAGCTACTAAGCAGTACGTTTCTTGTGGTGCTGTTTATCATGCTATACAATTAGTGTGATTTAAACTCACGAGTATGTGGTTATGACCGGGGGTATGATCCTGCCACGTAAACATGAAAGCTATTCAAAGTATCGTTTGTTGTATCATGGCGTTGTTTTTTCTCTTTAAAAAAATAAGTTATTCGACGCCAAAAATGTAGAACGCAAAAAGCGGTCAATAGAGGGCATTTCGTTACCTAATTGAACCGCCGTTTCCTACTTTTTGTTTTATTGCCATGGTAGTCATGGATACTTCTCTAATAACAAGAGAATGAGCTGCCGCATAAATCTGAATTTACTGAATCCCATTATATTGGCACTTCCATTGGTTGCCGAATAATTTGTTTATGTATTTTATGGAAACGCATCACAACTACAGATATCAGGTACGTTTTTAATTATCTAATACTTTTTTCAGAAAAGGTACCAGTGAAATTTTCTTTTCAGACATGTGAAAATCTGGACAATATCATAAAAACAATTTCCCAGTCTTTGAAAACGTCAGATGTGTACTGCTAAATTTATTGAATTTATCATTAACTCTTATTTATCTTAGTCGTTGATAACAAGCAAAGTTATAGGGGTGAATGAACAGAAAAATATCGTAAAAGCTAGAGAGTTTGTTCATAAGTATAAAGTTAGTATGTAGGTTCTTGCCGCCCTTCAACATCATCCTGACGAGTCCGTTTTTAACTTGCACACAACGGCGACGCAAGCGGTGTATGTGCTAACTAATTTTATTTTTCTTTGAAGAGCATGTTGATCAGAGATAGAACTCATCTTCTCTCCTTGTGGCTCTTTGCATTTCCTGCGCATTGAAAGATTAGCTCGATTCCCGGTCCACAAAAGTAAATATGTTATTTCATGTTCAGATATTCTTCGTTCGGCTGCACGGATCAATTTTGACATAATTTCATTAGCTCAACACCCTGCCCATATGTAATGTCGTTATTAACAGAACCAAGAAATATTTTATTTGGGAAGCTTAAAAAGTTGTTTTCATTACTTCTTCTGACGGCGATAACGTTAACCGCGTATCTTCATTACTTGAATGGCGTGCAAAATGCTTTAAATTATTCATGTGTAAAATGGGACTGTAAAATGTTAATTGAATGTATACCGTGTCCATCCTTCATCTGAAAAATGAATATTTTGTAAAAAAGAACACTGCAAGGCAAAAAAAGGAAGAGAATACAGACGAAAACTCTAGCGTAGTGCTTTAGAACAAAAAGAGTTGAGAAAAGTCAACAACATATTACTGCCAAAATATTCGTGTTTACATAAAATGCTGAAAGTAAAACTCAGAGTCGCTGTTATAGCCTGTAAACCTCTTTCAAACTGTGAAATATAACAATAGGCAATGTTTAGCTAAGGAGAATGTCAAACGGCATATCAATATGGCCTTGAAAGGGGATACTCGCTTTCATGAGTGGTCGCCTAGTTAGAGATTTGCCCGAAAGGCAAACGAAGAACTGTAAGTCTCTTCCTCTGTAAGTTATCGAGAAAAAACGTGACAAATTTTACGTGGTATTGAGACTGCAGTATGAATAAATGAAAAACCTTTATGCATGCCATTAAAAGCTCTGTAATTTCAGCATAATTTGGGGCTAAAAACGTCCAACCATCGTGTTGAATCACCTGTCCTTTAGTCAAACACCAAACAATTGTTCCGCGAATGACGCGTGCATTCTAAACTTGACTTCAATTAAATCTACTTATTTGCTCAAAGTGGATAAAACGGATGGTCGATAAATGCACACAAATCGTTTGAAACAGGTCGAGTCCAAATTTGTAAGCG